AATATGTGAATGATACGTGATTAATTTTTTGCGTTTATTTTCTTTCCAGGTGAGGATTTCGTTCTAATTCGGTAAGTGGTTTTTTTCTAACGGACTAATTAATTTTCCGGATGAATATGTAAATTTTTTAATCGAATTCGAGCGGCTTACTAATCGAAATTCCGACTTTATAATTATATACTGAACTTTTTTGATTGGCGTAAATATTTTGGAAACGCCATAGAAAACTCTCCGGGAATTTAGGGGCATAGAATAGGTTCTCAAAAGATTCTCGTCGACGGCGAACGTCGTGGAAAGCGGGCTAAAGGTCGACTTTTCCGAGTTGACATCAAAAGAGGACTGCTCGAAGGGTTTCCTTCTCGTCTTCGCGACCGCTCGAGGACTTGGACTTATAATTCCTTGCTTGTTTTATTCATCGCAGAATTGTATCCAGGTGCTTCGAAGAATCTCGCACGAGATAATGATTTTCCGGCGTTATTATTTCGCGTATCGCCCGCCCCCCTTTTTTTTACGATTTCTGATAGCGAGGAAAACGCTCCTCTCGAGGATTCAATATCCTAGCATCGCCTTTTTACGACCTAATAATGTTTTTTTTTTTACAACGGCCGAGCTAAAGGAAACTACCTAGTGTATACGTATCATCGTTGATGTGAATAAAAATCTCTTTGCAACCTTTCTTTTTTAAATAGAAACATTGCTGTGCAAACAGGCGGTGAAAAAATTTAAATTTACTACAACTAGCTGCGGGTTGTTGGATGACCGAAAGGTTGGGGTACTTTTAGGCTTGATCAACAACCCTTTCATGCTTTAAGGTCGCCGGTGCTTTTCATTTAAACTGGACAAAACGGACTAAACTGTATCGCAGCGATGCCGGATCTAATATAAAATAATGCCTACACGAAAGGGGAGCCTAATCAAATGAAATCGAAAACTGAAACTTCGAACAAGATGGATTGTTTGACGAAGACGAAGGTATCCGTTTTCGTTGTAAGTTATACAGCTACCCTTTTTAATCATAGACGTCGAAGTGATACTATTCACTTAAGAGACATCAGGAGTTTCCTCTTTCTATATCAATTTGGAACTTTGGCTGATAGGTTTTTCTTGCAGTAGTTTACGTTGATTCATTGTTAATGGAAGATGTATGATTCAGTAGAATAGGATAGGAAATCTAGATCGATTTAATTCGTTGTTATCGAGGCGATAAAAATTAGATAATTAGAACAGGAATACCCGGTAAATTATTTATTTATATTGTTTTCCTGCGTTAACGATTGTTTGTAATTTTTATAAATATTCAATTAATTGCATAAGTAACAACAAATTGCCGACAATTTCACATTACATATCTATTTATATATTTTTTTTATTGTGTTATCGTGATGATACATAATAAGTAGTTGCAAAAAAATTACAGCTTTAGTGATGTTTGTAAATAAAAATCCGATTTTTTCCCGAAGTAAACGATACGAGCAATTAACTTCCACAACTCGATTATAAACTTGGAACTCTAAAACTTAGCGTAAATAAATCAGAACTGATTCGTTACGCACATAACGCAAGCGAATAATGGCTAAATTACACGCGTTTGTCGGCGATGCATAAAAATAATCATCTATTATGCAATTATTCCCAATACCTGCAAACATGCCCGAGGCTATTATTAGATCGGTTGACGTTTGATAAGCGTCATTAAAAATCGAAAAGTACGCACTAAGTACTCGACGAAATCCCTATTTACTATGCATATATTCGATCAATCAATATGAATATGAGATTTACAAGTATCGCTAAAGAATTGTTTTATTGCGCGTCGACCCGCCCGATAATTCGCCGGACTAATTAGCACTAAACCTAGTTTTCGAAATTGTTTTTCCATAATCGTTAACCGGATTTAGCGGAATTATACGGATAACGGCGCCCCGTAATGGGCCCTTTACTAATCATTAAACCGCGGTTTAATCGCTAATGCCGGGCTTCAGACGGCCCATCTTCATCGGATCGTGTTTCGTGTTTACATCTAATCCCTCCGCTTTGCAAGGACTAAATAAATAACCGATTGCATTTAACAAAAAAAAAATACGAATTGTGTTGTATTCCAAATTTCCGAATAAAATCGGTAAACGCCAATTGATATTTCAACGTTCTACTCTTTTATTAGCACAACATAAATCTCGGTTAACAATAACAAACTGGAGTTATTGTTCGTTACTTTGGTTTCAATTGTTTATACATGCAATACATTTTGTATGCAGTGAAGTGTGTGTGTCATGCGCTAGATGCATCTAAATTTGGTTCTTGAAATATTATACTTGTGCATAATAAGCTAGTTTATTGTATCCATTATAGCGGTTAAAATAACCCTTTTGGGTCTATCTGTGTATAGAATCCAAAAACACAATTAAATTCATCATCTTGGGACACTGTATATCGTGTTAACGAGACATTTCTGTACACGCGTCGGTTTTTAATGCGATTTTTTATGCGAAACGTCCTTAATTTTTCAATAATTCCCCCGCATCGATAGACAGTCGGTCGGGTCTTTTTTTACCTTTGAAAGTTATTCGTGTTTGGAATACGTAGCGGGGAAATCGATCACCTCTATAAATAATTCATAGAATTACACCAATTTCAGACATGAATGTCTGTAGGTTCGTACGCCGTGGATTTCTGGTAACCGGTCGTCGATATGAAATTGGAATTGCCGTTTCGAATCGCGAAATTGCCGAATTAGATGTTGAGAATTTCGCGCCGAGCGCCTTTAAATGCACGGGAAATTTCGCCCGGCGCGGAAAATCGTTTGGAAACGTCGTTATTGACCCGACGGGGTGTTTAGAGTAGTTTTTTTTGTATCGATTTGATTCGAACAGAGCTTCGTACGAGTTGACTTTAAGACTGCTGAAGTATTTACCGAACGAGGCCCTTTTGCTATTGGATTAATTCCGAATTTTCTACTGGACGTTTTGGGGAAATTATCGAAGAAAACACGCCAACTTTTTTAATTAAAACCGGTATTTTTTGTACCGCGAAATTGCCTTCTGTTTATCTGGTAGATTACGTTTTTATTTTTTTATGACTTTTTTTTCGTGCTTTTTTTTGTGATAATCGCGAATAGGAAAGCTAATTTTCGTCGAACAATACAGCTCTCCTATTGATCGCGAAACGAAAATAAACGTTAATAAATCGAAGATGATTTATAACCGTGAGATGATACTTCATTTAAGAATTGATTCTAACGATCCGTTTTTTGTGTAAATAAATCGCGCAATTGCCTACAAAAATATACGAGCTGTCCTAATTATTAAATAATATCACAAGTAGATGAATGTATTGAAAATTGGTCAGGAAATTGCAATATTTTAGAATATAATGGGTGAGATTTTGCATGAGCCATAAGCGTGACGCGGTTCAATTTGTCAAAATGCATTTGTGCAAGCACTTTTACATGATGTATGATATTCATTTCCTATCAAATATTTCATATACAGCTGATGTAGACGGTGGAAATTCGCTTAGTATGCAGCTTCTAATAGTAAATTAAAGCGATATTTAGTTAGTTAATTAATATTTTTTTGCTTTATCAGATCGAAATCGAATTAACCGACGGTCTTTTTCTTCCCTTCGGTAAACGAAGAGGAAACGCTTCCGTAAGCGTAAAATTAGTTGGGCAAAAACAAATTGGCAAAGTTAAATTATTTGTTTCGTTCGCCCGTCTTCTCCGAGAAGTAAGTTGCGATTTTCCGAAATTGGCTGTGTTCGACATGAAGCAAAAAAAATCGCAATTTTCCTTCCAACAATTACAATATACCAAATTTTCAAGTAACTTTCCAACGAAGACATGTTTGCGGTACACCCCGTAAACGATTTTAATTTAACGAGACACTTTATCCCGCGTTTAATTTGCTCTTGACTCGATCGATGATGCGACATAATCCATTCGAAATGTACTGACATTTTCGCGATGCGAGTATTCCTCTTGACCGTCCATTATGATGTTAAAATATCGATCAACTTGCCGATGGGCGAACGCGAAAAGGCTTTGAAATGTAGCTTAACCGGATTTCATTCCGTACGGTCTCGTCTGATTTCGCATTCATGCCGAGGAAATCTCTTGTTTGGAAAAATCGAGCTCTCTATTCAATGCAAAATGCACGCCCAATCTCGACCAGATCTTGCCACAGCGGCGGGGAATTACCGCGATTGAAACGTTTTGAATACCAAATTTATCTATTTATCGCGGTTATTTTTACTTGTGGATTCCTATAATGAGCTGATTGTTCGTTCAGTATATCCCGTTTTGGAGTATATACAGTTAAAGGTGCAATTTCATATAAATTTTGTTAATTTGTGAACCCATTTTTGAGCTAGATGCCTTTAAAGTTGAAATTTAAAAACCAATTTTCTCTTCATTAATTCATCTCTTGTTTGTATCAGTGTTGTTTTTGTTTACCCAAAAATCTCTCTAAGTAGGTACCTATCATCTCAATTTAAAATTGAAATTTCTCTTGAACCGTTAATTTTTTCGACTTCAAACAAAAGAGTTCATTTTTGTTAGTTTATCAATTAAAGAATGTACATTTACAAAATGTTTGCCTTATACAGATTGTCCCTATTAAAATTACGAATTGTTAATCACCAGGAATACTATCTACTTAAACTAGGGAGTAGTGTAGGAATTATTTTATTACCAAATTGGGTACCCTTATTTTGATGTCATCTATACCTCCCCCGAGTTATTGACATATATTTTCTGGACACCCTGTAGGTATATTTTTTGAGGGACACCCAGTATACAGACTCTCGGCGTTAGGCAATTTATTGCCGTATCGTTTTAAATCCGTGTTAATTGGTAACCAGTTCTGTTGTTACTAGGAATGAATAAAATCGCAATTCTCTAGAATCCAAAATCAAACCAGAACGTCACCTTTAGGTCGTTAAAAGCCGTTTAATCTAATCAGTTCCTTTAATTTTCCTTCCAGGTGTCCGGAACTTCCATCACCATGGGATGCTTCGGCAGCAAAGACAAATTGTCCAAGGAAGACATGGATTTTCTTAAATCCCACACCCGTTACGATGAAAGTACAATAAAAGAATGGTACAAAGGGTTTAAGGTAGGTCAAATAGTACTTAATTTAATAGTAGAGTACGATATTTTTACTACGTTTTATAAAAAAAATTGTTGGGGAATTTGGGATAAAATTCTTTTGGGTTTTATTGCTTACTCTTTCGGTTTTGATAGATAATAATTTATATCACTCGAAAGAGGATGAAATATAATACCTCGTCTTTCTGACTATAATCATGACATTCTATCTTGCAATTTTTCTTCTATACACCAGAAAAATATCTCGATTTTTTATCACATTTTTTGCTGTAGTAAAAGTAGTGTATACCCTACCCTAAGTAGTGTGATTAATAATTTTAACAGGTTAAATTCGCTCCATTCCAAAGGAAATATTATTAAACTTTGTACCGTTTTCGGCGTCTTGGATGGATTGAAAACCGTCCTCTTAAATAAACCGTACGCTTAATAAGGGTACAGCGCTCATTTGGCGCTTTTAGTTTAATTAAGGAAAAGGTCCTGCAGGACCCAAAGCGTCGTTTCGGTTTAATAATTTTCTCGAGAACGAGCAATATCGAGTTTAAAACGAATTGATTAAAGTACGCCGGTAAATTGCTAACTATTTCATACCTATTTATTCATACGGCACGTGTTTTTTGTACGATATATAAATAATCCGGCAGATAAATAAGCTTCCAGGTAAGCTACTCGAATTATTTGTTCTACATGTAAATCCGCATAAACATATCGCGATGCAAAATTTCCCAATTTGCGCCCGGGCAATATTTATAACAATTTCGCCGGTGCCGCGGTAATCCGTTTCGAAATTTTCCGTTTCCAGCTCGTTCGTTAACTGGAGAAATCCACCCGGCCCGTTTTCGGGACATTTCCAAAAATATTGCCCGAGCGAATGGGTTTAAAAGCCCGAAAATAATGGCGGGAATATTGCGAGTTCTCCGTTTCTTTTATAATACAGCGAGAAGAAACGCTTTCCGGATTAATCAAGCGCGCTCGAAAGGGAAATAGAGAAATTTAATTTCGACATTCGGGCCAATTCGAAGGTCTTTTTGGTGATATACGGGAACTTGCTTTTAGTATATTTAATACAGAGGGTTCTGAAGAAAATAAAATGATATTGGAGTATAGTATTTAAAGAGGAGAATCGAATGTTCTGTTTACCGTGAAACAAGAAGGAAATTCGGTTGGGATCGCAGTCGCTGCGAGCGATAAAAATTTCATTCGAATCGAATCGGAATCCTAATCCAATAAACGGCTCGATATAAACGGGCCGGCACAATGAAATTTCATGAGCTTCCCTTTTCCCCATTTACGCCTGTACGGTTTCGCAGCCGTCGCGAAGCTGCGATTTCTAATTGAAGCCTCCCTCTTTCAACCCGTCACCGTCGCGCTTTTGTCTCCGCTTCGCACAAAAGCGCCCTTTTCCAGCGTCTCCTATCTCCGCCATTATATTTTCCTCTCGCGATAAATAACACAATTATCGTGCGTCGCGCAACCGAGACGACAATGCCGCTAGTAGTCTCCTTATTCCGAATGGAATATCGCGAATTTTACGCGAGTCGCATCCACCCGTCACTCAAGATGTGCTAATGGAATATCTCGGGACGCTCTGTATTCGCTGTTTATCGATCATCGGTTTTGTCTAGTTAAAGGATGCCGCAGACCAACGCGAAACTTCCGCAGCGATTCCGCAGCGATTCCGCAGCGATTCCGCAGAGATTCCGCAGCGGAACCTTAGACACGGCGGATTATGAAAGTTTCGCGGCGGAAAAGTTTCGCGTTGGTCTGTGTGGGATCCTTAAATTAGGTATAAATCCGCCGGCGTGGTGAATAAAATTATTTATCGGGTCGCATGGGCGAGTACAAGCCGAGTATTATAATTATATTTCAGCGTGTAAGGGGTGTAAATGTTATCTGCGATTCGAAAGTTCGAATCAACAAAGTTCGCGTGCCATCGCGTCGTACAATTACACCGGTTTCGAATCGGATTTGCAGGCGACACACGTCGAGGAAAAACGCGAAAATTACGTTTTGGAAAATGTAATTGTTTCGAATAACAACGAAATAGTTTAGCGATAAATTGTATTCTTATCGAGTACTTTCACTTTTCGCATGCTCTGTATTTGCGTAGGTTATAGCTGTAGGAATGTAAACTTCATTGACCTACATGCCTCGACGGTTGACGGTCCTTTTCGTTACGAAAAAAATAAATATCAATCTAATGCCTGCACGTTCGCAGATAACCTCATTACGCCGCTAAATCTAGGTTAAAAAAATTTGCTAAAAACGCGATCCAGAATAATTTCTGCAGGCATTCAACATATATACAGAGCGGCCCAAGTCCTCCTCTACAGATTCAGTACTTATTTGGGCTCGTTAAATTCGTATATGCCCTATGTAAAAACCGCGGGGACGAATCGATAGAGCGAAAATTGTTCGGAATTTCAGTGCCAATTAGACGATGCTAATCGGCGAATTTTCCGGCGGGGCGCTCACGAAAACGGAAAAGGGCCATTCTGTTGTATATCGAATTTTATAGAGATTCGATTGCGATGTTTTCGTGAGAGTCTTTTCGCTCGATTGGGAGAGTGCTGAATCGACGCGATTCGAGATGAGTTCGTTGTTGGAGATTTAAAAGACACGCTGATTGATGGTTGACCAATTAAACATCGTTCAAGAGTGAATTGAATTCGAAATGAGGGAGAATCGATGGGAATGGCCGAAGCTTTGAAAGATTCAATCTCCGTACTAGCACATCAAGCGGGTGATTCAAAATTGAAAATAATGGTGTTTAAATGCAGATTATTTTTTGACAAGTAATGTGATGGATTTATGTATTTGGAAAGTTTGTTTGAGAAAAGTTATTTCGATCCGCGTTAAACCTATCCGTATTTTATAGACCGCGCTTAGCTGTAGGTGAAGCTATTAAAATGCATCGGTGATGAGCTCTTTACGGGAAAAATTGCTTTCCGATACGGCGCTTTTACGATTCCGGAAACTGTAAAAATATTATCTCTTTAGCGTTTTTTATCTATTCCATTTTATATCTGCACCATGTCGATTTTATATAGTTAACTAAAGTTAAACGTGCGGTAGTAATACTTAATGGGTGTATGTTGTAAAAAATATACTGTTTCAGGGGAAATTTATACTAGAAAAAAAAAGATATCAAGTTACACTACCAGCACAAGCGCAGTTTTTATTAAAAAAGTAATTGTTTTCTGGTCCATCACACATACGAGTACTATTTTTGTAATTACGTTTCGTGCATGAATCCCGAGACTTCTTCAGCTTTTTCTGAGCCGTCTCGTTTGTAATTAAAACTGATTAACGACTCTGCGCGGCGTTCGTTAAAAACTGCAATATAGCCTGCCACATTCGCCGGAAAATTCAATTAATTTAAAAACTCAAAATTATATCGAAATCGCCGTAACATATTTTTCATTACGTCGACCGACTGTTTTTCGGTTCTAGCGGAATCGATTTTAAATCGACGAACCGGGTCGAACGGGCTAACGAATTCGCGCTGATTTGAATTTAAGATTTATTTCCATATTCATAAAGAGGGTTTTAATTAAAACGCCACAATATGTTACATCACTGTCCTAAAAATAGGCGGAGTTTTCGTTTATTTCTAATCGCGGGTGGATTAATTGGAACTCCGATTGTCGACCTTTTATTGTCATGAGATTTGGCTACTCAACTTTGTGCTGTACCGTGTAATGTATACATATTTTATGAATAAAAATCTAGTATAATATTTTGCTCCATATCTATAATTTATCTAACAATAAGTGGGTAAGTATTCATTAACCTGAATAGTGTATCGATTTTTTATATAAGTGGTTATTTTATATCTTATATCTACATACATATAAATTATACTCATAAATAATAAATAGGCCATATATTGCGTCGAATTTTTTTAATGCGCATACAAGAAACTAGTATAAATATTGGTGGAAATTAAAAATTTGGTGGAATCTCTGGATATTTCTAACCATTGAAAAACCAGATACACATCTGATTAATTTAGCACGTTTCGCTACTTTTCGTTTACGGAAAGGACTCGATTTTATATTTTCCCCATTTCACCTGCATTGTTTACTCGGGAAATTCGAGAAAATTCCCCTGCAGGTATCGTTGCCGCTGAAAGTCGGCGGAACAAAGAATACATGTCGAATCTAGAATCAAACAAACAACAGAACAAATAATATTAGTTCACTGATTTAAGCGAATAAAAATTTATTTATTACGATCTCCAAAAAAACCGTTCTTGTCTATAATAAAATTCGTCGGCTCGTGCTCATACAGGACGTTTCCAATATGTATGCAAATATACAAAATATTCGTCGTGAATAAATTAACAATACACAAGCAAAGCGATTGGTTGCAAACGAAAATAAACAGAGGTGTAAATCGTAAATCGGCTGCTTAGTCACCCGGCAACCCACGATATTTGCGTCATTTACGCCTCGAATCGATGGTTTTTTTAATTAAAAGAGACTCGGGCTTCCCGAGCTTTCGAATTGCGCTACAAAACGTAAACAACTGATCAATCATTTTACCTGTAATTACCCGACAAAAGTCCCACTCCGGTGCGATTAACGAATAAAATTAGCGCGTTATCCCGGCGGGTTTATATCGATTATTTTTTTTTTGTTGCAGCAAGACTGTCCAAATGGCCGGCTGACGCCCGCGAAATTCGTAGACATGTACAAGATGTTCTTCCCGTCCGGCAACGCGGAGGAATTCTGCGATCACGTGTTCAGGACATTCGATATGGACAAAAATGGGTACATAGATTTTAAGGTAGGTTTCATTAAATCTAATTGAAACAAAGCGGGAATGGTTTTTGTGTTAACTTTTATATTAATCTCCAGAGGTTTGCGGTTTTTTTTAATTAGCGAAAAACGTAGCAAAAGTCGGCGCATCGAAGGGAGAAGTCCGTTTCATTTTTTAATCCCTCGAATATTATTCAGATTAATAGCCGAGGCAAAAAAAAAGGGGGAGCTAAATGTCATCTCCGAAATGCCAAACAATTCCGTTTCGTAATTTATCAACTGCTATTCTTACGTTTTATCCGGGCGATTTATGCGAGATAAGCTCGAAATTAAGTCCCGTCCTATTTACGGGAAAACCCTTTCTCGCCTACCGAACGCGATGTTTCGACTCGATTGCGGTTTTTCCTTCACCCCCCGATCCTTGTCTCTGTTCGAACACGATCCCGCGTAACCGTTTTAATTTATTACCGATCCGTCCGACCTCAAGCCTCTTTAATTAGTCCCCCGATTCTCGTTCGCATCGTCCGATCAATTAAAATCCGAGTCGCCGGTGAAATATTTAAAAAGTCTTTTCGAAGTCAATCTCGGAAAAATTTATAACTTAAATTGCGCCGGCGAGTAAATTTTCGGCGGCGGCGAATCCGCGCTCACTCGCGGGCTTTCTTTAAAAGCTTTCGCGAAACGTTCCCGTCGCCCGGCATATTTGAAAGTTTAATGTATTTTAATTTGGGCCCGAGTCGGGATTTTCCCGAAAAAAAGAGGGATATACGACGTGTCGTAAAAAAATCGATTTCTTAATGGAAATGTTTTATTTATCCGGCCCGTGTGGAGGATTATAATACGAGGGAAATCGGATTAAAGTTGGGAGCAACTTGGGAGTTGCGACCATTGAAAACTTGATGCTCGCCAACAATGAATCGGACTAATATAATCTGTGCGGTTTCTAATACTCGAATGCTGGAAGCTGGCGAGTTTGGGAGTTCGGGAGTTGTGGATTTTGTTCTCTCTAATTTCCCTTTAACGTCTGAAACTCCATCAATCAACAGTCGAAGCGAAGCGACGTCAATTTTTATCGCAAACGCTATTTGAAAATTTCATTTACCCGCGACGTTTAATCGATAATTTCCCCGTGCATTTTACCACCCATTTAGCCGAAAAGGCTACCATAAAATAACGTATCAAACAAACCATCTCCTCGTTCCATATTTTGTTTTAATAAAACCCGAAGACAAAGGCATCCCTCGAAAATATATTTACGCCCCGAGCGGCTTTTCTCCGCGGGGCCGAACGCGACTTTCGCCGATCTCCTTAATTCGCTTCGCCTCCGGTTCGGCGAGTTTTCCATTCGATGCTGGCGGTACGGAAAATCCCGTTTAAAATCTCGCAAACGAATATACAATAACCGAAATTCGCAAAGTCGCGAGAGAGAGTTCACAGCCGTTAAGTCCGATCAAAGCGAAGACGCCGCCGCTGTGGAAACTTCGCGTTTTTCAGCGTTAGAAAAATTCTGATATAGGTCGGGAGGGTCCCCGACGGGCGTTGGACCCCTTCGCCCCCGCTTAATAAATTATTAGCGCTAAGCTGGAGAGGGTTTTCGAAACGATTATTACCTTCTCCGGTTGCGTTTTCAGGAATTCCTGCTGGCGATCGATGTGACGTCGAGCGGCACGCCGGAGGAGAAGCTCAAATGGGCCTTCCGCATGTACGACGTCGACGGCAACGGCGTCATAGACATCCAGGAGATGACGAAAATCGTCCAGGTGAGGAAAACTTCGCTATAATTCGCTTTAATTCACGTTAACAGTACGATTTCTTGGAGTTTATGTTGCCTACCATCTAGAGAACTTTGAAGATGGCTTCCATGCATGGTGATTTTCATTACCAATTGGTGGAAATCATCTTTAAATGAAGATTTTTTCAAAGGTGTTTGTGTCACTCTATCCTATCCTATTTGTGAAATCCATCTTCAAAGGTCTTAATGTTAAATTTACTAACACTACCATACTGCATTTGGTGAAATTCGTCTTCAAAGGACCTAATCTCACTTTACACTATCCTACTGTACTTGGTGAAAGCCATCTTTAAGGATAATTAGTTCTACCTACCCTCTCCTACTTTGTGAAAGCCATATTACACCTTACACTACCCTACTATACTTGGTGAAAGCCATTTTCAAAGGTCATTATGTCACTCTACCCTACTCTACTTGGTGAAAGCCATCTTCAAAGCCTTTGTGTCATCCAACTCTACCCTACTCTGTGGAGGCCATCAAACGGTATAATAGTCGTTAAACATACCGATTGATCCCAGTTTAGTGCAAGTCGAGCATCGTGACATTTCCTTCCGGAACGAAAGGAAAAAAAAAACCTTTTAATGGAAGACATCTCGGGCGTTTGCCGGTCCATTAATCCAGGCGCGCGGGGTGGCCCGATCCGTGCGGTGGTTTTCGGCCGCGGATCGGCGTCGACGGGCGTCGTCCCACCTGACATTTGCCCGTTAATGGTCCGCTCGGGGCGCCCGTTTAGCCCGAATCCGTTTCGCAATTATGGCGGAACGGCGCGCGCGCCCCCCCGCGGATTCGGAGAGAGGCCGATTTTGTGTTTTCGACGAGCGGTTAATTTCCCGTCGAGTGAAATCGGGGACTTGGTGCGGCGCCGATTCTAAAACGACGTAAACAACTCGAGCGAACGGGTAAATAGTTAATTCGAGCACAAAACCGGGGGGTTGTTAATAACGTCCTACGCACCACCCTTTTTTTTGTAGTAAATCGATCGTGCGGAAAGTACCACTCTCTCGAGTCTCGGTAGAATGTTGTGAAACTAAACATACGGAATTACATATATTCGAAATCTTGCTGTTTCCGAGATGTTGCGCGGCTTGTTGAATGCGCTTGTAGAATTCCCCTTTTTCGTCCCGAATTTACGACTAGGATATTCCGCAGAATAAACGCGAATTGAATTTCATGAAGGCCTATTTGCGCTGCTCTGGATTCCGAAACCGAGCGGAAAACACTGAAGTTGTATAATTCCATTTTGAATAAATCATTTCCACGATGAATGGCTCGTCTTATTTGTTAATAGCGCTGTTCCGCGTCGACGGAGCTACGAAGGGTTCGATTCGCGCTAATTTTTCCGTACGAATACCAATCGATTTTATTTCTGTTCTGAGGAATATTCGCTACGACCATTAATCATTTTTGAATGGGAATTTGAGTCAATCTCGCGTACATTTTTCACTCCTGCGGGTCATTAGTCACAAAATATTTTCGGATTTTTCGTATTTTCGTCATAAGCCGTAATTACTGCATAGTCGAATAAAGGAAGTTCGGAAAATACAAGAGAAGGGTCGAAAAATCGACGTTTTGACCCTATAAACTTTTATCTTCAGGGTCAAAATTGCAAAATAACTTTCTTTTTTCGGTTTTGTCCACTTTTTTTGTCGTGAAAAAAGTCGTTTCCGATGTAAATCGACATTAGAATTTCTAAAATCGACGTTTCGACTCTAAAAAGTTTCATCTTCAGGCTCAAATTTTGACTTGAGAAATTCAAAAATCAACGTTTCGACTCCAAAAAGTTTCATCCTCAGGGTGAAAATTGCAAAATAACTGCCTTTTTTAGGTTTTTTCACTTTTTTTGACTGGAAAAAGTCTTTTTCGATGTGAATCGACATGAGAAAATCAAAAATCGACGTTTCGACCCTATAAAATTTCTTCTTCAGACATAAAATTGCACAAAACCCCCTTTTTCACGGTTTTTTCCACTTTATTCAGGTACAAAATTACAAAAAAAATCAAGTTTCCTGTACCAAGAAACCGTCCTGTACCAAGTATATAAGTCCATTTAACAAATTTTTTCAATCCAATTAACACCAATCCATTCATCTACTTCATCTGCAAGTGTCGCCCGTCGTCCTTAGCTCTATCAATCGAGAGCCGTAAGCGAGTTGAAATTTCGCAATTTTGTTTTTCCACAGGCCATATACGACATGTTGGGCGCGTGCTCGTCCAACAGGCCGGCCGATTCGGCCGAGGAGCGCGCCAAGAACATCTTCGCCAAAATGGACGAGAACAACGACGGCCAATTGACCCAAGACGAGTTCCTGAAGGGCTGCCTGCAGGACGAGGAGCTGTCCAAGATGCTCGCGCCCTAATGCGTTTGAACGGGACGCTTTCGATTCGTTAATCAAATGGAGATTTACAAAAACAACAACAACAAAATAAGTCTTATCGTTGCATTTAGGTCCGCAAAAAACCTGAATCGATATTTTTTTGTGTCCTGACTAAACAAAAACAGTGCATGTTAATTGGTAACAAGACAAAACGTTTCTTTTTACACCGCGGCGCATTTTTCATGTGAATTTTTGGGGGTTTTCCGAAAGCGACGGGGGAATTTACAATGGCATTTAAAAGAGATGGCGTTCTGTATACATTTTCGTTTGAATTGTCGAGCATGTCTGTCTTTCGCTTGTCTGTGTTATCTACCCTTGCTTGTACTTTATACTCGTGGATAAAAAAAATATGTATATTTTTATTACGGATCGGCAGGCCTATCCTAAACGAACGAATTCCGACGGATTTTCGCGGACTTGTTCGCGAAAATCCCGACCGAATGTCCTGGTAAAAATCAGATCAAAACATATTAATCTGACTGCCATAAATAAATAGTTGGATAAAGAAATAATCAAATTTTAAACTAAAAGGGTGTAACTAAATGTGATAAAAGTTAATATTTACAGCCCGTTTTTACCGGGCGATAAACGCATTAAAATCCGCACGTTATTTTAATCATAATCAGGTTTATTTTGGCCAACTTTCGACTGAATTTCTGTTTAAACGGGTAGCAAAACGTCGCACAAATGTTCGGATAGAAACAACATTAGGAAATAGTTTAAAAAAAAATCAACAATTTTTTAGAACGTATATTGGTCGATTATATCTTTAAATTTCCTAGATGCATTTACACGTATACCTATTTATTATTTTTGTACATACTCTATTTTAAACTTACAAAATATTTTCCCTACATGTTTAGCAAAACAATAAGTTATAAGTTCATTCCGCCGACGGTTCTGAACCGATTTCGTTTCACGGATTATCGTAGGTAATAAAACGCACATTTTATCTTTACTGGTGATCCGTTAAAATAACCTAAAGTCAAAATAGCTCAATGAGAAAATTGCCCGAGATAGAACAGCCCCGACAAAATATAGTTAAGGAGAAAAAAACCTGTCAAAGTACAAGAATAAATGGACTATTTTGTCATAGGCGATTTTGTCTTTGGGCAACTTTATCTTTGGGAGATTCTGACGGGTCACGATCTTCAGTTCATCATCATGTAGTACATTTAAAGTGGCAATCAAATCACGGCGTGAGACCAAAAAATTATATAAAAGAATTAAAGAAATAAAAAGAGTCAATTAATGTTATAATCGATGTGATCCCTTTCGTTTAGCAATTAGTAGTCGTAGAAGTAAAACGTAATTAAATGTGAAGCTTGACGGAGGAGCGACGACAAAAATAACGCTTTTCTTTTATGTTATTAATGTGCTTTAAATGAGCTCAAATGCGTAGTAATAGACCACTCGTATTCGTCCATACTGTAACGTTTATTTCGTATAGATATAATAACGAGAATTTCGATTATCTTACGTTAGAATTTGTCGTTGTTTGTTCCTCGCGAATCATTCCAATTTCAACTGTCTGCCACTCTTTCGCGTGGACCCTAATCCGTGATAGAAGTATACACTCTTTACCCGAAAATAACGGCGTTTATTCCACCGGTAAATGCAGTTATTTTTCGCTTGAATCAAAATAAAAAGACCAAAAAATCTTCTCTGCTCGAGCTGCATGCGTACCCCTCGATTTTCCGTAATTTCGGTGTTTACCGAACATTCTTCCTGAGGCATTTCGTGAAATATGTATACCCGTTTTACCCAATTAAATAAATGTGTAGGTTCTAGAAAATTGAATATTTCGATGTACCCCTTTAGCGTAACGTTACATTTTTAAGATAGGGGTGGCTCACGACGCGTAGCGAAAAATTCACGGGGTGGCTCCGCGGGTTGGGATACAGGGTGTTTAATAATTCTCTCGACTTTAGCGGAATCGCCCCTTTTGAGGGAAATTTTTCAAAGCGTTATATACAGGGTGTCCTGTATATTCATTCGCATGCCTTTGGTGGTATTTAGTCGAATGGAGAGGAGTACGATGTGAGATATACGGTTTTTAATCGGATATATATGAATAGAAATAAGTCAGTAGAGCTCAAATCAGTTTTCAGTTGCTGAAAATATTCAATATTTTAGGAAATATGGCCCTTTTAAATTTTGACAAGTGACGTGTAAATTCACTAACCAATCACTAAACGAACGAGTTATATTGTGTCATTAGTGTCATAAGAATTCGAACGAAATGTTCGGAAGAATAGAAGAGACGAACAAAAACTGAAATGTAACATCAAATGACAGATGACATATCTAGGGTTATGTTATTGTAGTTTCTTTGTTTTAAATTTTTTGGGTAAATAAATTAAAAAAAGTCTTACTCCTCTCCATTGTTTCGAATCGAAATGAGTTTTTTTTATTCGTTTCGCCGCCAAACGAGCAGCTTGATGTTAATCTTCAAGTTCCACCAAACACACACTTGGGCCGGTTACTTGCTCGCACTATCAGAAAAAAAAAACATTGTCAAGTGCACTTTCTCGAACGAAAAGGACCAGTTCGGCAGAGGGTATGCGCACTTAAATGGAAATTTTAGATGTTTTTAATATCGATGTATTCTGTACTTACATTTAAGCATATCATATTCATATTGTACCACTCTTCGTAGAGATAAATCTTAACTCAACTGTCCGAATTTTCCGCTCTCGTTTCGCCAGATTTTGGGAACAGTTTTCGACGATCGAATGCCCATCCGAAAATCGATCTAGTTCGCGTAAGGGCGCGCGAGATCTTCGCCGTATAAGAAAAATCGATCGGGGTGCCGGGTCCGTCATTGAAACGCCCTTGGATGGAAGTGTTTGTATGCTAAGCACTCGCGTTCTGCACGTAAGAAGAATACTTCTGATCGATGCTGCCCGTTGCGTTCATGATAAGCTCGCCCTATCGGCCCTACAACGTGTAACGGGTGGCCCAATTAACTCGAAAACTCCGCGGGAAGATTTCCGCACAAATTGGCAACCCTGCGCGTGTTTAGTTGAACAAAGATAGATTATTAAAATAACGGTGGTTAGAGTGAGAAAGTAGCAATTCCACACTATCACTCCTCCTCTTTCCTCTTACAAGACACTAACGGAAGTTGTTTTAGTTGCATCCATAAAGTATATTGCACTTGCGTTGTAATAATTATATATTTTTTTTGGTAATTTGTGGGATTTTTGTGGTGTCACCCGTTACACGTGCATGTTCCTCTTGGCCCAAACACCTCCACCTCGACGGGTTTCGTCCAGTAGCTAATTCGAACTCGCCGAAGTAGGTTAGTCGCGTTTTTCTTCCATTAACCGCCGATTTTTCTGTTTGTTTTTTCGCCCGAGTCGCGTGACGCGTCCGCCGAGCGAAAATTATCGTTTCCAGCGTAATTGTTCGGTGTAAGTGGTCGAGTTAAATTGCCCCAAAATCTGTTAGTTTTTCAATTCGAAACGACCATCAAATGTATCAGGGATAATTCGATATCTTCTCGGCGATTCTTCTCGTACTCGCATTGTTTCGGTAGTTGTACGAGTGGTGTTTCCAAAGTTTATGGGCCTCAAAATCCAGTGCGATTGTTCTTGAACATCGGGAACTTTGGAAACACCCCTCGTATTTCGAAGTTGCAGAGATGGAAAGAAAATCGACCGTCCCCGGTTTCTTCGGGGCGTTCTATCATGCGTTTTACTCGTCATATTTTTCTACTTGCACATATTGTACGATACTCTTTAATGTAATATTTATTCTAGCTGTTAAACTAGATCGTAAGGATGTTGTTTGTGAAGGACACGGGACGTGAGCATGAAAACGCCCTTGGTTCCCAAAAGAAATAAACAAGAACCTACTACCGAAAACCTTTGACGTTTTTGATTGTTCTCCGCAGATTTTTTGTTATTCTACTAGTTAAAGTTTAATGTAAATTTTTCGTTGCCTACACGATTTTATCGAAGGTTTTTGATTAGTAAACCACACACATTTTTGAATTATATTAGTGGTAATGAAAAGGCAGGAAGCAGATCGTAGGGTTAAAAATATATATTACATATTGATGGCAGATATCTTTGGATTTTTATCACTAAATATTATGACAATTAAATGATATACATATTTAAATTGTATTTTATTTCGCCACGGCGAATATTCAAACCTGATTAATTAATAAAACAGTCTCTCTATCGGATCGATATACAAACGCACTGCAAATTGCACTATATCTACTCGTTTACTTTAAAAAATTTCACCGATAGATAAGTACTGTTTTAATAATTACGCACGAAACGCTGCGTGTTTTCGTCGAAAATACTTAACAAACGTTCCTGGTTTTAGGGGGAAGATACACAACTAAATTATAGGGGTCAAAAGCGGACTGATTGAACGAAGTGATGGGGAAGCAGAACAGCAAACTCAAACCCGAAGTATTGGAAGACCTCAAGCAGAATACGGAATTTTCAGGTCAGCAATCACCGCTCAATTTAAACTCCTCTCAAAGTGTACAGGACGAATCGAATCAATTTGTGCATTCCAGACGCCGAGATCCAGGAGTGGTACAAAGGCTTCCTGAAGGACTGCCCGAGCGGCCACCTCTCCGTCGACGAATTCAAGAAGATCTACGGCAACTTCTTCCCGTACGGCGACGCCTCCAAGTTCGCCGAGCACGTTTTCCGCACATTCGACGCCAACGGCGACGGCACCATCGATTTCCGGGAGTTCCTGTGCGCCCTCTCCGTCACCTCCAGGGGCAAGCTCGAGCAGAAGCTCAAATGGGCCTTCTCCATGTACGATCTCGACGGCAACGGCTACATCTCCAGGCAGGAGATGCTCGAAATCGTCACGGTAAGTCACCTCCTGGTTCCACCTCCTTCGAAGAGAACCAGTTACGGTAAACCGTTCTCTTCCGAGGATGATTTGTTAGGATACACTAGGTCCTAGTTCGTTGTACTCCCAGGTGGATAGGCTAGCGTGTACAAGGGCGCTAGTGGATGAGTTGTGGAGAGTTTCGAGCCGGTTCGCGGTTGAATTGCTGATTGATTGGTTTATTTTAGGCGATTTATAAAATGGTGGGGTCGGTGATGAAGATGCCGGAGGACGAGAGCACGCCGGAGAAGCGCACCGACAAGATCTTCCGACAAATGGACCGCAACAAGGACGGCAAATTGAGCCTCGAGGAATTCATAGAGGGCGCGAAGAGCGACCCGTCGATCGTGCGACTGTTGCAGTGTGATCCCCAAGCGCAGTAAGCGAATTCGAAAAGAAAGAATTGTAAGAAAAAACAACAACAACAACAAAGTTCTCTCTTCGACGGTTCGCTCTCGGCCGGCGCCCACGAACTTTCTCATACAGTTTTTTTTTAATCGTGTTTTATTTTTAATTTTTTTCGTTCCGTTCTTTAGTTTGTATACATCAAACCACTCTTGTGTGATCGCGGGGGTAACTCGGCAATGTCCCGGTTTTTTCGTCGTTTGTACAATTTTTAATGATGTAGCTGGAGATTTTTACTGAAACGCTGATTGAATACTCAATGCATTTAAATCGGGAATTGATGCATTAGGTTTCCGTTCGAATCACGCCGGTTGAAATTCGACCCGGTTTATTTGTACAATACCGTTACGGGAGGAATTTTAATGCGACCGATACACCGACGCAGGGCTCGTTGATTACTCAGTATTTCATTTTTAAAAAAAGTATTATTGAGATTTATCGGACGTGCCGAAGAAAATGTGACTTTCAATTTTTATCAGTGTACTTATCGGATTAGTGTATAAATCTATAAGAAAAATTACTCTATAGCATATTTATGCAGTATCGGAATAGCACTATTCCGTCTACAATGTGTAATTAGCATAATAATATTCCACATAAGGAAATATACAGGGTGTCCCGCTTAAGAATCGACCCAGAGCAGGAGAAGCCTTTAACACATATAAAAAGAAAGTTACATTCCTGAGAAGTTATAGACCTTTAAAAACGGTAAAAAGAATAAAGTTATGTACACTATATTAGGCTGTATTAAGTTAAAGGTGGGTTAAACAACATATTTTGAGCTCCCCTACAAGCCTATGTGTCGGTTCTTATGCGGGACACCCTGTATAATCATTAATTTAATACATACTGCATACAATCCGCACGATATACGAGTAATTAACGTATTATAGATTAATAAAAACTTTCTGATACTGCATAAAATACACGTTAAAGATAGATTATGACAACCCTAAAAAAAATAGGGTAGGAAAAAATTAATCTGCACGTTTTCTCGTTACGTTGTGTTATTTCGATTTCTAAGTGTTTATCGGTGTGATGTAAGTACTGCTAAATTTTCCTAAGCGTGTATTAACTATTTGGTGTTCAGTAAAAAATCACACATCACGTGATTTTTCATTATAAAATAAAAGCCGCGGATTGTTAACTCATCCTCGCATAGTTTTAGCGACATACATATTATATTATATATATATTTAAACTTTAAATTAATATTTAGCGTTGATAAGCAGAAAGATTTTTGAACGAAACTCTTTTGTGCGGCGATTCCGGCGCGAATTCGCGCCCGGCGACGTTTTCCTCTTATCATTTCGCGAATTTTAATGTCCGCCTCGAGAGCTTCGAATAGGTATCTAGTCCGCCATCTTGTTTTCGGGATTTTTTAGATGAGATGGCAATAGCTTGTAAGTTTTTTACGGTTTTACGAATTACTACTAGTTCTCTCTCTTGAGATAGTCGGTTGATGATCTGATTGTGGGTGTATTAGGAAATTGTAGTATTTAAATGGAGTCTTGAAGGCTATGATTACTTACAGTAAAATCCTACGGAATTGTTGCCAACTTAAAATTTTGCTCTGGTCAAAACCACGGTCTTACATACAGGTCTGGAAACTCTGCGATTTTCGAGTAGGGTTAATTTTGAATTTCTTGTAAGCTGTGTTACACTTCGGTAAAATGGAAAAAATTTAAATTTGGTAGGCAAAATGGCGGAATGAACTGACCTGTTATATACGACCGTGGATCATACTGAGCAATTGTTGCCAACTTAAAATTTGCTTTTGTAAAACGAGGAATTGTTGCCAACTTAAACTTGTAAAACGGATTATACTGTACATGTCATAATGTCCAATTGACTTGTTTGATGAATACGCTCGATAAATTCGTTTTAATGAAATCGACCAGAACTGTAGCAAACTGTAGTATTTTAGAAGATCTAGAAGATTTCGAGATGTCTCATCAGACGTCGGGAACATATCTTCAAAGTACGAGACCAAAATTTCGGCTTTCCTTATTGAAAATCGTTTCGTTCGGGAAAATTCGCGAGCGCGGAATTCTCGCCGGAATGCGCCGCTCATACCTTTTACTGAACTTATTATAAGATCCTTCTACCTTACTGTTTCTCTCTATATTGTAACCAAAATAATCTTATTCGAATATCACTTAAATGTTACTGTTTTCAAAGTTTTTAATGTGATTCGAAGGAAGTTATCCGGAGCGGTTTCGAATCGACTGATTATTCGAAACCGGCTCTCGTTTGTAGATGGTCTATTTTAAACTGGTTTTCCTAAATATATAGTTGTTAATATTGATGGTATATGGTGCTTATAAACAGGATAGTGTGGTACAGCACATTAGGCTTCTACGTTATTTAACTTTTGCTCTCTTCAAGTCAATTCGAAAAGTCGAAGATAAGATTTAAGGATTATTAACGTAATAGTAGATAAGTGAGATGCTTTCGGGCTTTTGAAGATTTTCATTTTACGATTATTTGCGAGCTTCGCCACAGGAGCGATATCAATTATTAAACGAGTACAATTACAGCTGTATCATAATTAAAATGTAATCAAAATATCAGGTAAATAAGTGCGTTTTAGTCGTAAAACTTTTAGACGAATTTTTTTTATATAAAAGCCAAAGTTGAAAGTTAGATAAACGTAGTCGCTCGCCCAGTTTTAGAAGTGGTATCGCCTGTCCTTTTTCCACCTATTACAAATTTTCGGAGAACTCTTCCGGGGCGCTTTGGAATCCGTTCCGAATCTCATAGAAAAATCAAAATTTGCTCCAAAAATACGAGGGATGTTTCCGAAGTTCCCGGAACTTTGGAAACGTCCCTCGTACGGGTTCTAGACAACTAGCGTGCATTTTTGCCTGGCAAAAGGAACAGTTCTCCGCCCAATTGCACTTTTTTTAACCTCCAATAGGATATGTTCGATTAAAGCGTGTCAGTTATCCGAAATGCGGTGTGTATAAAACGATTCAAGCTCTTAGACATTGTCCATAACGGTGAATTGTAAGTACTTTATTCCCCGAAGAATGAGAAGTGTTGAAAATTAATCGGATATTGCCGGACAACTAATAGGCTAGCCGTAGAAACCAATTAGTAATTTATTTAACTTATTTAATCCGTTACGGCTGATCGTTTTTTACGTCCGATCTCGGGGAAATTTATCAAAAATATCGGGGCTAAAGTACTTACAACTCGCCATAACTAACGAATTTTTTAAAACATTAGCGAAACCTCAACTGGCATGTGTTTAAAAAAAAATAATGGCCAACTGCAGAAACCTAAGAATTACTGATATTTTAACATTGAACGCCCCTACGTTATGGTAGGCGCTGGAATTTAGATATTATTAATTGTTTTAAGTGGATTTAACGCAAGGACTGCGAAATCGCGCCCTTGCATAAGGAGTACTTACTTTTTGTACTGCGATAAAGATGCTTGCAAGAATCCGAATAGGAAAATTCATCGGGTTTTTTTTATTGATAAATTCTCTCCCGTGCTGGTTTCAAAGACTACAATAAAACAACGCAAACACTTTTGCATGAGAATGGTATCCTTTAATAGATTTGTTTCGCTTCGCTCTGTCGATTCTTTCGTTTTACATTCAAATTTCTAGGGTTTTTATCGAACTTAGGTACCTAATTTTTATGCGATGAGTGCCTTCTAGCTTTCGACGGTCGTGTGTAAATTTCGCAGGTTCATTCACTGCCTTCTGTAAAGTAACTGTACTCGACTTCTCATAGGTTTTTTGAGCATAAATTTAGAGAAAAAAATCGAGTTGAAGTGAAACAATCACCGCAAATTGACGGGAATAGCTGATGATACATCTCACTGCTTCTGTTGTGATGATACGAAGAAAATTTCAGCCGGTTTATGAGTCCATCCAGTGAGTTAAATGGGACTAGGTGGAAGTAATAAAATCAAAACTAGAATCTCGAGGCCAACTCTACGTATTAAAGGCCTATTCTTTGACAATAATACTACCACGTTTCTCTACTGTCGAACAAAATCAATTCCAAGTACGAGAGGAATATTTTTTTAGTCAATACTGCACTAAACATTCCATGCAATTCCAGTTATTCTCGTCGATATTAAAGGATATTCAATTCGCTTGATTACAACGCGAAAAAGTGGCCTAAAATAACCCACAAAAAATGCAATAGCTCTAGTCGTTACGTTCGTTTAATTTATTATCGAAATTAGTGTTTTTTTTTGTACTGCAGGCCGTCCAATGGGCCTTAGCACAAAAGAATATGTGCAAGCACACACACAAATAAACACAAAACACACATACACACACCGAACATGTCTTGATCTTCCCTAAGTCTTGCGCGCGATTGTGGTTTTCATTACCAAAATGAACTTACTCATCTATTACATGTAATACCAAAATAAAATTTGCTGGTGCATCAATCAAATGTTGATTATCGCCTTTCATTTACTAACCCAATTTTAATCAAGTAGGTAATTTATTAACTAATTTTCAAAATAACTATAACATATACTTATGGTATACACCTGCGGGTTGTAAGGAAGCCAGTACGTTTAATCGAAAACATGGAAGGAGAGATCATAATAAAAATCGAGCTGTAATCGATTGGGTTCCTCCGTAACTTCGATACGAGGTACAATAGTTCATTCCGACGAGCCGATGTCAGTACAACAGCTTCGAGTACCTCTTGTTGAACTGGTCCTTTGCGTAGTAGCTGTACAGGTCGCCGCTGATCTGCGTCCTCGTCACCAGCCTGACGTCGTCGAGGAATTTGTCGAACGTCTGCAGCTTCCACAGGGGGTCGTTGCGCTGCCTGCACAGCCTTTCGGCCCACGTCTGGGCCGGAGGAATGGTCCTTCTGACGCCGCGCCTCCGGCTCTCCAGCACCTCCATCACGTCGTCGTAGTAGTTCTTTCGGTAGTCGTAGATGCACTTGTACGGCAGGAATTTAGGTCTGAAATAGTGTCTTTAATTAATATGATTGCTGCGTTATCGCTATATTATCGGAGATTTGAATTAATTTCTACGTGTTTTTGTGCTAATTTAGCTGGAAGACTAATAACTAGGAATCGCAAGGTAATAAATATATTTTGGTAAATTTCAATAATTTGACATTTGTGTGAAAATGGCCGCCCACTTAATTATTGATAATAGTCGGTAGAGAAAGATTTTTAATCAATATGAACAACTGGGAGACTAATAACAGGAAACAAATTTGCACTTATCTGAATATTAATTTAATAATAAACTTCTCTACGAATTAATAACATTTAGCATTTAATAATTTTTATATTTTGGTGAAATGTCATAATAATTCAATGATTTTAATTTGACATTTTATTGACATCCACAGCATACTAATTAAATCCCCACTATTAGCAATAGACAAAGATACACGTTTCACCAATCCGTGTGTGAAACAAGGATAGAGTCTAGTAATAAAAATTCAAACCAATTTGATAAATATTTATTCTTAAAAAGTAGTAGGTAACTCGAATGAACAATGAAAATCCACTCCGACAAACATAAAATTATTAATATAATAATTTAAACAGTTTTATTTCGAATAATCGTATAATTCACGCCTACAAAGTTTAATTAAATACAAATTCCATTACTAACCAGTAACGCTTTATCAATACAACAGCGGCGAAAATTGCTTATTAAACACGTTCTTGATGTGATAGTAATACAATTTTCCGCTCAACCGGGTCTTCTCCACGGTTTCCAAATCGCATTGGATCCTCCTGGTGTACATCTTGTACTGCACCACCTTATCGGAGAACGTTCTCAGTATTCTCTCCGCCCACGTTTGCGCCTTCGGAATCTCCCTGTATATCCCCCTGGATCTCTTATCCAGATAATCCATGACGTCGTTGTAGTAATTTTGCCTGTACATGTACAGGTACTTGTAAGGCAGGAACTTTGGTCTGCAATAAAACCGATTAATGATTAATGGTAATGCAAACGAGCGATTTGGTTTTATTTGGAAAAAATTGTAAATGGCAAAGCAGGCGCGTTAATTTTTTTTTGTATTTGTAATTTTGTATAAGCTTTTTTTTTAATAGGTAACGCATTGTAGATATTCCAAATGAAGCAATTTTTTTAGGTACTCAAGCTTTGGTTGTTTACTTACCTTGATTAAATAACTTTACTAATAAACTACACGTATTATTTACTGAATGAAAAATCATTTATTCTACAAGAATAATGATAATAATAATAATAAGAAAAATTGGCGCTCGACTTCATACTCGAGCGGGTAATTTAAGAAACATACAGTGTGATCTAAAATTAGCGCTGCTCTATTGTTGTGCTATTAATAACATTTAAGAATGTATTACGTACGCATAATGCACATGTAATATATTTTTTTTTCCTGCGAGTTTCTTTTGGCACGGCCAGGCCATTGTCAAAATTGTTTTCATCGACTGATCGATTTATTTATGGGCATTCGAAACATACGAAATTACCGGCTATTTTCGTATAATATGTCTTAGGTATCGACTACACAAAAGGACCAATTAGTGCGAAAAATACCAGAAATTAATACTAATAAACTCCGATTTTTTTCCGCTCCCCGAACGATTTATTTATTGGTATTTTTGGCGAGTTCTCGCATTAATTAGAATTGTAGTACGCACATTTAGGCGGATTGCCATCACTCGGTACATTTAATTCGAAAATGAACTCGTTACGATTAATGAGCTCTTTAATCTCCATAAAAATTCGATTGTGATTGCTCGAAAGTCGCTTTCAATTTCCTCTACACGATTTTTTTCACGGGAAATATTTTTTTCTAACACTATGAAATGCGTTTGCTAGATGATAAAATGAAAAAAGGTAATTTTAAATGACTAAATACTCAACCCACGAATGTTCGCTTCTTTGAAATGAAACCCTCTGAACTCTCCCGATACTACAACAGTAGATAAAAATTGCAGGAATTGCACGCGTTGGCGAAACTTACCTTACCCAATGTTTGAACAGTATCAATTTATCGGGATCCAGGTACTCTTCGTCCGCCTCGGGCAAGGGCGCTTCGGCGGCGCCTTCGCCCTCCTCGGGCGCCTCCTCGCCCTGTTCCGCCTCCTCAGCCGCCTCGGCCGCCTCCTCGCCCTTCTTGCCTACGGGCTTGACCGCCGGCGGCGCGTCGTCGTCGCCGCCGCCGCCGAACCAGTCGTCTCCTTCGTCGGCCATAATTTACCTATTCCTGCGGAGTGACGGCAAGTTTAATTAGACGGGAGTCTCTCTGAAAGGCACGGGAGCACCCACCTGATTCCCACAATTCCGACAGTTGAACTTGGACGTAAGACTAGAAATAAAATAAAATTAACAACAGTTTTAAACGGGCCTGTCGCTATCCCCACTTCCCCCTATCTCACCTTGCCAATTAATGTACAAAAAATAAATTAAAACGGCGTGTGTACGCGCGCGAAGATTTTACTTTTTCGGTGCCACCACGGGCGTATCTCGACGGCTTTCTTTAAGGGTTACTTTTATTGTTAATTACATGCAGTAATTGCAGCTGCTGTATTATGGGTTTCCCCCCTCTATTGCGCTCCTTATAGGTAATTTTCTATTTAAGATCTAGAATTTGTTGTGTAATAAATAAATAATACTGCTTTCAAAAAACCCCTTTGTTAAAGGCACAGGTGCGCATCATACCGATTTATTTATAAAAATAATGTAATATAGCCAAACAATAGGGAACCATCCAAATCCCCGAATAGCCTTGCTGCATTGACATTATCGTCGGTATTGAGGTTGCTATTTCAATGATTTGTTGCTAGAACAAAAATAATTTTGCTCTTTAAAAAAATTAACAAAATAATATCTCATTATTCTCCGGCTTGTCTCGCGGGGTATTTAATTTCCTTCAAAATTATGCACATCGATTAATTAAAGCCGGAGTGGAGTTTAGGAACAGTTTAAATCACTGGCTTTAATCCAGCTATACACTTATTAGTTTCGCTCGTATTAGTACTAAAAATTGGCAAGGTCTGGATCGCAGCAATTAGGAACTAAGAGCCGTAATTTATTGTACTTTGTATAGCGAATAAAATTGACGGATTTCGATTAATTTTTCAACAGCTGGCAATTCGTTTTGATGTATTAGCGGATTTAGCGAATAGCTATTTGCTGCGAGTTCTAGATAAATAATTATGATAATAATTAATCAAGGGAAATTTAGTGCTTATATCATGCTCTTTGTTCTGTTTATTATTACATGGAGTATTATCGATGAGATACACCAAATATGTGCTTAAAATATTGGTAGGTTTTTTCTAATTATTCGGCCTTTTACTTTATTGTTGTTTAGGTTATAAAAAGAGTATGCTTCAGGGGAAATACCTATTTATGAAGGAAGTAGTAATGAAATGCCACTTTTAATTGAGTTAGTAACAACTAGTAAGATTTGCAGTTTATTTATATTTATATTCGTGTATATTACAATATGTACAATAAGCAAAATGCACAGATTTCCTCGTAAAATGAAACAAAGTAATCTAATGTTTTCGTATAGTAGCGATAAAATGCAGATAAAAAGAAACATAAATATAAATGCCAATATTATAAAATTTACAAAAAAAATGCAATAAAACATAATGATTGTGTAAGTCGAGAGAAAACGATTTATAAAAGTATCCACTAATAAAGTAAAAATAGACAAACATTTTCAACTGCAAAATTTTCACAAACGCCTATAATAATTTAAGATACAACTTGATTTTATCCTTTCAAAACGCAGACTGCCTTTCCATTAAGTTCCTCGCCAATTTCAATAGAAAATTCCGAGGGTTTAAAGGAACAATTTGCAAACGCGGTTTTATCACTTCAAAAAAAACAAAAAAAACACCTTATTTTATTAATTTTAAATAGTAAATACGCATTTTCAACTCGCTCCTTTAAACTTAAAACACCCGGAGTATCTATCGAAACCAACGAGCCCCTTAACAGTACTCCCAAATAAATCTAAACAAAGATATATCCACAACTAAACTCTAAACCGCCCCGACGCCTAATACTCGACGGCGGCGCTCCTCTCGGCCCTTCTCGCCTCTATCCGCTCGGCCCTGGTCTGGGCCACCTCGAAATCGGCCGAATCCTGCTCGGTCTCCGCCACCAGCTTCCTCAGCCTGGCCACCCTCGCCTCGCGCGCCGCCTGCTTCTCCTGCATGGCCGCCATCTCCTCCTCCAGGTCGTTCAGCCGGTCCTTGGTGACGCGGGCGCGGCGCGCCGCCGCCCCCGTCTCGGTCTCCATCGACTCGGCGATCTCCAGGCGGCGGGCGCGCGCCGAGCCGGCGCCGCGGGCGCCCTCCAGCGGCGTCCACTTGGTCAGCCGGTCCTCGTCCGGCTTGTAGGAGGTCTTGAGGGCGCTGCGGCGCTGCGTGGTCTCCTTGTCGACCAGCTGCCTGGTGATGGTGTCGTTGATGCCGACGGAGTCGAGCAGCTTGTCGGACCTGTCCAGCATGCGGAAGGTTTTGATGTTGTTGGTGGTGGTCTCCAGGTCGGGGTCTTCGATGATCGAGACCTTCTTGTTGGCTCTGATGCGCCTGATGGAGTTCGCCGTCTGAAAGAGGGGTTGCGTTTATTCGAGAGATTTATTCGGGGTGAGGTGTTAATTAATGTACAGGGTGTATTATGTACAACTTTTGATATTAAATAGTTTGTAAAACACCCTGTAATATCGTATTACAAATGGTTTTAATTAAGCTACCTAATCTACTAAAAAATAATTAACATGTTCCGGCTAATGTTAGTGTTTCATTTACAAAATAGTCGAATCTAGAAAAACGTGAAAAATTGTATTAACTATAGTTAGGTGTAAAAATAAACGTAAAAATACTAACCTTTATAAAGACTTTTGTCAGTACGGGTAATAAAAAGAAGCTTGATGATTACATTTAACAACAGACGATTTAATGTTCCAATTTATAATATCGTTGATGATGTGATGACAATAAACAGATTAATGAATGGTAAAACTATAGAAAGTTGTCTTGGAAACTATTTTCTATTTTAATACAACAGTGAAACATAACATATCCTACAAGGTGATACATCGAAGAATATATTTATAAATAATTTATGAATCACCCTGTACAAGATTATTACTAGTTTTTGACACATACACATTTATTAAATTGTTTCAACAACAACTCGTTTCAACTCATGTCTATTTATCACCGAGAAATTCATAACTACTAATTCAGAATAAATAATTCTATAAAAGGACGAGGATATATTCTAAACATGAGTTGAGATTCATCGTACAAATTTCATTGTTAATAGAAATTAACAGTAATTTTAATGTATGAATCGAAAGAGAAAATCATTTGAATCAGAAAAATATTTATTTTTCCCCATCGATATCATCGCAGGGTATTGAAAACAGAATATATCTATAAAAGTTAGGTCATGCACAGAATCAACAGATGTATTTGTACGTGGGCAACGTTCGGGAAACTATTTTTAAATGTAACACTAACGAAAAGCCGTGTGAATTACATTTCTACAACACCTAAAATCGATCCGTTCGAAAAATAATCCACACTAAAAAAGAATTTCGAACACTAAATAGTAATCGAGTTTTCGGAAACTTCCATCCTCGTTATGTCGGCCGTTGAAATGAATGATTTCATGCAACAGTTACCGACAGAAAGCGGTTGAAAATTCGCGAAACCGTCGTCGATTTAGCGCGGAATTACGCAAAAAAACGTCGCACCTCATCGTTGATCTCGCCGTTCCAATTCTCCAGCGCCGCCCCGGCCCTGGACAGGCGCGCTCCCCTCGAATCGAACAGGTTGTCCTGCGTGATGTGCTTCTCGGCTCTTCTGCGCGAGAACTCCAGGTCCTCCTCGGCGAACACCCTCGCGTGTCGCTCGGCGACGCTCTCTGAAACACACCAGTTTCGTACCTACAGACCCGCTTCTTTCGTCTCACCTGCGCGTTAATTCGTCGAGTTATTGCTAGATTAGTTTACCTGCTAAGGGTGATTGGTGCCGGGTGGGCGACAGGGGCCTTCCGGAGTACTTCCTGTCGAGCCTGTCGAGGGCTGGGCGGTAGTAGCTCTCGCCGATGTTGTAGTTGGCGTCGTACAATTTGGTCCTTGGGCGGCTGAGGACGGTCCTTTTCGACGCCATCTTCGAAAATATTTCGATTGTTATCGATCGCTAGCGACTGAGATCAGCGCGTTATTATTCGAAATCGAAAGTTAAAGATAGCACTCGATCGCTTTATCGGTGCCACCGAAACGGCTATTATTAGCCCATGGCGGACCTCACGATTTTAGATATAATTTACCAGTACTACTATACATTTTTAATGTATAAGACTCCTATTATACACAGGTGTACTAGAAACCTGGAAAATGGAGCAACGTTTTTTTTTTGTTTCTATTTAGCGAAATCTAGATCATGTTAAGTTTAAGAGCGCAAAAATTTAGATCAGTTCCACAACATTCAATCATTCTACTCCTTTGTAGAAATCCCGCGCCGCCACTACATATCTATTTCTGGATGGAATATTCGGAACAGGTTACATGACCATAGAAAGTGTCTGGACCGGTTAATTGCCGCTGATTAAAGTTACATTTTAATCATTACATATCGATGCCAATTGTATTTTTAGATAGTTACACATGTATTAGGTATCCTTCGTCCACATCAGCCGGCGATTTCGGGATTAAATTTAGGCGTATTCGAGGCGAGTTTCGCGGCGAAAATAGAAGCGATACGATAAAATTCAAACTCCCCTGGGGGTTTCGTTTCTTACCTTTGTCGCTCGTGAGCGGTCTCGTTGAAAGGGTATATACAAGAAAAAAATTCGCACAGGAAACCACTGGGAAGATGTTGGAGTGTTAAAACGAGAAGTCGGACTGGTGATTCTCCCACTACTCGCTCGACGGTGTGGCTCCCACTAGCGCGTACGTTTATTTCGGGATCAATGGGATTTTTCGCTTCTTTTTTCAACAAAAGGATTTATCGCGGAATCGCGACTATTTTCGATCGGTTCGGCGCGCAAAAATCCAGAAATTCATCGAGGGAAACACGCGGAGGAGCACACTTAGTCCCCGCGATCACATCGACTTACAGAAAGTTGAAATAATCAGGAGAATAACGGTTATTTTGTAACTGTCGTTACTGCACCTCTATACCAAAAAATTTACTCCCACCTCTATCAAACTTCTGTCATACGAAATGTCATTAATGTCAATTTTGACAGTTATTGTTTATGTATCATCGAAAGCATCCTAGTTATTGACCTATTCAGTTTACGAAAGAGAGTGATGGAGTTATTTGATCAACATAAGAGAATAAAAGAAGCAAATATGTTTCACGCGCAATTTGTGGAACCATTTAAAATCTGCGCAAACATAAGTGCAAGAGAGATGAGATATTTGGCCTATTTCATTGCTGATTGACAGACACATTGAATGATTCTTAGATGAAAACTGTTTAAAATATAAAAAAGAAGAGACCATTATCAATCTTAACATTCTTAACCCTATTTTGTTTCCGTTTGATGTTTGTTTATGTTCAGTGTGTATTATTTTTAACAGTATTTCTTTGTATTATTTAGTATATTTATTTATAAAGGTAATAATTTTTTGTATAGGTCAATGGGATTATTTTTTTGAAATATATATTATAGCAAACCGATCAAAAAGCATTTTCGGAAACTTTGTACTAACCCTCTTACTCTTTCTTAGACTTGACTTGTACGTAAATATTAAGCCTATAACCCCTTTCTGGGCAGTAAAAACAAATTTGTATCGAGTCACCGCGTCCATTAAATCCGACGGATTGTTGGATAATGACAAATGACGTCTTAAGTTGTCGTTGTCTGGTTGTCAGAACCGTATTTTACCTGAGGTGCGTTCGTTTGTTCGTTTAGATGTCCAGCTAATTGTCCACAATATGCGCGCGCAGCACAGGTTAAACTGAATAGGTCTATTGAAAAATGAAAGACCGAACACCCCTTCAATGTAATTTTTTTTAATTAAAACACTAAAAACACAAAGTCGTACATAAATATTTCTTTTACAATAACACAGCAATAAATTACTTTCGCCAAATTACATACTCTTCGGGTGAGTTTTAACGATCGTCGGCGACGGCGCCCGATTGGCCGGCTGGTTCTTGTGGTACTCCTGGAAGCACGGCACTATGCACAGGTTCGTCTGGCACTCGGGACAGTGGTACTTCGTCTTCCTTCTCAATATCCTGCCGTGCGTGTCCACCGTGTTCCAGCAATAATTGCACCCCAACGCCGGCCCCTGTCGCACCACCGGGCAATGGCTCGACCTCGTACCCCCCTAAAAAAAACACCACAAAACATCTTAGTTTCGGCACGGAACGAGAAATTTCCCGTTTGACAGTTCGGGTTTGTGAAGTCAGTTACCTCTGCGGATTGGCTGGGCAATATGGGATGGGAGTGCTGCTTGACGAGCACGTGCTCGGGCACGTGCAGCAGATCGGGCGACGTCGAGACGCACGGCGTCGGCTCGGAGCACTGGCGCTCGATGCGCAGGGGCGTCGGGACGGTGAGGTACTGGGAGAGCGCGCCGGCGGGCTCGGCGTCCTGGTCGTGGGACAGGTCGGGCTCGCGCTTTATCCGAGACTGCCGCATGAGGAAGCGCCCGCGCTTGGGGCCCATGTGCGGCACGTCGAGGGGCGGCGGCGTCGGCGACGAGCGGCGCGCGAAGGCGGCTACAAAACAAACGAAAAGACGTCGCTTTTGCGGTACTACTATTGTTATAATGTGTCGTGTGTGATGGATGGGTTCGATCGAATAAGGCTTGTTTTATGCACAATATGTTACCGGTTTATTATAAATACTACAAACTAGGAAACGAGTTACGGTTTAATTAGAATTGGGAGATTTTCAGGGGTGGATGTAAAAAAAATGTAAGGTAGTTAAAAATAATTCGAGAATCCCATCCACCCACGGAAATCACCTCACTACAATAACATTAAAAAAGTTAATAAAAATAACGGGTAATAAATTACAATGAATCTTTTCTAAATCCCTTGATACCTAACGTAAGTTTTATTCACACATTGTTCTAACATCATCGCGAGATAACGTCGGAAAATTCGAAAAAACAACGCCCCGAATCACAGTTCATACGAAAAAATCGAAGACCATTCGACGCAAACGAAACTACATTTGCTCCAAATTGATGCTTCGAAAGTTTATAGTCCCGTTAGGATTATCGCCGGCGTCGAAATACTTGGGCGTTTGCGGCATTTGCTTGAACTCCACCGGTTTCCCGTCGAACACGGCGCCGCCGATGAGCGGTATCGCGTGCTGGTTGACGCCCTCGCCGGCCATGAGCGGCTCCTCCTTGGGCTTTTGCAACTGATTGCGGCTCTTGATGCTCAACCGGCAGTTCGGATAGCCGCGCTTCTTGTACTCCAGCCACAGCGTCCGGTTGTTCACGCCGTACATTCGGGCGGCCTTGCAAAATCCGATGCCCCCGAACCTGACGGCTTCCAGCGCGCGCAGGAAGTTCTCGTCGCCTTGCGGATTGATACTGCGTTTTCGCTTGTGATTCTGGTAGGTGTCCGGGATGGCGTTCGAATGAATGAGGATGTTATTTTGGGGGGACGTGGGATCGACCGTGTCGGGTGAATGGGTGAATTGTGTACCGACGGAATTCGACATGACTGTGGACGTTGATGAAAAATGTGTGAAGCCAGACTGATCCAAAACATTCCACTGAATGCCTGCAAGGATAATAACGAGACGTTAGCTTCAAATTTAACTAGCCGATATCGGTTTTCGTTTTTTTTTTGCTTAATGCTTACGGGATGTTTCGTTTGATACTAATGGATCAACTTTTACCTACGAGTTACAGTAACCTTTAAGTAAAATCAATCCATTCTTATTCTTTGAAACAACCTGTATAATACACAGTGTTGGATAATGTAGTCTCATCTAAACTAATTTCATTAACAAACTCTTATGAACTAATTACTACTAAATAACAGTTTTCCTACACTGTATATAAAAAAAACATAAAGCAATGATTTTTATTATTAAACATTATAAGCACATAACTATGTAATTTACAATGAATCGACTTTTTTTTCGAGTTTTACTCAGAAGAGGTGCATTGAACAGTCTCATTAATGTTTGTAATACTTTCTCGATAAAAACGGAGCCTCTTCGTTGAAAGTGGATGCAAAAATTGAAAATTGATAACGTCCAAAATAATTAAAAAAAATTGTGTTTTGTGCTCAAGCAAAATTCGTTTCAATAAAATATAACTAACTACTTACTAGAATTATCGAAAAAAATTCACATTCGTAAGAGTGTCTTAACATTTTGGTAGAATGTTTTGGAATTTTCTGTTCGACGTTGAAATGATTCGATTCCAAACGAAAAATGGATGAGAAAAATAATCTTTGTATATGGTTAGCCATCGTATTATTTCACAACGTATTTAATAAGTAACCAGTATAGAAATTATTCAGCAATTAGCAAGGGTACAGATCGACGGGAATAGCTGGTGAAGTGAGAGTATTCATTATATATCGCGCATGTCACGTTTGTAGCTATTCTAGTCGCACTGTACATATGGAGTAAGTGCAAATATGTTTGCAATATGGTCAATTCTATGAGTTGAACAAAGTAAGAATATAAAAATAACAGTTGTTAAAATGAGAAAATTGCAATCCCACAATATCACTCTTTCTTTTTCTCTTATACAAGGTTAATGGAAGTTATCTTTGTTGCTCTTATAGACCATATTGCGTAGAAGTTTGCACTTAACCGTATAGAAAATACACGTGCAAATATAGACAACGTAATGAAGTATAGCATGCAAAATAATTTGTATTATAAATTTTATTGAAAAGAATTCGTCTGTGAGAGACGAATATATAAAGAAAAAGAATCGGTGTGTGTGTATAGAAGGATATTTAGTGAGCGATTAAAATAAAGTGAGTAATATCACGTACCGGACGTCGGTTGGCTGGTTGTGCAGGTACGAGGAATTTCGACCGAAGGGCATTCTATGTGCTGGGGCGTATTCACGTCTTCGGGTGGAGTTATTTGCTGAAAACGAGCAGAAATTAAAATGAATTAAACTTCGATCGTAACAAAAATTTACTGTAATTATTTGATGAGCTGGTTCGGTTTCTCTATGGTGCGACGTAGAAGGTTGTATACTGGACACCGGGATGCCGTTGTACTTTTGGGGGCTCTCTTCGAGGCTCCTGTTGTCGTCCGTTTTTAAAACTGTATCGAATACGTTGTCGCTGGCGCTCAATAAAATTTCATTGGATATACCTTCCGCTGATTCGGTTGTAATCGTTGGGTTGCATATTACGTTTTTTTTCAATTTCCTCCTAAGAAATCCAAGCGGTGGTAACAAACTCAACGACTCGTTTATTGTAAATAGATACCTTTTACTCGAAGGTGAAGAAGGGCTGATGGGTCTGCTTTCCTCTAAACTCCAGTTTTCAGTATTCTGAAGCATTTCCTGTTTTTCCATCGATTGGCCTTGACATTTCGCAGCCGTATTTTCCATAGGAATCTCCGTCAAACCTTATAAAATCACAATTAAAACACATTCAACCCGATATTCTTACAATACCTTTGATTTTCAACATTTCCGCCGTTTTCAATATGCAAGGTAATTGTTCCTGAGACACGCTCACTTCTCCGTGATACATAAAATCCACCATTACTCTTAGATCCAAGAATTTCACATCTTTGAGGATGACAATGGGATGTTTGCAAGGATTTGTGGCGAACAATGACTGCAATTAACAATTACCTGTTAATTGTAACTGAACGATATAGAATTTCCCGGGTAATTTACCTGGAAGTACGAGCTACAGGCCGATAGGACTACTTTGTGCGCTTGTAATTGTTTCCCTTCGGCTGCCAATGTGACGTCTACTAATGATTGGCTACTCAGAAGACTGGAGAAGACTGATATGAAGTTTGGCTGATGGTTGTTCCATCGTAAACAATACTGTTGGACTGTCATTTTTATTTTGTTGGCTTCAAATCTGGAATTTAGGTAATTTTTTACCTTGTTCGATAGCAATTAATGAGAGCAACTCGATAATGAATGAGTAAATGCAAAGTGTACTAATAGGTGTTTATTAAATGCAAAATTTGTAATTGATGCTATTTATGTTGTAAAAATTTAATTGCTTCATTTGAATTTACGTCAAAGAGAGGTTTACTAATTGTAATTAAATGTTATTTCTGTTGAGATAGAAATCAAATTGAATGCTATTTTACAATTACTAATATTGTAACTAATAATAATAAATTATTAGGTCTTCTGCATTAGCTTAGCATATAGATATGTTTGTTAATATAACACCTTCTGTACACAACATTTTTGTGTATATTTATCAGTAAGCACATTGAGTATGAGTATAGAAAAATTACTCGTTAGAAATTAAATTTGAAAATACTAGATATTTGATTAAGAATTAATATTATGTCATCAACGTTTTATTAATTCATTTTCTGGGTGAAGCATCTTCCATGTATTGTTTCCCATTTGTAGATAGAAACCAATACCATCAAAATCAATAACGAGTCCTTGAAAACATAAAATTTCCCAAACGTAGAAAACGATTGGAAATCAAAACACGAAGAATTTAATTATGACAATGGTAATACAATCAAAAATAAAATTAAATACCTGACTTATTATTCACTGATTATTTACAGTCACAAACTATTAACCTCAAAATTTGACAATGACGTTTGCTACACACCTGACAATTGACACTATTGACATTGACAGTATTTTCTGGTATTGTATACGAAAAGGTTTGCTCATACAACGTTTTGACTACGTCATATATACAGGGTGACTATACAAGCATATAGGGTGGAAGAAATTAAAAGGCTAGATTGTTATCAAAACAAACACTATATTAAAAAAAATTAAAACAAATTCCAGATATAAAATACAATGTTTTATCAAATTAATAAACAAAAAAATCACAAGGAGAAAAATCGAAAATCTTACATTTTAGTGAATACCAGCGATACAAAAATTATGCGTGCCAGTTTTTCCGGAGATGATGCACAAAAACGTTTAACCCGCTAAAATTTAACACATTTTTGTTCAATACTAACAATTCCACTTTGACTAGAAACAATAACGAAAATCATTGGGAAAATCCCGAAAAACTTTAAAGTACCCAAGATTTTTAGTTCCACTTTCCGCAAACATAAACAATAAACATTTTCATGCAAAATCGCAAACTAAACGAGATCAATTCTGCAACTTATAACGATGAAAACTTTATAAATGCAGTTTTTGGCAGTTTCATAAGGAAGAACTATTGAACAGTCTTTAAAGTAATTTAATCTACAAACAATTTAAAAAAATGATTATTTTAACGCGTAATGATCTTAGATTTTAAACAGCACGAGTAGTTAAGTAGTACGTTAAAAAGTATTAAAAATATATAAAGCGATATACATAAAACATTCTACAATATTTGCATCATTAATTAGTTGCAGTTAAAAATAATCGCAAGCAGAAAAAAGAACAAAATTGTGCTTTTGTACTGATATTCCAACACGTGGAAAATTTAATAAAATAACCATATAATTTATTCTTTTTTCTATCCATTCCAGTTCGATTACATGTAAATTCTCAACTTATCACAAAATAGGTGCAAAATAAATATGCAATTACAAGCGGACTCCAGTTACACATGAATAATCGATCAAATATTACTAAAATGAACAACATGTATCCGTCGATAAAAGTTTAAAAAGTGCACCTTCAAATCCTTACATAATAACATATTACACGAAAAATAAACGCGTTTATATATTTGGTTATTTCGCCCAAGATTTAGTGCTATTTGATAATTGACAAAGATTTTAGTCATTATAAAAATACAATAAATTAGCATCAAAATTAGAAACAATCAGTCACTAAACACTTTCAGTAAAACGATATAAATACAATTATTCAAAAAAAAAGGAATGTAATTTAGCAGCACAAGGAGTATACAGACAATTTTTTCAGTTAAGTTACATCATCCGCTTTAAAAGCAGAAAGTAGAGGGGAAATTAGATTTACTCGATGCCATGGGCGAATATCATAACCAACCCGGGCTCGACCATCATATCTTCGCCCATGTGCGGATTATCGCACGACAACACCAGCACCGCCTGTTTGCCGGGCACCCTTTTGCATATGTAATTCTCGTACTGACGACGGTTGTTCTGCCTCGTCTCCAGCGAGCACAGCCCGGGCGGCCATCGTCTCTCGTGGCAATTCTCCATTAAATCGTCGAGTATATGAGGCGGACAACCCATCTCGGTCAACGTTCGTTTGATCATCCTCTACAAAACAACCAATTAGAAAATTCGTTTTAAATCGCATCGAATCGATGAAAGCACCTGTAGAATTTCGTCAGGAGTCGATATCATTCCACCCCATCTCGTCACTCTCGCCCGTTGCAACGAATTACTCCAACGCAGTACTTCATCTCTCTCCATCGCGTCCGCTATGGCCCTCATCGAGGGATTGGATATCCTCATAGCTCGCATAAAATCCTGCACATTATAAAATCAGCGATCGATAGCCATGAGAGTTTGTCAGTAAATACCTTAAGCAATTGCATTTCTCTCCTTTGTTCGGCCAGCAGGAACCTTTGTTCGGTGAACTCCTGCTGGAATTCGTTGAGTTTTTGCTGTTGCGTGTGAATCAGGGCTCGCAGTTCTTTGATGCAATTGTGGTCTTTCAGTTCGTCCTTGGGTATGATCAGCCCGCAGCCCTGTTCGCAGGGCAACGGTCGCTTCGGGTTGTGCTCGCATTCCTCCAAATGCGCCGCTAGGGCGTCCAATTTCAGCACCCTCGTGCAACCGTACTGGGCATTATCGCACGTTATACATAGCCTGAAATCGATCGATTGCTTACAACTTCGATTAGGGATTGTATTAGGTACGTACCGAGAGAGTAAGTTCCTTATAATTCTGGGTACTTGACGCAGCTGTGGGGATGTTACGATCTGCCTGTCAACTGGACAAGTAGGTTGTCTGGAGATCCATTCTGTTATGCAAGATTTGCAAAAAGCGTGTTCACATATAGGCGCCTGAAACGTTAGAAGAACCCGTTGAATTCGAGTGTTTTTTAAGCGAAATAAATCATTGCTAAATAAGGTGTCAAACCTGAATGGGATCTTCTAAAACTCCTGAACAAATGGGACATACTAGTTCTTCGTCAACTTCGCCTTGAAATCGATTCAGTTCGAATCCCATAGTATCAAAACAAGATCATAGCAAATTTTTTAAAGGGATTCATGAGATTCGCAATTTGCTCTTTTTTTTGGGGTTGCAACTCTTCAACTTTCACCTGCCCCTGTCCTCCTCGGTGTCCACTGTCCTATCTTCTGTCCTCTTCTCCCACCACTTCCTATGGTCATATAAAACAAGAGATTCGAGACGAGACAAAGACAAGAACAAGTACGAACGTATTAAAAAATAACAAAACAAAAAAGGTCAAGTCAAATTTGACCGACTAAACATTCGATTAATCGATGATTATCTAACTGTTCAAATATGTTTTCGGACATTTGTTTCGTACTTATAAAACACAATTTTTGTGTTTATCCTAAAGTAATACTGACAGATACTTATTTAATTAAAGCGTTAATAAATGCGCATTTAATTATTACTTATCTTTTTATTTATTATCAGTAAAATTTCGATTATTATCGATTACTAAATGGAAGTATAGTAATCAATAAACTGTCAATGTCAAAAAATTAAACGTCAAACGTCAAAACGTCATTCTTTTTTATTTTACTCTGAATAAATATTCGCAAAATGGCCAAATAATCAAAAAAGAAGAAGAAACTGGTAACATAACCTAACAAGTTCTAAATTAAGTATATTATTTACATTCAAATTATTTAATTTAATGCTGTAGGATTATTCGAGATGTTATCAAATATATCAAAGAACCTCCGAACTTGCACCGGCTACCTACACAAATACTGCTCCACTTCGGTCGCCGCAATCGAAAATAAGTCGAATGCCATCGAGCCCAGAACGCTGGCGTTTCCACCCAAATACCAGGACCCCCGTCAGATATGGCTGGAAAGTTTAGACACGATAGATCAGCGGAAATTGGCGCTGCTGGAGCTTCATCCCGCCGTGTTTGCAGCCAGTCCCAGAATAGACGTGATCCAACAGAACGTACGATGGCAGCAATTGTATCGATACGTGAGTTACGCTCACACGAAGAACAAATTCGAAGTCAGAGGCGGCGGAAGGAAACCTTGGCCTCAGAAAGGTGCGATACTGTAATTTTTACCCTACTCTACGACTACTCCTCTATTTGGGTGAAGTTCTAATTGTGGTTACTTCGTAGGTTTGGGTAAGGCTCGACACGGGTCGATCAGGAGTCCTTTGTGGCGAGGCGGTGGCGTGATACACGGCCCGAGGTCGCCCACTCCCCATTTCTACATGCTGCCGTTTCCTAAACGACTCATCGGGTTGACTAGCATGCTATCGGTGAAATTCGCCCAGGACGATTTACACATCGTAGACAGTTTGGAGCTTCCCACAGACGAACCGGGTTATATAGAGGAATTGGTCAAATCGCGGCTTTGGGGCCCTTCAGTTCTCTTCATCAATCTGTAAGTTGTTAGAATCAATCTCAAAATCGTAGGGGAACAATTTGCAGCACTGGATTCAATCTAGTGAGTTTATTGGTGATTAATATTTCGTTTATTTTTTAGGGAAGATATCATGCCTAGGAACATAACAGTAGCTACTGAGCAAGTGAAGCATATTAATTTGATGCCTGCGTACGGTTTGAATGTGTACTCGATGTTAAAGCACAATACTTTAGTTTTAACGAGAGCTGCGCTGGATCACATAGAAAACAAATTACTGGAAAATTTACACATGAACGACCCTAAAGCTGTACTTGCTAAGTTTAAAGTTGATCAGTGTTAGTCGTTGTTAATAATAAATAAGCGTAATTTGTTATTTTTGTTATTCCTATTCCCGGTGTTACGAAAATGGAGCTAAAGCAGAAAGAGTCGAGTAATTTAAATTTTCAAAAATCCTTTAGTACGGTAATAGAATAACTTTACAATATCGCGATATTTAGTGCGCCGCTTCGTTGGTTCGCCCTGTATAATTTATCAGCGTGCAAAGGGATGCAATAAAAAATTCATACATCGAAATACACTTTTTTGTGCCTTAGTAGGTCATAAAAATCAATTAACGAATTCGATTTTGTTTGTAAGTCGAAGCGATTGTGATTATATGAATTTGCTCACTCGAATAATCCAGTTGTGATCGATATACTGTATTATTCGTCTCGAATAAAAATACGAAAAGTTCTTAGATCGCATCGACATGGTGACGAAGCGGGTGCCGTCGAATAAAACCGTTTCGGAAATTTCATGTAAGTTTTCTGTGCGTATTTAATGTAGATTTTTTCCACGGTACTTTTGTTATTATGTGAATTTTCGATGTTAGTAAATTTTTTATTTTAACTAGAAACACGCAGAAAATTTGTGTGGAATGTTCAGAAAAAATATTTATCTTTTTAATAACGTTTGCACATTTGTTAATCATTTGGAAAATGTGTAGTCTTACTTAAATATTTTGTTTGCTACGAAAATATTTTAAATATTTTTTTCATAAACTTTGAAATACTATTTGCTCCACCCCCGTAACAAAATAATCCAAATTTGAAAAAAACAGGTCTGCCAACATGAATCCGATCAATAATTCCATCAATCGAAGGGTAATCGATAATTAAATATAAAATCGACAATACGATTAAACAGAATCCATGAGACTGAGTATTAATTTACTCACCCGCAAATTGATCTCTACAAATTCTTTAAAAATGAAAATAAACGGATAAATTAGTTTCTTAATTTTGGCAGTATTGACTGTTGACGTATATCAAATTGACATTCATGACAAACGTTTGACGTTACAAAGGGTGAGATAAATCGAAAGTCGTATTCACCCTGTTATTTTGATAAAATACGAGGTTTTTGAATGCTATAATTTATTTATAATGGCCCACGATATGTCGGAAACGAGCAGATCGAAGAAACCTTCAGGTAAACTCGACACGTTCGAAAATTCACGTACCCATCCCAGTAGCTTTTACACCCTTTTATCGATTCGATAATTTACACGTACATTATTTATCGCTCGATATTAAAAAGATCGGAATATAATTGCCCTACAGATTCATTATTCATGAAAATTCGATGTTTTGCTCGCTCGGTGCAATGGATACGGATAATACCTATACAACAATTCATATTTATTCCACTCCGGATCGATACCTGAAAAAAAATTACAATCAAATCGATAACCCGACAGATTTCATTAAAATTAATCGTTTCCAGATAGCGCGTTCAAGCAGCAAAGGCTGCCCGCCTGGCAACCGATACTCACCGCAGGAACCGTCCTACCCTCTTTTTTCATCATCGGAATCGCCTTCATTCCCGTAGGAATCGGTTTGCTGTATTTCTCCGATGAAGTCAAAGAGCACGCAATCGACTACACCAACTGCAACAGGACCGAGGAAATTTCCCCGGGAAATTTCATCGATAAAGGGGAGCCCTGCTCTACCTACATCAAGAACAACACCATCGACGATTGCATTTGTAGAATACGTTTTAATTTGACCAAAGATTTCGAAGTAATAAGCTACCGTTTATTGTATTGAAAGTTTACATAAACGATCTGTTTTTAGGGTAAAGTGTATATGTATTACGGATTGAGTAATTACTACCAAAATCACAGGAGATACGTAAAATCGAGAGACGATTTTCAGCTTTTGGGAAATCTAAATGCCTCGCTGTCTGGGGATTGCATGCCGTTCGCATTCAACAGCTCGAAAGTCCCCATAGCCCCTTGCGGTGCAATCGCCAATTCAATGTTCAACGGTAATTATACTCATACAACCAAACGCACGTTCTATGGATTCATTTAAATATTCCAGACGTTCTAACGTTACAAGTGGTGGAACCGAGCGGCACGTCCGACGTGCCGTTGCTGAAAAAGGGCATAGCCTGGGAATCGGACAAGAAGATCAAATTCAAGAATCCCGACGGGAACTTGAAAGACGTTTTCAGCAAGTTCGCCAGGCCGAAGGCGTGGAAGAAGGACGTGTGGGAGCTGGATCCCGACGACGACGAGAACAACGGCTTCCAGAACGAGGATTTCATCGTGTGGATGCGAACGGCGGCGTTGCCGACGTTCAGGAAGCTCTACCGCAGGATCGATCACGACCAGGACGGGTACAACAAGGGCCTGCGGAGCGGCCAGTACATCTTGACGGTCAATTACAGTTGAGTAGCCGCTCGCACGAGATGATGGAATTCTTTTCGAACGTTGTCGTTTTATTCCAGGTTACGACGTTAGTACTTTTAGCGGCTCGAAGAGGATGATATTGAGTACCACCTCGTTGCTGGGCGGGAAGAATCCGTTCCTGGGGATCGCTTACATCGTCGTTGGGTGCGTGTGCCTTCTGTTGGGCATCGCTTTGTTGTTTATTCACATCAAATGCGGAAAAAGGTGAGTTGATTGGAGATGGCTGGGAATTGTTTGAACAAACAGTTGTTTCTTTTTTTTTTTAAGCACTAGCGAAATGATCAATGTCAATCCGAGGACGCCGTATCAATAAGGATAAGGATCAAAAATGCGTATTATTTGTTAAGTGATAATTAATTTATTGATGTGCTATAGTTACCTTTTGTTCATGCTATGTTGATTGTCGGTTGCGTTACGTTTTGTGATCTTTCATACAGGGTGTTCGATAGGTAAAGGTGTTCTTTATTTTCGGGGGATTATGTATTAGAACACCCTCGATAACGATACATATGAAATTTTTTTTTTATAGAGAAAATATGAGTTGTGATAATTTTCGTTTAAACTTTATTAACGTTATCTACTTAAATAATTTAGATTTCTTTTAAGTATTTGGAGAGTATCGAAGCATTTATTAGAATTGAAAAAAAAACCAAAAGTGGCCTTTAGAATTAGTTTAAGTAATTTTATTAAATATCGATAATATAAGTAAATATTTATTCGACTTAAGACACTTTTTTTTAATTATCCGCTTAAGTTTTGTTGTACAAATTATTTAGTATATATTTTATTAAAAATAAACAATTTTAAAAATTGTATAAAATATCACAGTGTAAGTAAATTCTAAAATCTCCCTTACACGCTTTAAGCATTCTTAAATTACCAGCATAATTCACAATAAAGTTATAAAACAATCAATTATCCGCCTCCATTCCACCAAGTATGCCTCTTGGGCATCTCGAACGCCTCCTCATCGGAGCTCGACCCGAAGCTCTGCTCCCTTTCGCGCTTCCCTCGCTTGCCCCCCAACTCGAATAATTTCGGCGCCTCTTCCGCCCGCTCCTCCTCCTCCTCGCCGCCCCCGATCATCCCCAAATGCCGCTCTATCAACTCCCGCATCGCCTTGTCCGCCTGCGGCTCGCCGCGCTCCACGTTCGCTTCGATCCTCTTCGGCCGGAGGAACTCGATCAAAGCGACGCCTTCCTCGTAGGAAGCGTGGGTCGAGTAGCACAGCCGGTGCAGGCCGTCATCGTCGAGCGACGATATCCCCCCGGCGAGGGCTTCTCCTCTCCACTGCCACGCCGATATCTGGAACGTTTCGAAGCCATTATTAATTATCAGTCGAGTGTATTGTCGAACGTACCTTTATAGATTTAACCGCGCAGTTTGGTTGATCCTCGACGCAAACGGGCTCCCTGAAGCCGCGGCATTTGGAGTGCAGGCGAGTGGCGCGGGCGTCTCGCGTGACCGACCGGTCCAATTCGGGTATCAGCGAGTAGAATTCGAACGCGGCCTGGTTGACGTGCACCGGCGTCTTCAGCTCCGAGGAGATGCCTCGGATGAGGTGCTCGTAGCCGTAATTGGCGCATACGATGAGATTGACGTGGTGGTTTTGGCCGCGATCGAGCCAGTCTCTGGCGATGCGGACGAGCTCGCGCAGGCTGTCCCGGCGGGCGGGGAAGGCCGGGTACTCCTCGAGGAAGAAGGTGGTGTCCAGGTAGACGGCGTCGACGGTTTTGCCGCGGAAAACGTTGAATTTCCGCAGGTCGTTTTTGTGTATTCTGTAGTCGCCGGTGTACAGGACTGTGGAGTGGGATTCGAATAGAAACATCACCGATCCGGGACAGTGGCCGGCCGGGATCAGTGTCGTCGTAAAGGTGTTGTTATCTAGCGAAATGATGTACGAGACGTTCACGTCCAATTCTTTCAGATTGCTTTCGATGTTGGGATAGTTCTTTTTCAGTATCGCGCAGGTGACGCGCGAGGCGTACAAGTATTTACTGTTTTCTACTAATTGCTCGTTGACGAATTTGTTCGTCAAGCCTCTCATGTGGTCTGAGTGGCAATGCGATAGAAAATACGCTTGAGATTCGAGGTTCTCGCCGTCGAAGCGATCCACGCTGATGTAGGGGATTTCTTGAATTTTTCCCGAGAAGGTGCTCATTTTGCTGCATGGTCAGAGTCCACAAGGACTTTCACTGGATTTGGGAGTGATTACTGCTAAAATTATCCATACATCATAAATAAAATAAACATTCAAACTTACTCTATTTATTTTCCGTTAAATTCAAATAACCCCACTTATTCCTACCATCCAGTGATATGTCATCAATTTGACAATCTCTCCAGCGTTGTCAATTCTCCGCCGAGTAGTTGCGCTATAAACATTCAATGTTGCCACGTTCAACCTTGCCATTACTCAACAATTACCAATAAAATCAATTCAGCTACAAATATTCATTAAATTAAACGCTAATCCTTCTTAAATTTCACCCTTTATTCGCCAATAATCATAACGTTCGCATCCACTTAGTTATGATCGTTTTTTTAATCTCGCCTTATTCGATTTTCGAATTTGCCGCGTCCGTCGCCGCGCCGGAAGCGGGCATTTGTTTTTGGCGGTCGTCGAGAAGTTGTAGGTTATTTATCCGCTAACCTAATTTCGCGGAGAAATCGCGACTGGAAAAGCTGGGAAATATCTCGCTGTCGGAAAAGCGAGCCCGTTCGGCCCGGACGATTAATCCGCGGACGATTTGGCGGTCCACCCGCTCCGGTACGGCGATTGTGCGTCGAATTTCGACGAGATTCCCCGCAGACCAGCGGCCATTTGCAACTAGTCAAACCGAGGAAGGTCGACGTTTGCTGTGCACAAAGCTTGGTTAGGTTGTCACGAAATCGAAAACGAAAAAAGGAATTTATTATCCGTAAGTATGCTATTTGATTTGGCAAATCATCGAATTTCGCTCGGACGCTGCCGTTTATTACTAATACGTAAAGATCGCGTCGCATCGAAATATTATTTATTGTGATGTAATTATGTTTTCTGCGTTTTCGCGTAATGGAGGCATCCGAGGTTCGAGAGGCGCGTTATCGCCGATTTCCGGGGACCAACTTCGAATCGGCCCCGTCGAAAACGGTGCGAATCGAAATGGAAATTTTTTTGTTTACTATTTTCGAAATTTGTAAACCTCTTTAACCTCAATTTCTTCATAACCTCACTTGTCAAAATATCGATAACCTACAAATTTAGATTTGTGAAGAGAGCCTATATCCCCAGGGCCGGTTTAAGGCCTTTAGGAGCGCCACTAATTGTATTAGGATTAATTTATTTGCTATGTTGTATATATTTTTTTGAAACTCATCTTGGATGATTTTTATGTTCTTTTGGGCGAATTTCCACGATTCTATTGAATTTAATTACCATATTTCCTGACACTAGGTCAAATATACATTTACAACCGTATGTAAATTACCATTACATTGTTATAAATAATTACGCTTTAAAATATACAGTGTGGCCCAATGTTATCTTTTTGATTATAAAAATTATCAAATCTTTATTAACGCTTGTTTAATAATAATTTCGTTCGAAACGTTATATGTACATTTTTTAGTAGGTTTTAATAGAGCAATAAAATATTTGGCATTAAAAAAATGGGACACTCAGTAATCTCTAAACCAATTTACCTACTTCTATCCAATGAATTTCCATATCTAAATTCGTAAGCTAAAAATAGAAAATACACCAAAATTACAACAAAGAAAAACCTTTTTTTTTTTAATTTATCATGTACATCCAGTCGAATTCGACGTCATGCAGCAACCGCCGTAAAGAAGCGCTCGAAAAACAAAAAAACATGGAGGAATCGTTTGGTCTGACTTGGGAGGATCCCACCGCCGTCGTGCAAACGGAAGAGGTGATTTGCGGCATCGAAAACGAAATCCTGCCGGTCGATAGCAAGGAATTCATCCAAGGCGTCAACGATGCCGACGAATTCGTCCACGAGGAGGTGGTCAACGAGGCGATGGACTGCGAAATCAAAGTCGACGAAGTCGAATTGCAACAGAACATCTCCGTGCCGGACATACAAGAGACACAGGTTGATTAGAAAATGATCTATTTATCGTTTATACAGCGTATCCCGCAACTCGATGGGTATATGGTTAGGTAATAGTCTTGTTACCTGGCCTACGAAATCGCCAGACCTAACACCTCATCTTGTATAAGGCATTTTAAAACCTACTCCTCTAAGCTATGTCCATCGAGTCACGGTACAACCTGTATAATACAAGGCCTTTTGCAAGATAACTGAATGTATGGCAACATTTACGGTGCCTTTAGTCGTTATTTTATGTTATAGGAAGTACAAGAATCTGCTGGTATCGACGGCGTCATGTACTTCTCCGACGGTAATGTTCTTGTAATGAACCAACAAACCTCGGAAGCGCCATTTGAAGAAATCGGCGAATGCCAAGTAACGGAGGAAATCATCACGGGAGGATGGGGAGACAACTGCGCCGAAGAAATCGGTACATATAATCGAATACGTTCAATTAATAGTTGTATTAAACAAGGTGTAATTTTTTTTATGTAAAGTGGTCGGTTCCGAGGAAGCCGTTGGCACCGAAGGCGCCGGCCAGGAGGACCTGGACGTGCCGCTGCCGACCGATCAGGACGAGTACACGGCGACCAGGCCGTACCCGTGCGATTTCTGCAGCCGGCGATTCAGGAAGAAGGCGAATCTCATGAATCACATGGTGGCCCACCAGACGGACAGGCCGCACGGTTGCAACTTGTGCGGCGTGCGGTACATAAGAAAGTGCGATTTGATGAATCATCTGAAAGTAAGCCTTAAAGTGAATCGATTTTATTTCGATCGTTTGCATTTATTTCGTCGCAGATACACGCGTACATGCCCGAAGGGGACGGCCTAGACGACGAAGCCGTCCAAAGCATTGATAACATCGGCGACAATCCGGAGAAGAAGAAGAAATTGAAGCAGGCCGGTAAAAAGAGGAAAAAGAAAATCAAAGAGGAAACCGAATCGGGCGACGAGGCGTACGGCGATTACGGTACGATACATCATCTTCGTTTCGACAAACGATACGATAAATTTTTGTTTGTTTCGTTTCAGGCGCTTCTAGTTCGCGATCGTACGGCTACATGGAGGAGGAGACGAAATTGGTGGAGCAAATGTCGAATAACATCAATCACGACTATAATTTCATAAAGGATCAACAGCCGATGGAGAATCGTTTTCCCATAACGGATCCGAGGAAACCGTTCGTTTGCCAACATTGCGGCGTCGCGTTCGCCAGGGAAAAGGCCATGCTCTCCCATATCAGGTACGGGATTGGTTATTTACATACTTAAAAATGTGTATGTTCAATGTGTAAGAGTGTACTATTGTTTTAGATTACATTCGGAGGGCGACAGTCCGTTTGAGTGCCAGAAATGCGGGGAAATGTTTTGGGATGCCAATCAAATGAAGGAGCACGTCAAGGAGAAACATGGCGGCGTCGACGACTACGATGATGACGACGACGATGATTATTCGGAGGAAGACACCAAGTACGGAACTTATTATTGTTCCACTTGCGGCTTGTCTTTCCATAGGTGAGTCGCAATTGTACCACGTTTCAGCTTCCTGCTAATTGTAATGATTTTTTGTTTTTAGGCAAGACAATCTTCGCAGACATCAAAGGATACACGTGAAAGAAGAGTACGTGAACGAACACGAATTCGGTCACATTTGCAACGTGTGCGGAGAATCCTTTCAGGAGGCGTTGGATTTGTTGGCTCACGCCGAGGTTCACGCTCGCGCCCTCGAATACAGGTGTATGATATGCGGCGAATTGGAGGACGATGAAAATTTATTGGCCGTTCACGTTCAAGTAGGTGTATTAATCGCAAGAAGTACATTTTTTTTATTAATATCGACGATTTTTAGGCGAAACACGGCAACAATCTATTACCAAACACGTGCATGCTGTGCGGTCGAAGCTGCAAAGATCAACGGACGTTGTTGAAGCATTCTTGGGGCCATTCGAAAGAGAAAGTTAGTGAAACGCTCGCCGTACAAACTTACACTCGATTATTTATAAATTTCCATTTCTTTACTAGGTATTTGCTTGTACGAAATGCAACAAAACCTTTCACAATAAGGCCAGATTGAAGCGCCACATGTTGTCGCACAGGAACAAAGTGGTGACGTGCGACGTGTGCGGCGAGGAATTCCCCGACGGTAGATCGTTGATGAACCACAGGCACAGCCACAGCAGCGTGTCGGGGCGGCAGTTCCCTTGCAGGGAATGCGGAAAGACCTTCGGCTCGAGGAGCTCGCAGCAAATTCACATCAGAATACATACTGGTAAATAAACGTATTTAACTGTACGCGGCGTGTATAGTGACACGCCGTGTTTGTGTATAATGCTATATGATTGAATCGAACGTTGTTGTACTTTAGGCGAGAGACCTTACGGATGTAGATTTTGCTGGAAAGCCTTCGCCGATGGCGGTACTCTTCGCAAACACGAGCGTATTCACACGGGCGAGAAACCGTACGCTTGCGCCGTTTGTCCGCGGGCATTCAATCAACGCGTAGTCCTGCGAGAGCACATTCGATCTCACCATTCGGGACCCGATCCGAAATATTCCAATAGGTAACCCACACTGGGCACGTATTCAGCCCCCCCCATTTTAACCTTAAACAGGACTTTAAAGTAGCGTCTCTAACTTGACAGTTGTACATTGTTGTTATGGAGTAACTAAGGAGATTCTTTCAAATTGACAAATTTACATTGTTGTTATGGAGTAACTTAGGACTTTGTTTACGTTGATGTGACCCTCTAAAGCCGTGCTTAAAGTTAAAGTGGGGCGCTGAATATTTTTATTTTTTATCGAACAAATTCGAATTGTGTGTGATTTTATGTTGGTCTTTAGCATGACGCCCTTCTGTTGTTCGGTGTGCTCGGATATGTTTGCGACCTCGCAGGATTTGATATTGCATTTGATCCATCATTGCGACATGAATACGGCGATGAAGCGTCAACCGCAAGTCGGTCCGAGGAAATACAAGCGCAGAAGGAAATTGAAACCTCACGAATTGGAGATGATGACCCGAATGGAGGACGGGGACAATGAACAATCCGAAGTGAGTGGCGCTTTAACTCTACGATGGTTTATTCGTAAGTAGTGGAAATTATTCGTTTTGTTTGTTATTGTAGGATTTGGGCGATAATTATACGGATTCCGAAGAGGAAAAGGAAAGGAAGAAACGGTACACTAGGAAACAACCAACGAAGAAAGCCGCATCGCCGGATTCGCCCAAAGAACCCGAAAGCGAATCTTATGTGGACCTGTATAATAGCGTTTCTTCGACCATAGGTAATTTAAAACTGGAGGTTGCGGTTAGGATATCGACTAACTTTTTGTGTTCAACAGAAAATATCAATACGTTGGTAAATTCGAAGTCGACGCCGAAAACTAAGCAGCAAATCAAAAAGATGAAATCGGATCAATCGGTGCCCAGCAGGCCGAAAATGATCCATACGCAAAAAACGCGGGTCGCCGTCGAAACCGGCGAGGACGGACGGATTAGGCACAAGACGAAAACTCTGATAACCCGAACTCAACCAGCCGAGATAAAATCCGCTACTGGTGAGTTGAAAATAAATTAGAAACTAGTCGGTCGATTAGGGGAATAGCGTTTGTTTAGGTTGGTGTTTTTTTTTGTTTAGTTTGATTTGTAGAAAATTAGTAATATATTTAGTTTTTTTTTGGTTCGAGCGACTTTGAATTATTTGTTCCTTTTTTTGAACACGTATCGTTAATACGTTTCTAAGGAGTTTATTATTATTTGAAATAACAAAATTATAAGGGTGCGAAGTCAGTGGTAAGAGTGGGTTTCTTTTAGTGTAGTGCTAATAAGGTGGTAGTATAACAAAATTTTTTACATCTATTATTGTTTGCGCAGAGGTAAAGTTACTAAATTATTAAAAATATGTTGAATGCCCGATTGATTTGAGATCCACCATTCCACCTTGTGCGTAAAATATTGTACAAAACCAAATCGATTAGTATTGATTTACATATTGAAATTTTTCCAGGCGAACGGATACGACCGCGAACGAAGAACGTCAACTACCACGTGCTGCAGGAGAAGCTGCCGCTGGCGACGTTCGAAGACGCCGCCGTCAGGGACACCGAATCGGCCGTCGAGAACCTCCTCAAGCAGGAGAACAACGTGATCGTCGAACCCGAGCACCGCGACGACGACGACGACGAGGGCGGCGTCCTTTGTCCGGACCCTACGGAGCGACCGCCCGACGCCGTCGCCGCCGAGCAAACCGTCGAAACGACCGCCGTCGCTCCCTCGCCGGTGACGTTGGTCGAGGTGCGCCGATCGTCGCGGACCGCCGCCAGCAACAGCTTGAAGCCCGGCCGGCACGTCATAGGCCCCGGAAGCAAAGTGAATACCCATACCGTTTGGCGGAATTTTGCGAACTCCCCTCGTAAGATAATTAAACCTGAAACTGGCCGAATACGCATACGGGTAGAGGCCCGTTTACGAGAGGCGATCGCAAGATTCTTCCGTGTATCGAGGCGTCTTAAAACCTGTGGAATTTTTTAGGTGAGATTGGTCAAAGGCGGGATGATCGTGTCGAAGAAATCGCGGAACAAGAAGTCGGAGTCGGAGAACGAGTTGCCGTCGACGGAGGCGGCCGCGGTGAAGCAGGAGGCGTTGGAGGAGGCGTCGTCGTTGCGCGAACTGGCCGAGATATCGATGCAGCACGCGAACGCTGCGGCGCAGGCGGTGTTCAAATGCGAGATGTGCAGCGAGATGTTTTCGGATAGGGCGCAGTTGCTGTTGCACGTGCCCGTGCACATTTGATGTTAGGCGTCGAACGGGACCGTTGGGCGTTGTCGATTTGGCGCGATGCTTGTGTATAATTATCATTTTTTTTTTGTCCGAAGTTGGTTAAATATGGTACGGTTGGATGTGACCGATCTCCTCCTGGTAAGGTAATAGAAACGTGTGGTACGCTCAGTATTAAATAGGCTGATAAAAATTTTGTTAAGAGCGTTGGTGTGTCGAGTCGATTTCTTATTTTCGAACCATATTCGATTGACTTTGGGAGCACTATAAGGATTCTACAAGGAATTTTTAGAATTATCGTTGTTGATTAAAAATTTATAATATTCATATTATAGAAAACCAATTAATTTAAGTTGAATACATTAATTTTATTTTAATTCAAACGTCAAATTTATTAATTGTCTTCGAAAATTATTATCTTACGTTAGTTTGTTTTGTATAATGTATATTTGTAGCTTTATAAATATATAAATACTTTTTAATTGTAGCCATACCAGTAGAGAAAGTCTTAGATATATTTTTATATCCTTGCGATTATTTAAATATTTATTTCGCCTACATAAAGGGACGATTTACGTTGAAGAGTTTTATTTTGTTATGCAGGGTATGATGTAAGTGATTATTGTAAATATCGGGAAACGCTATATATTTTAAACTTGCACGATCAACAACACATTCTTCTAATTTACAAAACTTATTTATGTACTACTCTGTATAATTTATACTTTATGTTAAAGTAAAATTTTAACGTTCGACGTTTGTTCATAGTGTGTAAATCGTTTTAATGGAAATAACAAATAAAAAAAATATGTAAATATTTGTAGGTTTGGAGGCAAACAATTATCTTATACATTAAACTAGCCTCTTTTTTTTCTCTGTAACTTAATAGAAATAAATATTGTTTACTAGCAGTTACCATACAGCATAATTTTGATCTAATTTTCCATTCGCATGTAAATTATAAGGTCAAAATGGACAAGGTAATTTTGTACTTAAACGCACGTATTGAACTTTGTTTAACCAAAACAGTCAATGTGAAGTTTGGACATGTTTCAAACTACCTAAATCAAAATAAATTATTTTATTGAATGGAAGAATTAATTGAAAACTAAATGTTACTATTTACAAAATACGTATATATTTAACATAAGACATCGAAAATAAATATCTGACAAAGTTTTAGCTGGTGAAAAATAATTACATTATTATTTACAGTTATATATTTAATTTAAAGACGGAACACATACATTCACTCTGTTCATTAGTCTTGTAAATTTTTTAATTCTACTACATATTAAAAAGAAATTTCGACACCTCAAATCCTATAACTTGGTTACAAGTAGAAGGTACAAAATTAGCAGAAAATCCCGGTGTCGACGTTCCTTTAGGGGCTCGTGATAAAATTCACGAAATAAAAAATTCCACCTACAAAAGATGGAAGTTCGTAAAATTAATTCAACAAAAAAAATAAACTAAAAAGTCTGTACAGTCTCGTTCGCATTTCCATCTTAAGTAGCGAAATTTAACAAACAAACAAAAATCTGCCTTCGTTCTCAAAATAAAAATCTAACATAAACTTATGCATATCGGGTAGAACGAAACAAATTTCTCCATGAAGACTTGCAATGCTCTAATCAAATCATCACAGCGCTCGTTTTTGGCCGATTCTTTTTCCTCTTCACATCGTACTTCGAGCCGCATTTAATTCGTTCTCGTCTACGCGGGGTGGATGCTCGATTTGCATCTTAGGCGGACGCGTTCACCATTTGCGCGGAAAACACGTGCGTCGTATCGAAATTCATCTGCAAAAACAAAAAAAAACCCTATTAGAAATCGGTACAATAAAGTTTTCAAACGGATCTTGTAGAGTACTAAAGTTCGCAAAATGTACTAACCTCGTCGCCGGAATCGGAGTCGAACTCGTCGTCGCTGGTGCACGGCGACGGCAGGCCCCGGCCCTTCAGGGCCCTCCTTATCTCCATCGACGCCGATCGGTTGACCTCCAGGGCGTCCTTGCCGCCGTAGGAGAGCCGGTCGACGTCGACGTGCTCGCAGTCGACCAGGAAGCGCACCGTCTCCTCGCTGGCGGCGCGCACCGCCAAGTGCAGCGCCGTGTACCCGGTGCAGCCCTCCTTGGCGTTGACGTTGGCGCCGTACCGGACCAGCTGCTTCAGGGCGTCGAGGTTACCGAGCGCCGCGGCGACGTGCACGCAACTTTGACCTGGAATTGAATTAGTTCCTCGATTAAATTTTGTACACAAGGAGAAACGGCAACACCGCCAATTGCGATTGCTCAATTATTATTGGATTGACGTTTTTGCTTTTCTTTTTATTTATAATTATGGAGCGAATCCGTAATAACAAATTAATAAAAATCGATAAGGCATTGCAGCAATAATTATAATTGTAAAAATCGGGGATCCCTTCTTAAATTGATTCGTACTTGAGCGGTTATTGAGTACATTTAATCGGGCCTTTCTAAGAAATTGCATCAATTACTATACCAATTTATATATTATCAATAAATTCAATTGAACCAGAACGATAAACATCCTGCGTAAAAGATACAAAAAAAGTTTGTCTTCGTGCGTACGTCATTTTTGCGTTATTCTTCTGATCATTAACATAAATATGAATAATTAATTAATCATGACATTTGTTCGACAAGGAAATGGAAGTTGTTGATCCGGAAAAAAAATGTAAAATTTAGGAAGTACTTATAGCCGATATAATTTTTCGGCGCAACCTTCGCTTTCGAATGTGTAATGTCTGCATTGAAATTTAAACGAAAACAAGTCGAATTCCTAATTAACGTTGTTTTTCATTGTTCTATTCGAGTCTAATGCGAATTCGGGTTTTCCAGATATAACAATTTTAACACCGCTTTTATTTGCCTAGAAACAGTCAGCGATTTTTAAACAGTTTTTTACAAACAAATAACAAAAATAATTGTAAATATTTAGTACTTGAATAAAAGAAATTATTCCATCAAATATGGCATCAGGTTTTCATTTTTGTAAGTATCGAGAACGACTTTTTTTCGCATAAATTACCGATTAAAAAAACCTTGACACCATGTAGATTGTCTTGGGTTTTCCTAATTCTCGTCAACGTTAACGTTCTACCTAATTCTTACACATTCGAAGTGCATTTCTATAAATACGAGCCGACCCGGCTTCTTTTAGTCTTTATTTTCGAATGAAATGCCTCCGAAGAAATATTTCACGTTGGAAAAACCAGACGAGTCTGGCGGCCACTCGAACCGAACTCGAATTCCGCATAGTTTCTCAATTACTACCGTTTATACAGGGTCAATCGAAAATCTACAGTTATTTTAACGCGTAATTAAGTACGTGGTAGTTTTAGTGGCTGTGAAGGCACAAAAGCAAAGGGCATTTGGTCACATATAGTGTGCTTTGATATATTGGGACGTCATTAAGGCTAGAGTTCAGTACTTTGAAAACGTGTGTAAAAATGCTGAAATTTCCGTGACGTTTTCAGGGCGCATTTTGAAATTTGAAAGGGGGGTCGCACTCTATATATGTTCTACCCGTTTATTCTGATGGCGGTACGAAGCCCTTTTTTTAAAAAATGCTTTTGTTTTGGCTTAATTAATTAAAATGTTGAAATTTTATATTCCATTTTCAGGCTACATTTTTAACTTTTTCTGTGCAATTTTTGTACCAAAAGAAAGAGCTAACCATCCCCGATGGCGGTACGAAGCCCTTTTTTTGATTTTCTTTCGCATTTGTTGTTAATTGGACTTTATTTGTTCATAAATTTTGTGTTTCCGAAGAAATAAAAATCAGTTTTAGGCAACCCATCAGGCAACTACCGTTTGATTTATGAGGGGTAGGTCGAGTCTTCAATTTTACGACCCAAATCCGATAATCCGATTACCTATTTAGATACTGAATTTTAAACTTGCAAATATTCATTCCATCAGTGTAGCTACTTGTTAAAGATTACTATATTACAATTTCACTTATATTAATTAATTTTTATGTTAAATTAATTTTTTTTATTTTATGAAAAAAATAATGAAAGCAGCCACAAAAGTATTCGTTAGGTCATCGATTTATGTAGTCGCATTTTGTTTAGACATATGTAATTTAAATAAAATTGTGTATATATGTATTATGCAATAATACGGACCGAAAAATGCATACTTTTTGAGTTATTAATTTTTTATGAAAAAATTGACCGATTCATGCCATTAATTATAAATTACTCTTTTACGAAGACGCTTGTAAAGTTCTGGAAGCATTTTTGTAGGGTGGCTACTAGCAAGGTCAAAGGTATATTTCACCCTGAGTTGAAAGTTAAACTTCAAAATTATTAAATTTCCTTATTTTTTTTGGAACTGCCCATTATTTATATTTTATTGAAATCAGCGGTAAACAATAAGAGAAGTTCATGTTCATTTCGCTATACTATATGTGGCGGTAAAATGTCAAACAAAATGGAAGTGGTAAAAAACTCTCTTTTTATTTATTTCTTTATTCTCTTTCTATTTATTTATTTATTGGTTTTCTCAGATTTTGGGATAGATACAATTTACATCCCCCCTTTAGGAATTTAGTAGATAATGATAAATTAATAGTCCACTTTAAATTTGATTTTAACTAAAAACTTATTTCCAGATATTTCTAGAACAGATTTAAAAAAATATTTTGTTTAATTTATCATAACGACAATGCAACAGAAATCCAGGAAACCATTAGACCAGCGATTACTTATAAAGCAATTGGGCCTACTCATGTACTTGCCTAATCTGTTTAGGTAAACATTGTATAAACGATACAATTGAATGAAAAATCAACATATCTACTATAAAGACACACAATAATTTGACTATAATTTTTATTTAAGTTTTCACTTTGATAGGTACCAATATCAGATTTATTAATTAATCAAATAAAATTGGGCTAGTGCATGGCCCGGTAAAACGGGCAATAATCCCCGAATTTTACGACTTTTTAGCGACCGTTGGATCTTCAGGTACCTATTATAAGTTTGTACGGTTCCAGAATATTACCAATTTTAAATAAACCAATTTAATAATTATTTCTATTTGTAAATACAGTTTTTTAGAGTCTTCATGATGAGCTGATTTTCAATGATATGTCACACTTGCTATTTATCATTGATATTACACAGGGTGTAAACGATATGATACTCAGTAGTCACAAAATATATCTTTATTTGTGGAAATAATAAAATAGCAATTTGAAACATATAATTGTGATTTAATTTTAACGTAATATCTCCAGAATTATTTATAGTTAAATATTTGATTAAATTGTTTTTTACAGCTTCCTCAACCGTGTGTTCTCGGGCGGAATAAGGACACTTTACCTCAATAAGTGCATTATCTCCTATTAGCCCGTCCGGGGAAGCTGCCAAAAACTTATTTTCCTTATCAACAAACAATCCGCATTTCATTACATTTTTACTATACATATAAGGATTCAAATTTTTCTATCGCTTTTGATTCGTTTCCGATAAACTGAAGCAAATTATTAGATTTTTTCCGAGGTAAATATGCCGAAAGTTGACACTAACTTTTTAATTTAATATGAAATATCATATATATTTTTACATTTTTAGTATCTCCATTATGAGCTGATTTCAATGATGTGTTACACTTGCTATTTATCGTCGATATTAAAGGATCTACAGCCATTTGAAATTATGTTTTTTGACTTTAGGCTGCCCGCGAGTGGCCGTAACTCCTTTATTATCAATAATAAGTTTTAAGTATGACCTATCGTTGGAATCGGCTCGTCTTTATGATTTTAAAAATGTAAACCATATACGAATTATTTCATTTAAAATAATTTGTCGTCATCGGCATTTCTAAATATTCGAAAATATATTTTCCTACAATATCGAAATTCGGATATTCTAAAATTCAAATTCTAATAAAATAACCAACCCAACCGCTTATCTCAGTTTTACGACATACCCCGCTGTGAGCTTACTACCTGAAAATTTGCCGAAATAAAGTGACAGGTCTTGCTGTACAAGTTGCCTATTCCCAAAAAAATATTTGGTGAGTACTGAACTCTAGCCTTAATAAACATGCGATTAATTTCTGGTTTAGGAGTTGAAAAAGCTCCTAATATGGCGAGATTCGTCGATGCGCGACCATTATAGAAAATTACATTGCGAAACGCCGGAGGAATTTGGGAAATCCCGAAAAATTTAATTTTAACTCGGCGGACGGCCAATCCTCGTGATTTCGTAGGCGTTTTTGCGCTCGGCGTATACGAATTTACCGGAGGAATTTTCAATGTTTTTGTTTACTAAAAAAATTTTCGTTCGGCGAGAATTTTTACGCACAAAAACCATTCACTAATCGATCGACTAGAGAAGCCATTATTTATTCAAATTGAGCGGTTCATTATAAAACAAATGTTTCATACGTTGCGTAACCGAATGTTTTATTTAAATATCGTACTCTCGAGTACACACACTCGACGATTGTTCGCGGAATATCTCGCCAATTTCACCGAAATCCTCGAAAGAAAGTTCCAATGTCGATGTACCTACCAAGGTGAAATGAAAGTGCAACGTATCGCAACGTTCGCAAAAAAAATCTCTCGTGAGCCACAATTTTCTCTTTAAAAACCTACAAATATTCTACACGACGATTTTACGAGCGGAAAACACCGAAATTCCTGCCTGATGCAGCAATAGAATTTAACGAGAAATTCATCACAGTACTCTCCGAACGATTCAGTACCAAACCCATCGGTTTTCCCGGTGATTTGTCGCGCGTGCAAACAAAGAATAGGATCCTTCGGGAGACTCGAACTCGAATTGCGCCTTAAAAAATTCTCCTGCCGTGCAAAAATCGAAAACGACCGTTCGGGGAAATTCCCGCGCCGAGGTAAAACGAACGTTGAATCGAAAAACCCAGAACAATATCTCGTGATAAATAAAATAACTGTATTTTACATACACACGGCTCGTCGAATGCCGAGTACATTTAGAGAGTGTAGAGTAGAGTATCGTTTCAGACTAAGGTCAAATATTTTATCTGCAAAACTTGCTTATTGGATACGAAATCGCGCAGAAAGATTATTAAACGCGAAGGTTTCAATGCAAATATGCACCGATTTTGCATCATCAATTGAAAATGATAATTAATCATTATCGAGCCAAATCTAATTTCGTCGCCCGTTCCGAAAAAACATCCATTCCCGTCCATTTTTGGACGCGATGATTCAATATATTGGTGTTTATGTTATTTCTAACGAGTAAGAAGGAAATGACGATATTTTCCGCGGAAAATACTGCGCGTTCTATTCAAAGGAAAACGCCGCTTTTTATTACTATATTAAACCGCTTCTGTTGATGCCAAAAAAATAACTTTCACATGATTGTCATTGCGAAAGCAATGTTTAAATAGAATCGCAATCGGAGATATTTTTGTATACAAATATCCGAGATATCGTCGCACTATTTATACACTCGATCGCCCAAATCATCGAGGCGCGTTGGCCTCTCACCCTATACCCCTTCGGTCATTTAAACTCACCTAATAAATTCCACTGGTCCAAATCGCACGATCGGTACACCTGTCCCTGGTAGCTCAGCCCGAGCTGCTCCTTCTCCTGCGCGAGCACCGGCTCGGCCAGCGCCCAAATCGTCCGAGCGTCGTCCGCCTCGGCGGCGGCGTGCAGCGGCGAGTCGCCGCGCGGGCCGCCCCGCGGACACGGCGCCGCGCCCGCCACCCGCAGCCAGCGGACGACGCGCCACTGGCCCGACTCGGCGGCCAGGTGCATGGCCGTCTTGCCGTCGTCGTTGGGGGTGTCGAGGAGGCGCGGGTGCGGCACGGCCCGGATCAGGGCCAGCGCCACCTCCAGGAAGCCGTGCGATATGGCCACGTGCAAGTGCCTGTAACCAAACGAATCCATTAATTTCTCCTTCTATACATGTAGGAGATGCATGTAACGAAAGATAGGGACCCGCAGGGAAGTCGGAATGGTTATTGAACCGGTCGGATTTCTCCTGGACATCAGGTAAAACTAGTGTGAGTAATTCAGTCATCGGTACCGATGAGACGGTGAGTTAGACGGTAGAGATCCAATTATATTTATACGACTTGTGTCTATTTCGGACGTGTCGCAGGTTAGAAACGAGTTATTTTCAGAAGAGAAAACTGTACAGGGTGTCCAGATATCGCACGAAAAACTACTCGCTTCATTCTTATAAATTTAATGTCAATTTCAAGCGTTATCACAGTCGTTTTACAAATACTTAATTCATTCAAAAAAAACAATTTTGAAGTTTGACTAATTGTGATTGTATCATCCAAAAAATACCGAAAAATCATCAATTTCGATTAATCTCAACCGACGAGTTTAAAAGCGTATAAATTTCAGATGAACGATCTCCGGTATTTCCAATTTCGTATTCGTGCGAACGGGGCGTATCGGCGGAAATTCGAAGAAATTGGGGTTTTTACGACGATTTAGAAACGGAGATTAGGAAAATTTTAATGGGAAAAATCGTTTACTAAACGACAGTCGAGCCATTTGGTTGAATAGAAAAACTACCTGTTTAACCGCAACAGGTAAAATTACAGGAAGGTATTCGTAAATAATTGCAGGTACTTGTCGCCAGTGCGGGGTATCGTTTAGTTGCTTTACCCTAAAAAGTGTTCTTCCAGGTTTTTTAACGAATGTTGGATACGAATAAAATATAAGCAAGAGGCCATTTAAAAAAATGTAAACATGACGCACACGTGTCGAATTGTAAACACCTAACCTTCGACCCCCTTTAATAGCTCCGCCAATGCGTAAGCGTTTTATAAAATGAAACTTTGGATCCCGTTTTAAAGGTAACAAATTTGAAGCAATCAATCATAAAACTCTCTGTAGAATACTTGAAACAATGACATTAGAAGTGACATTGACAGATATGACGTATCCCATATGTGTTCCCTGATTGTACTCGTACACTAAATTGCTAAATAAAATGGTTATAATCGAACGTAAAAAAAATAAATAGTACTTACGTATCGCCTTCCTCATCTTGTTCGTAATAGGCCTTCCACGGCACCTCGGCCGACGGCTTGATTTTGCTCGGCCTGACGGAATCAACAGGCGTCTGCGATTTGGTTCTGGGACTGTTCAGATCGTTGAGGCCCTGCGGTCGCCTCTCTTTGATGACGATCTTGGAGAAGCTGTCGCTCAGGCAGACGCCGCTGTCGAGTATCATCGGTTCGTGGGGCTTCTCCTCGTCGTCGGGTCGTTCTTCGGGAATAGCGGCCGGACGGTCGTGGACCTGGTGCTCGTCGAAGGAGGCGCCCGAATCGGTGATTTCCTCCGATATCTCGCCCGATATGAAGCCGCTGTCCGTTCTGGAGGACTCGCAAACGCCCTTCTTGTCGTCTGCGAAATCATCGTTTCGTTGAGACATTGTTAGAACTTATTAATTATCTTCGTCGTTCGATTGTTTGTTTGCAATATGGCCGACTAAAGGTCACTCGATTTCTCGGATTGATAATAAATAAACAAGCGGGTGTAAACGTTCGATTTTTTTTTCGATAAATAATCGGAACACTCGAATAGTCCGACGCGATCGTGTACGAACTAGGTCGTCGAATAACTGAAATGAACTGATCTGATGAAATCGTAGAGAATGTGAGCGTGGTTGCGAAGTGAACGTCATGGAAACGGGATTCCCGGGACATGCGCAGTGTGGGAGATTTCGCGACGTGATCGACTTCACGGCGATGTTGCCGGTTTTGCCGAGATTCCCGAAAAACCGGAGTGAATTGTTTTCTTGGATTTGTTTTGATAGTTTTTTTTCGGTGAAATTGATTTGTTGTTATATAAAATACCGGATGAATAATAGAGGTTATCACAATTGTCAGGAGTTTTTTGTCGGGTCAAAAATTTTTAGTATTTTAATGTAATTTGGGAATTTTTGAAAAATTAATCGACATTTTGATAAAATTAATTGACATTCTGATTTGGGATTTAAATCAGTCCTAAGCTACAATTTCGAATATTTCAATATGTAAAAATAAACAAAGTTTGGCAACGTCGATGCAATTTTGTTGAAATACATTGACATTTCATTACTTCCTAAATTTGTTAAAATAATGGGGAAAATCCCAGGTGCCATGAAACTCGATTGAAATTTATTCAACAAACTTAAATAAATTTGAATGTTACGAGGCAAGCGCTATGAAAATTTCGAAAAAATAAAATGGAACAATTTATATTTGCACATTGACCTAAATTCGCATCCAAGTTTCGAATACCTATTGTAGCCAAGGAAATTTATTGAAACAGTTATGATTCGTACAATTTTACTCTAAATTTTAAAACCCGACAGAAATATGCAAAAGTTAACTTATAGATCAATGATTAATCATGAAACACCCTGTGTAAAATGAAAAAAAAAAACAATTCCCATCGATTTTTTCCTGATTAAGCTTATCGGCTGCGAACGGTTGGTTGCCGCAAGGAATTTCCTAACGTATTGTTGAAATTACGTTATAGTCCAAGCAGAAAATATTTATGGGATCGTAAATTTGTAGGTCGGTTTTTCCTCAGATAAAATCATACAAACAATATGCAATTATTAGGAATTTATTATTTTTCGAACACGTAAAAATAGCGGTTGAAATTCCCGAATTTTTGGATAGTGTGTCGTAAATTTAAAGGAAATGTTTGAAAAGTTAGTCAAACAGAACAGTAAAAAAATGTCAGAGTAAACACCAAATGAATTAATTAATCATCAACTTACCGACAGCAATTAAATAGGCCCAGACTTGAATATAGTTTGGAATTCCGAACACCGAAAACAGCGAACTAGAAACAACAAATACAACCGAAAATGGACGATGTAATTAAGTTAACCGACCCGTATCGTTCGATTATCGATATTAAACTAACTCTCGATCTATGCCTGACCAGGTATAAAACTAGGATGACCGGTCCCGGTTTAATTATGGGAAATTAGAAGGAAAACAGATGTTCGAATTTGGAAAATGCCCTTCAAATAATGACCGTGCATTCGGAGGAATTCCCACCGATCACCAGATAGCAACGACCGATTGCATTGCATATGGATCGGATGCACAGGGGTGGATTTTCTACAATTTTTTGTACACTATAACTCGTATAGACAATTTGTAGCTTGTTTTGAAAAAAATCACCCTGTATACGACCATTGGTCTAGTTATCTTCCCAATACCCTGTATGCTGACTCAATTAAAATTAAATAAAAAAATGGATGAGTTTAAACGGTGCTTAATAATAGCAATTAAAGTAATTTCTATAAAAACCAAAACAATTATACGATTCGTTTGGCTTAAACGGAGAATTTCTGTTAAAAAAAAACGTTCTTTTTTTCGCAGGGTTCGCGGAAAAGGGAGCCACGCGGGTGTAAAATTTACCTGCACCTACTTTGTAGAAATTAATTTTTAAAATATCCGGTAAAACCGATGAAATGACGTCGATGGAACAAGAGTAAGTCCGGTCCTGCTTCGTTCGAGAATCAACGGGGACCGGCCCATGTGTTACAATAAAATTAGGTTTTCCCAAAACCGACACAAACGAAAACGACCAACCCCCGGTATACTATAATGCAAAATTAAGGTGAAATTTGCTTATAATAGGCCTAAGTAGGTTTTTCACTATAATTTCATTGTATACAGATTTATCGGCAGAAATACCAGCGGAAATTGTGCGTAACACCATCATAGGAAATTGTCCCTATACACCAACATTGTCGTCTTAAATTTATTATTAGCAATAACGAGATAAAATTAGAAATTATATATAAGCAGGAAAAATTATCCGGGTCTAATTTTGCCAAATTTAACCGGACTAATTTGCATAGTTGCTATGCAAATGAGCGAATTTGATTTATGATCGATTTAGTACACCGATTTGCCGATTCTCTGGTCAGGAAACTGTCGATTCGACGAAAATAACGAATCCATTTTTTTGAAAAACCACACACATTTTCGAATTCCCTCGCCGAATCTCCGGGAAAACACACAACGAATTATGACTAGCCTTTATCAATGCGAATAATTTCTAAATTATAATGCATAAAATGCATACTAAACAAGGTGACCGAATTTCCTTGCACCAAAACGCAATAAAACTCAAATTACACAAAGAAAGCTCAAAAAAATCCAACATTTTAAAAGCAAACTTAGATGATAACAACCGATAAAAAACACCATCGCAACCAGCGAACCCCACGGAGAAGACCTCCAAAAACCCACCGACTCCAACTTACCTAACAAACGCCGTAAAACAACAATTTCGGAAACCTCTTCAGCCGACATTTGTACCGATTACGACGGGTCATCAGAGCTCTTCCTCTTCCAAAACGGGCGCAAAAACGGGGCCGCACTTTTCCCCGCGATTAAAAAAAAATTGTTACAAAAATAAACCAAACACCGCTCCGTTCGATTGACGGGAAACCTTTTCGACGGCGCGACGGAGCTCGCAGGACGATACTCTAGAATGCCACTCTACCTTACCAGTCGCCGATACAAGCCGGAATTTCCAGCGGTACTTGTGTAAATATCGGATACATATGTATGTGTGTACAATGGGGGCAGGCGAAGCCGATTCGAGTCGATTGTGTTTGGTGCCTGCGGTTTGGTCTTTTTTTTATTCATCGTTTCATTTCACCAAAGTCGTTGGTTTTTGCGAGGCGCTTGGAGGAAAGGCTGCGGAGATGACGTCCGCTGAAAGAGTGAAGGTCGCGAGGAAGGTCGAGGGGATGCCGTCCGCAATTCGGGAATGTTAATCGAGTAATAAACGGTCAGGTCCACGGTTAAATGACCTGCGGGAGATGGAAGATAAATTAGATTTTTGTGCCGCATCGAATTTAACAGAATTGCTATGGAGATGATGTCCACAAATCGTTGAATTTAACATTACAAACGGCGCGAATGTTTTAATATTAGGAAAAGCTATGAAGATGACATCCACGGTAACAACTACGTTACAACGGGTTCATTCGGAAATCTCTGCATTCTTCTTGATTTTCCTGGTAATACTTAAATATGACCGAAGTTGTGATAAATAAATTGATGAATCTCCACAATGTCGCCGGATTTTGCTGAAATCTTCTTTCGACGGCGCCACCGAATGTGTAACGCATCTTTTTATAAAATTTAATGCATATTACAGCACACGACCGGCTTATCAATAGAGATCCATTCGATAAGGATAATTTGCTCATAAAAATACTGGTTAAATCGACGTCAAGTAATCGGAAAAACCAGCCTGTTGTTACTTTTGATACCGAAAATAAATGCGCCGAAACCAAAAATTTTAATAAATCCTTTTGATAACGATATGTGGTATTGATAATTTCGAGGGTCGTTGAGTATAAAACTCGAAGAGTCACTGAGTGAGTGATTGAAAATATCTCTACTCTTTGGTTTCCTCAAAAATGGAAGAAATTACCCGCTCCATGGACTTCTCTTTTACTTGCGATTATGTCAGTTGTTTACAATAAAATTCCCTAGATAATGCTCGATAAACAATCATTATAAAGGAAAAACAACGACCACACACAAAAAAAACGATTGTCGTCAATTCGTTTCGGAGAAATCAATGCTTTCTATTTACTTAATGAATTAAATAACAAATATTTTACGCATACGATTACATTTTCTACATGATATATTTTATCAAAACTAAACCCCACGTTTCGAAACAAAAGCCGTTTGGAAATATTTTCGTTCAAGCACCTAAAGAAAGGGGAACGCCCTGTAGATAAATGAGAATTCGGTACACTTTTTAAGCCCGGTTTTTCCCAAATGAGTTGATTTTTTTGTCGAGTTTTCGTTCCACTGCGTTATCTTATCGGCCGGTAAGCTAATTGCCGGTGAGTTTCGTCAAAAAATGGTTAGTATAAACAACGAATAACAAACAAATTGTTTTCGCTGGGCGATCGAAGAACGAATATCTAAGCCTGGTGAAAGGTATAAGTATAAAAAAAGTGTGGAGAAATGGTTTCGGATGTCGCAACAGATTGCAATGGAATTTTGTACATCAACGTTATCGAGTGAAAGCAGCTTGCATCGTCACTAAAGGGGCACCCCGGGTTTCCCTTAATTATTTTTTTTATGAATAGCAAATTATATTAACGGAATACTTAATTGCTATTTAACCAAATTATCAGAATTTCACCGTTAGTACGTAAAAGGTTGATTATGGGAAGAGGCTAAGGGAAAACCCCAAATATGATATTGCAACAGCTAATTAATGTATTATCTAAAACGGTTATCAAGGTGTTCCATTTTGAAACTCTATCTTACAAAAACGCGAATAAACTTTTAAGCATACATCTAAAATATTAATAAAAATGTAATATGTACTTTTTTACACCTATATGACTTGATTTAGTTGTTAATTTTCTTGTTTATGCTCTGTTCATTTAAAATAAATGACTAGCCAGGGATTCCCCACAATGAAATATTGCTCATATTCGTCTGTACATAATCGAGTTTCTTTTACGATTCGTATGCGAAGTGATTGTTTCCAAGCATGCACTGGAAATTCCAAAAACCTCTAATGTGCCTCTATAAAGCTATTTCACAATGTTCAAATTTAAATTTAATTATTTACCGCATTTAGATCCACTTATGCTATGCAACACTCATTGCTCATCAGGGGTACGATGTAATTGTGGTTGTCTAATATTTATTATTATTAATATTATTTTTGAATGATGTAAAGAAATAGAGGTCATAAAAGATTATACTCATTTAATTATAGTGGTATATAGTATAGACTAAACAAAGTTGTTCCAGCAAATAATATTTAGTTAATAAACATATAATAAATAACGTGTTTGTTTGGAACCAAATAATGGCGTAGACTTTGTCATAAATAATACTACCGAAGGATTCTTTTACTGCAATAAAATTAAATCAATTTGTTTTTTAAGATGCTAGGTATCATGTAAGGCTCTGCTCTATACGCTGACGTCATAAAAAAAGTATATACGAGAAGTTGATCAATCCTTGGATATTATAACAGTCTTGACCTTCACTACTGTCAAAAAAAAGTTATTTGACATTGACGTATGCGAGTCATTCTTGTCAATTGGTAAATAAGTGGGAGGCGAACGTTCTAGAAAAAGGAAGAATTTTCGATAGAATATCGCGATTTTAACCACGTTCGAATCGTATTAATCGAAAGAAAACAGTGAAACGTCCGCACGCGAAATGGATAAGGTAAGCGCCCCGACGCCGCACCGACGGCACGTCGAAATATCGCCGTAAACACGATGCAGTAACCGCACATTGTTGTCGTAGGTCGCCGCTTTGAAAGACAAGGGAAACGCAGCCCTTAGCGCCAACAAAATCGACGAGGCCGTCAAATACTACACGGAAGCCATCGACGTCGATCCGAAAAACGCCGTTTTATATTCCAACAGGTCCGCCGCTTACGCCAAAGGCAGTCAATACGAGCTGGCCCTCAAAGACGCCGAAAGGGCCGTGGAAATCAAGCCGGAATGGTCGAAGGCGTACTCCCGGAAAGGAGCGGCCCTCTCCTATTTAGGTAGATTCGAGGAAGCCATAGCGACGTACGAGAAAGGCTTGCAAATCGATCCTAACAATGCCCAACTCACCGAAGGTCTAGCTGAGGTAACCATTTGTACATAACCGTTACGAGCTATTCGAATTCGTTTAATTCTTAGGTGAGAAGTCAAAAAGCCCAAAGGAGCCGATCGATGCCGAACCCCTTCTCCGGACCGGACGTGCTGTTCAAACTGAGAAACGATCCCCGGACCAAGGCGTTCCTGGACGATCCGGAGTACCTGGCCCTATTGGCGCAACTGCAATCGAACCCGCAGAGCTTGGGCAGCCACCTGCAGGATTCGAGGGTGCTCACCACGCTCAGCGTGCTGATAGGAATGGATCCGGGGGCCGACGAACCCATGGACACGGAACCAGTCTACACGCCGCCGCCTAAGAAACCGGAGCCCAAGCCGCAGCCGAAGGCGGAACCCGAACCGGAATTGCCGGAGAACAAAAAGTAAACAATAACGATCGATGCGCGAAATAACTCGATTAATAATTGCGATTTTAGGTTAGCGAATTTGGCGAAGGAAGAGGGTAATTCGTGTTACAAGAAGAAGGACTTCGACAACGCCATCAAGCACTACAGGCAGGCCATCGAGCACGATCCCACCGACATAACGTTCTACAATAACCTGGCGGCGGTGTACTTTGAGCGAAAGGAGTTCGACCAGTGCATCAAGGAGTGCGAAAAGGGCATCGAAATCGGCCGAGAGAACCGGGCCGATTTCAAACTGATAGCCAAATCGTTTATGCGCATCGGCAACGCGCACAGGAAATTGAAGGACTACAAAACCGCCAAGATTTTCTACGAGAAGTCCATGTCCGAGCACCGAACGCCCGAAATAAAGACGCTCCTGTCGGATGTGGAGAGGATCATAAAGGACGAGGAGAAGAAGTCGTACATCAATCCCGAATTGGCCGAGAAAGAAAAGGAATTAGGCAACGAATTGTTCAAAAAGGGCGACTACGCGACGGCCGTGAAGCACTACACGGAGGCGATAAAGCGCAATCCGGACGACGCGAAATTGTACAGCAACCGGGCCGCCTGCTACACGAAACTGGCCGCCTTCGATCTGGGCCTGAAAGACTGTGATAAGTGCGTCGAGCTGGAACCCAAGTTCATCAAGGGCTGGATAAGGAAGGGCCACATTCTGCAGGGCATGCAGCAATCGAACAAGGCGATAGCGGCGTTCCAGAAGGCGCTGGAGATCGATCCGAACAACATGGAGGCCTTGCAGGGTTACAGGGCGTGCACCATCGAAAACGCGAATCTCGACGGGGATCCGGAGAAGGTGAGACAACGGGCCATGTCCGATCCGGAGGTGCAGCAGATTCTCAGAGATCCGGCGATGCGGATGATATTGGAGCAGATGCAGAACGATCCCAAAGCGCTACAGGACCATCTAAAGAATCCCGATATCGCCGCTAAAATACAGAAATTGCTCGCGTCCGGGCTGATCGCTATCCGTTGATGAATTTAGTTTTCTTTTTTTTTATTAATTATTCGTATTCATATAAGATTTTTATTTTGTGAAATAATTGGTAAATTGATTTATCAAGTTAACGAACGACTGGTTTCCATGTAACGTATCAATTTTTTTTGTATCGTTAGGTTGTAACATCGGCATTAAATTATAAAATGATTTAAAAAAAAGAAAAACCACCACCTTCGTATATTCATTTATTTATCATACTTTAAAAATTATACAAAACATCTAATAAAACAAAAAAAAAATTCAAGAGGGAAGGAAAATATAATAATATTGCAACTTACGCCGTATAATAAGCAAGATAATGGCAACATTCACAAATCACTAATCCAATTGAAATTTGGACATTTACAAGGATGCAGACGATAAAAATTACATTAGAGTAATTCCCCGCCGTGAAAATTGGCACCGAAGAAAATCCCTACTGGAATTGACCAGAAAATGTTTATTACGGTCGTCAATTTTACACGGCGAATTATCAATATGTCTAATCTAACTATTTAAACGACAATAGAAAACGGACTACCGTAATTCTCGAATAAAAAAAACCATATAATTAACTAAACACTTAAAAAACAGAAAACAATACAATATTTCACAAGAATATATCCATTTAATTAAGTAAATACATTCTATTAACAATTTTTTCTTTTATTCATAAATAGTCGAATTGATTCAAACATCCAGCTCCGAAATTTTCGAAAATCGATTTGCGTTTCTATTTAAGTAGTTCAATTTCAACTTGAGGCTTGAGATCACTTCACTATCTTCAGACTTTTTATTACACTAACTTACGGAACTAGAGAAATGAAAACTCTTACATGAAACGGTGTGAAGAAGTATTCAAAATTAACAGAGCTTAATTAAAGTTTGTATTTTTTTTTCGAATTTACGCCGATTGTATTCGTTTTCAAAGAGTGCGCGAGGTCTCTTTACTCGATTTCGTATATAAAATAGAAACAAAAATTTGTCGCGTAAAAGGCACAAAAGCTGCTTTAAAATATCAGGCACTCTTTAGTTACAAATCTTATACAAAAAAAATGAAAGGAAGTTTTTTCCGGTTTTACGCAAAATTTCCTTTTATTTTTGATAAGATTTTCGTATAGACTAGAGGCACGAAACATGTAGGCTTGAATTTTCCATTCAATGAACGAGATTCAATCAAATTTCGAGAGTTTCCTCGATAAAATAGTATAAAATTTAATCGATTGAATGAATCTCGTTGGTAGAAATTTTTTGTCTATTTACCGTTAAAATTTGTATAAATTACATTTGGTTAATAAAATTTTTCTCGATTTTTTTTGGCAATTAACTCACCAGCAACAATATCGGTAGGGAAAATTTCTGGAGTACAAAACTACGTATTTACTAAAATAGAATTTCGTAAAATTTGTAATAATTTGAACGCTCTTATATTTAAATTGGAAATTCCACTTCGCAGAATTAATATTTATGGCAATTTCTAATCTTTCTAACTCTGCGATTAACTATAATTTTGCTAATTCAACCAATGAAAATTATATAAAAAAATATTGCACATATTTTGATTAAAAATTAAAACAATAAAGCACCGACTTGGATGTTTCACAAGAACAATAATTCAAGTGGTTTTTGAACAGTTTTGTTGGTAACGATATAAAAATCAAACAAAAATTAATAATCTACACGAAAAGTAATTTCTCTGGATCGAATAGAAACCAAATCAAATAACATAATTGCCTCGTGTTTTTGGCATTATTCGAAATAACATAAAATTAATAAAATAAAAGTATCGTTAAATACAGAGATCACCGTTAATAAAAATAAAATAATATTACAATTTTCATATTTCATTAATAATAAATACTTCCTGTATACTGGTATAAGCGCAACTGTTCATCTAAAGTTCATTTTCCCATACGAAATCCACATATGTTGTAAACCAGTTTTTAGCCAGTTTGCATAGGATGTGGACTGGAAACAACCAACAATTACCAATTCATATTCAATGATTTTTCACCAGTTAATAAATACAGACAACTTAATATCACTTGACATTAATGTTATACCAATATACAAGAGGTTTCACTTCTTCTTTTTGTTGTCTTCTGCCGTGTGTTTTTTTTTAGGTACACTTTGTTATTTTAGTAAACCGGAGGTTTCTATAACAAAACGCAGTTATCAAATTGAAATTTGACCAACAACTATTTGTTATAAATATATATATATTTTTTTCGTATAGTATTAGGAGCATGTGGATTTGGTACTTACTCGGCCGTTTATAATTTTTTTTAAGAAACGGAACTGATGGCGTTGTGCGGCGCCCCCATCTGCGTCAAAACCTTATCTAACCATTGCAATGGCCCGTTGAGGTGCACCTCGATCCAACAGGGCGTGCTGGTGACGTCCTGCCGATGGTATTCGGCGCCCCAGCCCTTCACGAAGCTCATCCGGATCGTGCACATTTTGGTGAGTTCGTACACGGCCTCGAAACCGTGATTGACGCACTGCGACAGTAACTGAGCGAATTCGGCGTTGTTGAATATCCTCAACGAACAACCGGCCGGTATTTTGCACACCGTCGACGGATGGAAGCCGTGATGGTGGTTGCAGTTCCTCGATTGCACGAATATCGGCGCGTCCGACAGACACTCGGCGTACACCTCGCCGTTGACGTAGTACAAATGCACGCCGCGCCCGATGTGGCGCCGCGTATTTTCGATCGTCGAATTTCGATTGACGTTGCTCAATTGGCCCAAGCAGAAACGGTCGCTGTTGTTGCTCGGATCGGTGAAACCGTCCACGATCACCGACGTCGAATGGCACCTGAACATCTCGCCCACGCGGCAATTCAACTCGTAGTAGGCGATCGACGCCCAGTAGGGCTGCTCCTGGTAGGGCACGGAATTCACGTCGGCCGGCAACGTCGTCTCGGGGCTGGCGTTGTTGTTGGTGCTCGCGTTGTTCTCGTCCGTGGGACTGTAGGCGGGCGGCGGGGTCTCGGCCAGATTGGCGTACGGCGATTGGGGATTGTTGGAGGTGACGCTGCCCGGACTGGAGACGTTCGATATCGACGAGTAGCCGATGTTGTGCGGCATGTTCGGCTCGACCAGTTGCTGGAAGGGCAGCAACGAGTGGCCCGGCACGAAGTCGTTGTGCCTCGGCACCAGCACGGGCGGCAATACGGGACTCTCTACGCGCTTGTAATGATAGGGATTGATGCAGACTTCTTTGTGTTTGGCCGAGAACGGGTATTGGCAATGCTCCAACGGTTTCAGCTCGTGGTGGTTCTGTAAATCCGGCCATCGCCACACTCTGCAATATATGACGTGCGGTAGACCCTTGCGATGGGATATTTGTAATCTGCCGTCTAAACTTCGCGGTATTGTCACGCATTTGCTGGGGGTTCCAGGACAGGATAGCGCCCTCTCCAGTTCCTCGATGGCTCCCTTTCGTTTCTTTAGCTTCTTCACTAGACTATCGACCGCTTTCTCGGCCCATTTTTCCTCTTCATCGCCTTGCTTCCAGCCCAACAGTTTCTTAACGGCGGGACTGGTGAAGGAAAAAAGGCTGTTTAAAGTCGATATGGGGCCGCTGCTAGACGATTCCCCCTCATCTGCGTCCATATTGAAACTAAAAATATAAATAAATGTCAATTAAAATGTTACCAACCCGTGAAGCTAAGCCTTCTTAGAATCCTTAACAGTTACTGTTTTTTGTTAAAAAAAAAAAACGTTTTCCATGCACTATCCGTTATTTCTATTTTTAATAAAAGGTTTCATTTATAAAACGGGTATAAACGGGATTCCAGGAATGTTTTTAATTAACAAATGTAATTAATAAGTACACTATAATTTTTTTTAATCTTCCTAACAGGCCACTACATTACTGTATTACTGTATTAATTACCCTTTCGATCACTTAAAACAAAATACTTCAACCCATTACCTTCTATAATATTAAACAAAAATATCGAATATATTTATATATTTTTTCAAATAAATTCGTAACCGAAAAATCACAACACAAACTCGATACAATTCGAAATATACACCACGTTTCTCTTATTCGAAACGATCCAATTGCCCAGAATTCGTTATCAGACCATTATGCACTTGATAATCGAGATAACTATGCACTGATCGGGATGTTTAATTCTAGTAAAAAAAACTGAATAAATGACTCACTAGCTATTAAAATGAGTCACATAATATTGATAATCTGTAGCCATCGTAATGTGTGTGTTACAAAATTGCGACCACTTAGCGAGAACGGAGTGATTTAATTCATTACGCATCTGTTATGAGAACGATACTAGCGGACCGTTTCCTAGTACTGGCGTATATATCGAGAGCAACATTTTTATTTCGCCTTCAATAAAAATAAAAGCAGACATGAGCGACAACACTCGATGGCCAATTTAGCGCTCTCCTCGGATATTGTGCGATTATCGGACGGGCGATCGTTTACGTACCTTTATCGTCACTGAAATATCGATGGTGTGGTTCACTAATCGCCGTTTTTATCACAAAATTTGATTGTAATTTAGCGAAATAAGCAAAATAGCAACACAAATCGCCTTCTATTCGACAATCGACGCCTCGATCTGTCACGCGTCATCTGTCATCTGTCGCTATGACGGCGCTGGCTGTCAAGCGGGAAATTTAACATCGATCGAATAACAGTTTATAATTTAACTCTAATTTAATTTACCACTAAATTATTCCTACTAGAGTTAATAAATAGTTGCTTAATTAACCTACAGGCTTAAATTGCGTTTCTCATCGAATTAGATTTTACACCTAGGTCTAACCGCAGGAATAATTTCGCGGTGTTGCCAGATTTTACTTCAATAATTTTTTTACAAATTGATAAAATGTGGATGGAATAAAATTAGTATGCTTTTAATTATCGGTGTTTTAGCACTATAAGTGCGATATTTATTCGATCAACTTCAATCGAGCTCGTTAATTTGGTAGCGTAAATGTAAAGTTGAAATCGCGGCGTTGGGGAAAATTGGGGAAAATCGTTGAGGAAGCTTCCGAAACGTCAAAGAAGAGCGATCAATATTGCCTAGTAAAACGGGATATGCGAATTAAAATTAACGCGAATTGTAGTAACTTAATTTTTTATGCGAATTAAAATCAAATCAAAAGTGCTATGATGCTAGTGTCAACGAAGGTAAGAAATATCTTATCAGTTTTCATACATTTCTTCAACATTTCGGCTTACTGCGATAAACATTGCAAATTGCTATAGGTCACTAACGATAAATGCATTTTATTTGTCAATTTTACGGGTTTCAATTCGGCTATAAATTTATTTATTTATTGTTTCATTATACCACGTATTGTTTATTTAAAATAAATTTATATAGCCGAATAATTTAAATAATATAATACAAATTATTTTATACACAATTTTATATCTGTAAGGACACAAATCGAATTTGTTTGTTATTATGGTTTATGATGATTTTGATTTATGAAAACTAATTAATAAATTGAATTGAAATTATTAGGTAAATTTGAGGTCAGATTATAATCATATCTGAATAAAATACTCTTTTATACTCTATCTAAAAAGTATAACAATCCAATAAATCTTCTACAAATATTTTATTTCGTTAGGATTTTCCATGTTGGCCAACGATAACATAGCAAATAGGACAAATAGACTACTACTAATTAATTATTATTATATTTTTTAACTAAATTTTTATAAAAACTTCAAAACAAAATTCCTCCACAACGTTATTTTAAGCAAACTCTGGTTAATTAAAAATCCGAATAATTTACATACACCGATCGAGTTTGAATGAGGAAATAAAGGGAGTAACTGCAAGCTCATCAATCAGGCATTAACTCTAATGATACGCGGATATTTTCGTCGAGATTACCATTAGCTTACACAAGGCGATTCGTGATGAATCTTCGATATGTCCTCGGTATACAAAATATTATTATTTCGACGAATACCACCAGGTGAGTTGTTATTAATTACGTGAAATATTTTACCTGCATTTATACAATTATTAAGTTCGAATGCGATGAGAATAGTTTAGTTTGTGCGCGCTGTATTTATCAACGAGCCATCCTGTATAAATCGGGCCACTCCTGCGAGTGAACGCCATGCGATTCTCGCAGGTCGCGAACAACATCGCAAATAATCGTAAAGTCAATGGCAAAAGTAGCTGTTAGAGTTTATCGAAAGTTCAAGCGCACTATCGCCTGTTATTGCTCAATTTCTTCGCATTCAGCGTGCAATGTTTCTTGTACAAAACCAAAAACCCCGCCACCGATACCGCCACCAGCGCCACTATCAGAACCAAAGCGGCCGCGACCGCCGCCTCGCCGCCCATCCGCCCGAAAATCGGCCTCGTCAGCTCGTCCTCCATCAGATGCGTCAACGCGTTGGGCGCCTTCTTCACGTTCACCCGCGCGTAGTTCGTCACCCAGCGCAGCCGCAGGTCCTTCTGCTCGACCACGCACTTCCACTCGCCCGAATCCTCCTCTCGCAGGCTCTCCACCGCGTGCGTGTCCACCGCCGCCAAGGCGGCGGTGCCGCGATCCGCCACCAACTTATCGTTAGCGTAAATCTTCAGGCTCAAGTCCGAGTACACGTAGCCCAAGACGATCGAGTGACAGGGCAACTTCAGCGGCCTGGTCGCCCTGGTGTCGTAGTCGTAGCCGCTGGAGATGACGGCCAGCGAGGCGATCCGGATCACCGATCGTTGCTTGTTGATCCTGAACAGCATGCACGCGTACAGGCCGGAGTCCCTCGGCAGGGCGGATTTTATATGGACGTCGTCAGAACGAAAGAGCACCCTATCCGGCTCCGGTTTGATGAACACCCCGTTCAAAGTCCACTCGTAGTAAGCTTTCGGCGAATCTCTCGCTATTAGATCGAGCAGGCGTTGGTCGTTTCGCAGCCAAACCTCCGAGCCTTCTTTCACCACGTAACTCAAATTGCGGCGCTGCAAATCGTCCCTACCGGAGAGGAGTGTAAAAGTTTACCGTTAGTAGTGTTTCATAAGTTTTACCTTGCCAATTCGAGCGTTTCGGGATTGACGTCGCCGCAGGGGAATTGGTTGCAGGTGCCGGTGGAGGTGGCCGCGCCCGTGCACAATCTCCCGAAGACGTTCGGTCTGGGATTGGAGCACGTCCTGGTCCTGTAGCCGTCGCCGCCGCCGCATGGCGTCGAGCACGTCCACGGCGACCAGGCGGACCAGCCGCCGTCGCGCGGCGCCCCGTCCAAGTCCAAGGCCTCGCAATTCGCCGACCAGACCACCCAGCCCGCTTGCGGCGCTATCGAGAACCAGTACACAGCCAGCGGTCTGTCCCTCGGATCTGAATTCTCGTAATGCATGATCGTTTGATTGTTCTTCTTCACTACGAAGCGGGTTTCGTTGAAGGATATCACGAACGTGCTCCAGGCGTCCGTCGCCAGCAGGTTCTTCGCAGTATCCGTTTGTAGCAAGAACTTGTCGTTGTAGTTATCGATTCTGAGGAATAGCAGTTGGTCGTCGTCCGTATCGATTACCAAATTGTAGAAGCTCGAGTGTTCGATTAGGGTCATCAGCTTGATGACTATGTAGCCGGTGCCTCTTAGTAGCAGGGTCAAATTGTCGAACAGCGGTCGTTCGTCGGACCAGAAACCCACGGGGTAGACGTGGCCGAAGTCGAAGGACGTGGAGTTCTCGGTGTGGCATTCGTCGCACTTGAACCACAACGCTATCCCTCTGCCGGCCATCGACGAGTAGCTGAGAAACGCCGGATCGAATTCCCGCCGCGCGTCGGGAGCGGTCCATTCGAACAGCGACGTCGGGACGCCTTCGAAACCCAATCGAATCTCGCCGGTTCGCATCTGCAGCCACATGTCCGTCCATCTACCTGGCGAAAAAAAATCGTAAATATCGCTACTCGCTCGCTTCCATTTCTTTAGCTTTTACGCGTAGCGTGTGCCCGTTGGCACCTTTTTCAATGTCAACGAACCGGCGATATCGCAAATCGCAATCGCCTCGTAATGTAACTAGTCTAGTTCTCATTAAAAGGACGTTACAGTTGCGGCACGCAACCACAATAAACGAAATATCGCCCATCAACTGCGTGAATATAATACCAATAACAATAACTATAACTACGACTATAAAGCTGGCAGACCTGCGAGAAACTCGTACCTATTACGAACGCTAAACGAGAACACCGGGCCTTATAAAGACGTTATTTACCATTCCCTTTGAATCTCCTTCCATCAACACACCCGACAATTACCTGATCCGATCAAATGCGGCATGGTCTTCCTCTCCACGACGCGACCGTCCTTCAACAGCACGATCCTTTGGTTGTCGTCGGCGCCGATTTGCAACGTCAAACTACCGGCGTCGCCGATCGGCGTGATCCTGAAGGCGACGCCGTCCGGCTCGTCGGGATTCCACAGCTTCAGCGAGAACCGCAGGCCGCCGTGGTGGCCCGACTCCTTCCATTGGGGCAGCACGAACACCTTCCGGCCCTTGTGCGTCGTCCGCACGACGACGGTGCACTCCTCCGGCTTGTCGCAGTCGCGCACGTCGCACGCGTCCTCGCGCAGAACGGGATCCGAGGTGTAGCACCAGCTGCCCGACGGGTTCCGCGACGGATTCCGGCAGAAGTTCAGCGCTTTGGAAGCGGAATTTTCCGGGAATAGGGTGCTGTTCCAGGATTTCGCGGGGCTCGGTGTAGAGTTCGCTTTGGGTACCCAGGAGATGCAGGTTCTGTTGGATCTGGTGACGTGCAACGTGCCGCTGTAATCGTTGCCGGTGCCAGCGATTTTGCATTGCTCCGATTTGCATTTTCTGATATTGCAGTAGGTTTTCTTAGCGATGTTATTCACCGCTGCGTAGCAGTACGTTCCCTTGTCTTCGTTCGAAGGATCTCTGCAGTAGTTCCGCATCTTCAACAACCTTTTGGCCGGAATCGTTCCGTGAAAATCTTCGCCTATTAGCGAACTCGCGGACCAAGGCAAGCACGGCAAACCTGCGGGAAACCACTGTAATTAATCTTCTCGTGTACGAGTTCGTTTATTTACCGGTCGAGGTCACGTCCTGGGTGCCTTTGTAATGGGATTCCCGGGCGTTGAGCGCGCATTCGGGGAGATAGGCCTTGGGGGGAGCGGCGCCGGGCGGCGGGGCGCAGTAGAAACTCCAATGGGCGACGGAATTCTCCGAGCTCACGCTGAACCAGCGCAAGTTGCGGAACACCGCGTCGGTGAGCTCGCCCATCGACTGCAATCCGAGCGGTTTCTCCACGTAGATCGACATGATGTTCGAAAAAAAATCTGCGTTTTTATAGACCACAAAAGCGTTTCTATCGCGCGTCGTAGTTACCTATGGAGAACTCCTTCCACGTCCAATAATCCAGGATGTTCTCCACTCGAATGTCCATGAGGTTTCGTTCGCCGGCGCCCGAGTAATCCACGGCTACTACACTCGTAACGTTATCTCCACCGCCTAGCGTGAGTTTAACGCGTGGATAATCCACGGCTGGCGAGGCGACGAACAACACTCGGGCCGAGCGGAAGGCTCTAACGTACACGTACAAATCGAAACCGGCGCCCTTCTCCCTCAACGGCCAGAACCGTTCGAACCCACCGCCGACGGTGGTGTGAACGTCGCAACCGAAATCGTCCTTGCAAAACGGAAACGACCACAAAACGTCCGTCCCTTGGGCCGAGTAGTAGCGAAACCGGTTCATCCTGTAGCCCAACAGGTTGTTTTTAGTGCGATATTCGGCCAAGAAGATCGGTTTGATCCGCCCCGCGTAGCCGAACGACAGGAAGCCGTCGTGCCAGCCCAACGAGAACGCCGTGAAACCGGTCGATTTCAACGCGCCCGCCGTGTCCTCGTAATCGGGCCGGGCGTCTTTGTTGCCGAAGCGCAGCGCCGAGTAGTTGTTGCCGATGAGGATCTCCAAACCGGCGCCGGACGCGCCGATGTCGGCGCCGGTCAGCGGCATCGGCAGCAGCGACAGCACCAGCCTGGCGCTGGCGTTCGGGTGGGCGTCGGCGTGCCAGAGTTTCACGCCGAACGTGAGGTTGCTGGAGGTGCTGTTGAAGTGGGTGTAGAGCGCGTAGCGATCGGAGTTCTTGGTGAACGCCATGCAGTCGGGTTCGTCGCAGAACGGCACGTCGCAGTACTCCTTCTCCACGTCGCCGGTGAGCTCGTCTTCGACGAAGCACCAGGGCCCGCCCGGGTCGCCGTCGGGGTTGCGGCAGAAGCGCTTCGCCTGCGACAGGGAGTCGTCGGGGAAGCGGGTTTTGGGGTACTTGGGCGCCGAGGCGTATCGCCCGCCGGTTTTCACTTCTTTCCTGTCTTTGTTCCATTTCAGGCAGTTCCTCGTCGATGAGGATTTCTTGTGCACGCCGGAGTATTCCATTCCTATACGAGGTTTTATTGGATTCAACGGGTTGATGAGGGTTAATTACGCACCTGGTCCGGTTAGTTTGCATTCGGTGAACCTGCATAAAGGTATCGCGCAGGTGTCGTAGAGCAGGTCCGATTTCATGGTGTAACACCAGGGCCCCAGCGGGTCAGCGGTGGGGTTCCTGCAGTAGTTCCTCGCCAGTTTCTTGGATTTCTCCGGGAAGTTTTCGTCGGTTATGTCGGCGGGGATGGCGTGCGGTACGGAAGATGTCCACGACTGGCATCTCACCAGGCCTTCGGTTCTTCCGATCTTCCCGATGAATTCAACGCCCAGGTGGGATACTTTGCACGCGTCCAGATCGGTTAGATTTCCAGGGGCGGATTCGGTTTTTATAAAATACCATATTGTCGCAACAATGAGGTGTTGTTTGACAAGCGTCATCTCTAGATTGTATACAGGGTGGTTCGTTAAAACTCGTTTTAGTTGATATCGTCGAATCGGTTGTTAATTAGAAATTTATTTATTTACTATCATGACAAGGAAATTCTTTATTATAATTATATTGCCGGTGTATCGTGTACTTCCTCGACGCGATTAATAATCCGAGTGTGATAAGTAAAATGGTACCGGTTTCAGAGCCGTAACGACCGGATTCGATGAATAGATTTTCATATTTTCGCAATGAACTCTAACTAAAGAGATCTAACTAAATCGCCTAGCGAGAGTTCAGCAGCATCGGAATAATTTATTGGAAACTTTCTTTTAACTTTTACCCGCGCACAATTATGCGTAGTTTTATGTTAATCGAATCGATCGATTAGAGGAATATTTCGAAGCCGACGAGTCGTCGCCTCCGAATTTTATTACGTCGAAGATTAATTGGTTTTCACTTTAAGCAAATACTATTGGCGATTCGGTGATTTAGCCGGACGGTCAAAAGTGAAATTGAAATTCGAACAAATTACCTAGTATATACAGAGTGTCCCAATTACATATAAGACAGATTGTTTTTTTACCCCAAAGACGTTTCCTTTTTTTTTTAACCATATTCAACTTCAAATACGGCACTAGTTTTAAACAAATTTTGGAAAACTTTTCCCTCCTGTAAATTCACGCATACACAACAAACAGTAGCAGCGATATTACGATAAAATCTCTATTATCAATCAATTAATCTAAAACAAATCCAATCAATAAAACATCTATTGATTGATAATCTCCTCGATCAATTTTAATTATCCCTCAATTTCCTCCAATCTCCAATCGCTACATCACCGCTAATTTCTTCCTGTCGTCGACAGTTTATCCCGTGTAGGTACACGGATGATCGCCCATCCGTAAATTACCCGACGTTTCCTCGATACTGCATGCAAGCTGTACAAAACGAATAGTAAAATGCACTCGTAGAACAGCAGGTTGCATATTATAGTACGCGTGGGCGCGGACGAGCACAAAAACCTCATTGACACGAATCCACATGTTTCTGTACACTTGTATTTTAATCGACCAGCGGCGGTACGGCGGAGGTCTCTCCGAAAGGGTGCCAGAAAGAGATTTTGCGGCTATCGAGAAAGGTTGCGAGAAGATGTAGCCCGGTCAATCTAGACATTCGAGGGCACAAGAATTGCCAAAAAGCTGATGGAAGTTGGTGAAATTGTTTAGAACATAATTATAAATAAAAGTTCTCATCGATTCGATTTGTGGAAAAAAATTAGGCAAAGTCGAAGGTCGCGAAATTGGGATTTTCGCGATTTCTAGCAAAACGGTTAGTTTTATCAAAAAATTAGTGTAGAGAAAAATTGTAGATCACGAAATTATCTATCAAAAATATATTAATACTTTTTTTCATAAAAGCCACCGTTTTTGAAATATAACGATTCAAAATGTTGACGTGGAAACCTGTGCATATGATGACCCATTAAAACTTTTCCAACATTTTGAATCGTTATATTTCAGAAACGGTGGCTCTTAGGAAAAAAAGTATTAAAGTATTTTTGATAGATAATTTCATGATCTACAATTTTTCTCTACACTAATTTTGCGATAAAACTTACCGTTTTCCTAAAAATCGTGAAAATCCCAATATTTCGACCTTCGACCTTGCTTAATTTTTTTTCCACCCATCGAATCGATGAGAACTTTATTAATAATTAATCAATTTCTCCAACTCTCAGGTTTTTGGGAATTATTGTACCTACTTTCACTCTTCTATGTACTAATTTAACCGGACTAAAGAAGAATCCCGTGCACCGGTGACCCGGTTAAATAGTATTTCGGGCTCGCCCCGGCCCCGATTCGCCGCGACGCCGCTGCGCGTCGGCGTTTCAGCGTTTTACAATAAAAGTTTTTCGAAACGCGCCATTCAGTTTGGAGACCGCGTCGGCGGCGAGCGCTCGCCGGTACTTTTCGAATTTTCGACGGGTTTTCCGGGGTGATTTTTCGAGATTTTCTACCAGTTACCTACTTTCCCATATCGGGGTCACGCGGTGTTTTCGAGCCGATATATCGGACGGGAGAGCTCGGAATCGGATAGCGCGTTTTGCGGAATTGGGTAAGGTTTGTTTGCGATGGAACAACAATGTGATTTTGTAATCCGAGTTCGAGTGTATGTGGAAACGAGGAGGGGTTTTTATTTGTTTATAAGTTTACAAGGAACAGTGGCGGACTTGTTGCATCTAATTAGTGGGACACCCTGTAGTATAAATCCGATAAAGAATCTGATAAATACCCTTACATTGCGTAATGGTGATTGCGTAAATAATTCCGTTTTGTCGAATCAATTCGTATGATCTGGTTCAAAAACAATGTTTGTTTGCTATTTCAACGATTGAATCGATAATAAAAATAAATACTTGAAGCTTAATCGATTTTATGCACACTTCACAACGTGCCTGTTAACATTGTTGTCGAGTTTTTGTAATTCAATTGGATCGATCACCACCCGACGTGACCCATATTGATCGATCGCGCAATTTTAATCGACACAATGCTGTAGAAAAAATATCGAAACAGGATCGATGATGATTTTATTAATAGGCGACTTTCGCAATTAAATCGAAAAATTAATGCTGGTCGGTTTTTCTCTGACCTTCCACTTTGCTTTGCCGGCAATTTATATTTATATTCGCGTTCGCGGAATTCAAACGTGTTTACGTCGATTTTCAAACGTATGCTAACGAGTGATTTACATAAATCCGGCGTTAAATGAGCCTTTCGATTGATTAATTAATTAATTGAATAATTAGATAAACAACTCGATAATTTGCAAAAGCGAGATCGATTTTAAAACGTCCTGTATACACGCTGAAATCGACGGAGGATTAGATTTTAATTGCTGAAATTTTGAAACAATTATGATTTATGTACTGTTACTGTTAGTTATGAAATATTCATAAATAAATAGCTAATTAACTGGCCATCGAGTGGAAGAAAAAAACAGCGCATTTGAAATATATTTATTTAATAGCAAAAAATTGTTCTGAACATCAAGCTGTTCTGCGGGTATACAAGTTTTGTAAATTGTTAAGTCTAGTCAGGAACATCGAGAAATATCAAATCCGTTAGGTAAATAAAATGCCACTTTACGATCATCTCTTTAATAATATTAAACTCGCGTTATACAGGGACTGATTAGCCCATTTGTTGTGGTTTCTTGCCGAGACATTATTTTATTATTTTCATTAATTTTGTCACAATATTGAAAACATTTTTAATCGTTTTTTAGAAGACAAAAATATTCTAAATCTCTCGGATGATTAAAAAATTATCAAATTTTTGAGAGTTCCAAACTTTCAGTGACGAAAACAAATCTAAATAACACAAATTCCCGAATAAATTTTCATTGGAAAAAAATTAGTATGCCTTACCAAAGTGCCAAACGGGCTATTACAGATATAGATACAATTACTCGAAAAAAATCGATAAAATAAATCAATCCGATGCAAAAGTTGAATGCACTTGACTCTCATCGAATGCGGTCGCACCCAATACGAGTTTTATTTTATTTTATTAATGTTAATTTCGAGCGAAATGAATCGAAAATGGCCGGAGGCTGCCCTGCGTGTGGAATATACATACAGGATGAGCAATTATACACCTTAACCCAACTAATATTAATTAATTAATTGTAGTATAACGTATTTGATTTTCTTCTGTGGTAAGGATTACAATCTGAAAATAATTCCAGATATAAGAGGATAAAGTAAGACTATAACAATCTAGTTCTCCTGAAAAGTGGTGTGTTTTAAGAAGTGTTACATTTGCTCACCCTGTATATGTAAGTACATGTGTTGCATGACGGTATACCGGAGGAAATAAGTTCGCAATAATTAACTAGATTTATCAAGAAATGTCTGCACCTCCGTACCGTTATGGCACCGCTCTCGACAGATTCTGAATTATCCAATTTTACGATTATTTTCACGAGTTTTGATTAAATCGGAAAATAATGCGGGCATTACAAACAATTAGACGAAAGAAAAAAATATACGATTTTATTTATAAATTTCTGCACACATTACGGACCGCTAGCGCTTATTAAGGAATAACTGTAGATGAATGTAACCTACTTATGATGCATAATGTAAGCAATTGTATTGATTGATATTAATTACCTTAAATTTAGTAGGTTGTTAAATTGCGTTCGAATTTTCGGTGTAATTTGTTTTTTGTAATTACGAAATTGGAGATTTTAATTATTCAATATTAATGTGAGTGATGCGATTAGAAAAAAAAGGAGTATTTTGTTCGGAATTAGGTTATTTTGTGTCATACTAGGAGAATTTTTAATCCAAGTTTAAATGCCTATTAGAAAAGATAATAGTCGAGAATTGGAATTATTTACAAGGTCGTACATCGAATAAATACATTCTATTGTCTATTTTGTTATAGACACACTGAATTATTCCAATGCTTTAACGAAAAAACGTAAGTTTGTATACCGGATGACAAAAAGTATTGGAAACAGTTTCTAAATTTGCCCAATTTCAATATGCCCCTAATCAGGGTTGTTAAAAATGCTTTCCAAAAAGTATTGCCACACCTGTGAAAACCCAAGCAGTACCTATTGGAAGCAGATACGAAATTCAAAGGATATTATTATCTTATTTGTTTCTTATTTTTTCTTTATTATTTTGTAGCTCTGTTATTTTTTGAAATAAATAAATAAACAGCATATCAAATTTTAGAGGAACCAAATATGTATTTACAATTGCCCCATATGTTTTTCAATATAATTGTATTACACTTTAGAACCGTTTGTTACATTTACCCCGTACCATGGTGTAAATGTAAAACTTTTTAATACCTCGATTCTTTAGTTTAGGAAGTTGTGAATTTAATGTGGTATTAGCATTTCTAATAATCCAAGAAAAAATAAAGCCACATTTTAGGATTTAATTTGAACTACTCAAATTTTACAACCGATTTGCCCCAGTCTACCTTATTTAAATACTTAACAACACAACCCCTAAAATTAACATGCAAACGTAAACTTTCAAATTCCATTTTCAGGCGGAAACCACTAGCAGAATACCGAAGTTCGGCGCGCGGCCCGCCGGCCCCGCCACCGTCACCGGCCCGAGCCACGGCCCTCTCACCGCCTGCAGCGTAGGCAACCCGGTTCGCGTCGGCACCAAGACAGGAATCCTCCGGTACGTCGGCCGCGTGCACTTCGCCGAAGGCCCGTGGTGCGGCGTCGAGCTGTTCGAGCCGCTCGGCAAGAACGATGGCGCCGTCGAAGGCGTCCGGTATTTCGCGTGCGCGGAGCGCCGCGGCCTGATGGCGCCGCTGGCGAAGGCCCAGCTCATCCACGGCATCCCATCCAGCGCCCCGTCCTCCGGACCGCATTCCATGCTCTTCGTCGAGGAGGCCACCAAGCGACGACGCGTCGCCGACGACGCCGACGCCGCCGCCGAAATCGACCCGGTGGATGATAATATCCCCAAAGCTACTCCGGAGTCGGTAACCGCTGCGAGAAAATCGCGACTGTCGATACTCAGAAAAGAAAGCGACGAGGAGAACAGCAACTCGATGGAATTTAACGAAACTCTAGGCATACTAACCCCCGATCAAATGGACGGTACGCTGGTTAACATGGACGCCGAGCACGAGCGAACGTTCCTGCAGCAGTTCATCGAAGCCCAGAGCCCGAACGTGCCCGACCTCAGCTTGGGCATACTCGACGAGGCGTTGCTCAACTTCACCCTGTCGAACACCCACTGGCTCAGCAGCGACGCCGGCAAAGCGCAGACGCCCACGGCCGTCGAGGAGCTGCCCTTGGATCCGGCGCCTTCGGCGGGCGACGCCAAGCAGCCGGCCAAGTGCGGCGAGAAGAACTCGTCGAGCATCACGAGCATCACCAGCCTGGACATCGGCTACCAGGGCGACGGCGAGAACTCGCGGCCGGAGAGCCGCGGCGCCGACGCCGCCCGGCTGACGAGGCGCAGCCGGCGGCCGGAGCCGATGACCGATTCGGACTTTTACACGGAGAGCGACGCCGACAATCACGAGGAGCAGCCGGTCAGAGGCGACCGGCGGGCGCAGGTGATCGACGGGACGCTCTACGGCGTCGATCCGCAGGCGGCGGCCGACATCTACGTCAACAACAGGGAGAACATGGACTCGAGCGGGATATTCACCGATATGGAGAAGAACGAGGACGCGTCGCCGGACGCCAGTTCGAAGACCATCACCGAGAACACGCAGACTTTCGACGGAGGGGATCGCGTCGATGAGGATAAGGCGAAGAAGCGGGTGGTGGGCGATGCTAAAGACTCCGGCGAAGCGGATGGGAGCCCCAAGAAACCCAAAGCTGCGACTGCTAAGGGGGTTAGCAAGCCGGTTGGTAAACCGAGCGTCGGTGAAACGGGCGCCAAAGCGTCCGCGGGGAGGTGGAGCACCGTTTTGGATAAGATGAACAAGCACGAGCAGAAGAAGATCGACTACAAGGTGGTGAAGTCGAAGGTGTTCGCTAGTCTCGATGTCAATTCGACGGGGAATCCCAGAACGACGGTCGCCAAGAAACCCGCGGTTCATAAAACGCCCAATAACAAACAGTAAGTGGTTTGTGATAATGATAATTCCACACAAATCCATAATGCTTTAGAAGAGTTTATGTTCTTTGATAATAAAATATGTAAGCAGGATCTTCAGCTTAGTATAGTAGTATAAGCTAATAGTGCACTTGAGTCAAAATTTGGGGCGCACTGAAATAACCTGAATTATAATCCAGTACCGAAATTCCGTATCAAAGATTAACTTCGTCCTGTACTAATATCCCACGCTGCAATTCCACACTCTAAGTACTTCATTCTACGCTACTATTAACTAGATACTAAATAAGTGGGGCTTTAAGATGCGTTTTTAAAAATTTAAAAAAATTGCGTTTTAAAAATTGACATTAATGACATATGACAGAAGTATGACAGTAGTTTAATAGAGGTGGGAATTAACTTTTCGGTATAGAGGTGCAGTAACGACTGTTACAAAATAAGCGTTATTTTTCACATTTCTTTCGATTCCACTAATCGAATTGTTATGTTTCGGTGGGGAATTCCGGCGATGGATTAAGCACGACCCAAAAAGGGGTTATAATTTTGGTAGGGAATTTCGGAGAATTTGAAAGAAATCGAATCTTTTCTTTTATAGAACGCCGCAGATAATTAGAGGAAAGACAACCCCCAAATACAGGTAAGTTTTAGCTTCAACGTAAACGCCGCTTTAGCTTCATTTAAAACGTTTTTCGTAGCTCCTGCACCGTCATATACGAAGACGCCGACGGGACGCCGAAAAACAAGTAAGTAAATTTCGGGAGAGTAAATAAAATTTCCTTGTGTACGAAACGCCCTGTTACAATGCTATTACCTACGGATTAAATGGACCACAGTAGAGGTATAATCGTAAATTACCTTTAAATATCGGGGTTTTAAATTTCTTGGATAACGGGCAATTAACAATTCCTGTTAAATTCTCATTACTGGGGAGGATTCTCCTACCTGCTCCTAATGGGGGTAGGTGATTATTGGAGGGAACGATGCAGTTGAATCAGTGCTTTGATAGTATTCACTTAGTTTTAGTTCAACATAGCGGTATTAAAATGAAAGAGATTTGCGAAATGTTATATCCTGAAGGAAGGTAAGAATATTATACACACACACGTAGCTTCTTTGACTCTGGTTTTGTTTCTTTATCCTAGTTTACTACCGTATTCTTTTATTCATCTCTGAGTCTCTTGCACTAACCATCTTAGAGATGGTGTTTTCATAACGAGCGATTGCTAATTTAATTCCAATTCATTTTAAAGGCAGAGATCAAGGACAATTCGACCAAAGAGCGCACAAACGCCGAAGAGCACCATCCACAGTTCGCAGAGCGACGTCAGCGCCGCGACGCCGCCCCTCTCCCATCGAAAACCCGGTAAGTTTCCATTCCAATTATATACGATAATTATTTTAAATCCACCGTGTATATCGACGATTCTAATTGAAACATCCTTCCAATTCGACTTTCCTTTTTGCCAGCCGGACGATATTTTCTTCTATTCTAATTCCTATTCCTATTGTGCGGTTTTATTTATAAACGCAACTAGAGAGAAAACGACGACCGACGATTGTCTTAAATGTCGCACGGCCATTACTCAAAGTCCCCGGACGATTCGGTTCGCTTTGAACTCTTCTAGCCGGTTAATTAAGAAAGCCGATTCGATCGAACAAACCAGATATCGCTTATTGTTAACCTGCAATCGAGTCGCGGTTTTTACGTTTCATTCGGACTTATAGATAAAAAGTTACTCCTAAGTTGCCTTCGGTAATTCCCCAACAAAACGTTAATCCCTTATTGGACAGTACTTTACCCTTAATCCCTTGTTAGAATTCGCTAGAGTAAAAGGAAAAGCGTAGAGTAGAGGGTAGAAAGTAGAAGAGAGTATCGATTACAGCCTATGGAATAACGGGACACTCTGTATTATTTTCAACAGTAACAGATATATTGAGCTTATCCATATTACGTACTACCCTTTATATACAGTATGTACCGAGTGGAGGGTCGCAAATCTGTCCCATCTCTGATTAATTACCAGTTTCAAGCTCCATACAAAAATGGGATGCAGGGGGCCCCATCTGTCCCAGCTTCCTTGATACATAACCCTTCCTGGTTAGCATAACCTGCTCCGGTATACGGTTAAAGAACTCATCGTGGACCCTTGGAGGGCGCCTTCCCCGTGGAGGTTTCGGTTCCACCGCGCGAACGATGGCGATTCCTGCGTCTGGTCCCCCGGAGGCGAGACGCGGCGGCCCCGCGTCCATTCGGATCGTTTGTTCTTGTTCCAGTCGGTTACTTCGGTGCGCCGAGTCAGCGCGTGTTCGTCGCGTCGCCTCCCGGTGCGCGTGTTTACTGAATATTCGATAGCGGCATCAGCTGATCGCGGACGAGAGATTTTTCGAGTTCTTTTTGGAGGAGTTTTGTGGCGTTTCGTGTGCTGTTTGTATTGCTGCACGTTCGTTGGTTGTTGGTGTTTTCGGTGGTTAAAGTGCGGTGGATGTATAAACATGTTTTGTACGAATTTATTGCGATTTTGTTTGCATTTAATTTGAATAGACGTATGTATTTCGGAATTTTCTTTTGCCGGGTTTGACTAATGTTAAAATATCGCGGTTTTGATATTTAATAATACGGCGCTTCTGTGTAAATATTTGCTTTTAGTTACTACGCGATATAACACATTTTCTACGGTAAATTCGTAAATTATTTGATGTTTATTCGCGACCTACTTTGCAGTAAAATTAACAAATCCTAATGTCATCGATTCTTTCTTCCTCCCACGTAACGGAGCATATCAAAAACTCGCTTTAAATTTTCTCTGAAATCTCTTTTTTACCCCTTTGCACACGCGACCGTGAGTCATTTTGAAACAAGGGTTGAAGCACCCCTAACTACACGCTCAATGCAACTCCAGTGCATTGTTATTGAATAATTCCTCCTGGACATTTAATGCATTCTTATTAAATAATTGATATCCTTTCGATTCAAATTTCTCTAGGAAAAATGCAAGTTGCATAAAAATTACGCTACGTGCATAATTAATCGCTCTGTATATTATCCTAACGAGTATTGCGCAAACATATTTAATGGCGTACCGTTAAAGCAACACCGATCGAATCGGTGGGAAGCAAATCGAATAACAATAATTAAATAAACATTAATCAGCCGTCGGGGAGCTTTTTTTTTCTCACAACCATAAAGACTTTTTAAAATTTTAGATCGGTCGATATGCAGAAAATTCGTTGCGAAATCCGAAGTGGGCGGATTTATGATGCATTTGCAATTCAATTTGATCTTATTGGGAACACAATGAGCATTCTAATTTCTAATTGAGAAATTATTTCAAGGTTAATAAATCGGTTTGTAGGTCGTTTACCTGAGCGAAATGCCTCTTTCGTCTCATTGTAATCGAACGAAACGGTTGTACGACGTTTATCGAATTTGGTATAGAAATAGCACCACTTATATACAGGGTGATTTATTTAAATCGATTCGTTACGGTTCGCGTTATTGCTATAAACTTCCGGTTATTGCAGGATTTTAATTCGTATGCTGAAAATATTATGTAATATAAATTCGATGAGGTCGTTGATTGATTGATTGATTGATTGATTGGGTGAAAAAAGCAAACGTATTCCGAAGGAAACGATGTCGTCGGGTTTGATATTTTCGAATAAAAAATGGGAAAATTAGACTTTAGAGTTTTGTTATACAGCTATTGATAAGGGTTTTTTGTTCACTCGTTACTTCAGTTAATTTTTGTTGAATGAAAAACGGGAAAGTTTTGTAGATTAGTAGTTGGGTTTTCCAGTTGAAATGCGCTGTAATTTTGTGTTTTGTAAGAAAAAATTTAAACGGCACAAGTCGATTGGCCTTGGGCCAAGTTTTCACGTTTTTACAACTGTCGCATCGTCGGAATAACGAAATGCATAATTAATTAGTATGAATTAGATAAATTGCCGTAACACGCAATAACGGGAATTTAACCCCGATAATTATTTAAATATTTATATTGTCGGTAATAACCCGTTTTAGCGCGTTTGGTTTTCCTTCTATCGTCAATTTCACCTATTGTTACTTGACATTATAATTAACATGTTTTTTTTTCTAAATTTAGTCGGAGAGGATTAAATTTTACGAGCATTTTTCGAGCTGGCTTTCAAAATTGAAAACAAACAAATAAATGTCAATTTCGATTATAATGAGGAAATTGGAGAAAATCCTTAGAAATGAGTTTTCTATTTCGGGAGGCGGTTATTTTCAATTTGGGTTAAACTTGCTACGTTGTTTATAAAATATAGTCAAGACAGTGGCGTTACCTTACCAAAAATATACATTTTTCCTGTTTATTCATACATCTAATAAAATAATTATCGTGCAGATTGTGTAATATTTAATTAATATCAGTACGAATAATATTATATTTTAATTATAAACATTAACAAAACATTACGTAAATGAATGATAATTTATGTTCGAATTGTGTTTTATTTAAGCGGTTTTTCAATGTCAAACAAATCAACAATATTGCAAATTTATACAGGGTGAGTCGTAAATAAATTTATCGCACGCCAATGCTTCATACAGCACAGCCTACTTAAAAAAAACCTCACTTGCACTCGCCCTGTATGAAGAAATTCGATTTCAATAAATTAATTAAAACGTAAAATTTCGCCTTCGATAAAATTTATCAGCGGATTTTAATTTAATCGTCTCACAAAATTCGCCTATCGACTTGCATTTACATGTATTCGATAAAATTATTAATAAATCTTGAAAACATTCAAACGAAAACCTTCACAATTTTCTCCAGTACAACAAGATTTATTATCTACTGATTTGAGAACCAAAACCTTCACTATATTATTTATTAACTATTTAAAAGCGGGAATATTAATTAATCCTCCTGTATGAAACAATCCGCACGAAGCTTCTTTTGAAATTTCCCATCACAGGCGGAAGTTCACGGCTGTTAATAAAAGGTGCATTTACATATAAATAATAGCCATTTTCTCTCGAGTACTTTGCCCGGTCAACTCGATACCAAGCATACCAACTGCAACTTAGAAAAACCCTAAAAATCCGTTAATTCCTCAACGAAAAGAGTAATCAGATGAACGATATTTGAAAAATAACGCTTATTTTGTAACAATCGTTACTGCACCTCTATTCCAAAAAAATATTCCCACCTCTATTAAACATCTGTCATACGAAATGTCATTAATGTTAAATTTGACAGTTTTTGGTTATGTATCGAACGCATCTTAAAGTCAATGGCACGGCCCTATATTTCTAAGGTCTGGAATCTCCTTATGCTTATGCATTAGAGAATATGTCGCGTTATTTGAGGACTTTTTGAGCTTCACTTTTGCTCTGCACCGTGGCGAACGATCGAAGGACCAACTTATCTCAGCCAATCAGCGTCGCGCTACATATAAATCGCGGTTCTGTGAAACGACAGTTCAAGCTGTCAAAACTTCAAAAATTATTTTTTTGACATTTCGAGGAGAAAATGGAGAAATACATTTACCGAAGATACGTGAGGCATGATGTTTACAACAAAATCATCGCTGATTTAAGTATATTTTTATATTTTTTATCTATTTTTAGTTTGAATAATACCTGTTTTAATGCTAATTCTATATAATTCGTACGCAAAAAACGGGGTCCTTTACAACATCGCATCCTAGCGGCCGTTTTAGGAACCCTGTTCTATCCTCAAAAAAACGGGACCTTAGAAATATAGGACCGTGATCAATGGTAAATTACACAATAGAGATTAGAGGGGTGAATAATTCTTTTTAGTGAAACTTTGCGCCTATTTTACATCCTTTCGCTGGATTTATACCGTCTATTACACGCCATTTTCAGCATTATTACGGCCGCATCTGTGCCGCGAACGCATAGGTGAAATATCCGCATTGAGAAACAACCTCGCGTTCTCTATGCACCATTCAGGTCTATTACCAATTTATATTTAGCCAAAAGGAAGGATACGTTAATAAAGAGCGCAACAAACGACCGAGCACAATGGAATTGGATAAGTCTTAACGCGTACGGATTTATACGAGTCGCCTTGCGCAGGTTATTTCGCTGCGGTTTTATATCTTTCTGTTACGAAAATGCTCTAATTTTACGCCCGCGAGACTAATACCTGTTGACTCCAAGTTGGGGAATAAAGAGATACTTTAACGCTTGCAACAAATCGCAATAAATTTTTGCCGGATTTGCGCAGAACGCCGTTAAATACACTACACGTGATGTTGAGAATCCGTTCGTTGCGAATCCGATTGGTGAACATAGAAGAGAATTATTGGATATCGTGACGACAGCTCGAAATGAGATAAATCGAGTGTTTTTAAAAATGGGCCAGAACCCTTCGAAGGGCAAATTGTCGCGTTCGTCGTCCGAACGGATCGACAGGAAGGAGCGATATCCCAGCAGGATCGGCAAAAAAGGTGAACTTATTTCCGCGCCCTCGTATGTATCGAATTTAACCGATTCGAGCAATTTTTTGTTTCGTTTAAGCTCGCCACCCTGTATAAACGTTGTGTTTTTATCTTTGCAGGATCTGCGAAAAAGAGAACTGACGTGTCACAAGTGACACAAGTACTGACTGCGAATAAACTACCTGCAAGGAATCAACAAAAAACCGCAGTAGAAAGTAAGAAATCTAAACACATTTCCATTATAAGACAAATAATTACACCTAACTTTAAACCCAAGTAATTTAAGAAGCTTTATAATCAACCGAATCATACGGTTAGCACTCTTCTTTTGTACTAACATACAGGGTGATTGTTATATATTTTTTCGTCTCGCCTCGTATATATCCGCATTAAACTAAGCCCGAGCGTACCACCTGCTATGAGTGTGCAAGTACCTGCAGTGAGTACCGGTACCGCTGCTATATACCAATTACGAAACCAGTTTCACGGTGCCCGATAGGTAGTACCTCTATACATAAATATAATGGAGTCTTATTCCGTTTCTCCGATTTGCATGAGATGAGGGTCACATCTGGTTAACCTAAAGTCCAAACAAAACCGAGCGCAATGATATCGAGGTGGGGGCGATGGGGGTACCGGGGGACGGTGCCCCGCTCTAATACACTGTAGAGCTGTATTTTTATTACTTTTAGCTTGCTTTAGATAAACGTTTTTTTAGAAGGGGCGATGGGGGTACAATGTCCCACTCTAATACACTATAGAGCTGTATTTTTATTTCTTTTAGCTTGCTTTAGATAAGGGTTTTTTAGATAGGGGTAATAGGGGTACAGTCCCCACTCTCATACACTACAGAGCTGTATTAGAAAGTTTTGATTAGGCTTAGCTTGTTTTTGACAAGGTCTTTTTTAATTCTTTTGTTATTGCAGTAAACTTTTATCTAATGTAATTTGTATGATTGCAGATAAGAAAAATATTCTTCCGCATTTATCGTCGAAAACTGAAACGAAATCGCCAAAGAACGTTCATAAGTCCAAGGAGACCTTCAAGCCTTCGATCAATTCTTCGGCTAAAGGTGAGTGTGAATGTCCTTGTTTCTTTTTTTTATATAATTAAAATCTTTGGTGAAAATGGCAGGAAGTGTTGTATTGTAAATGGCGTGAATTTAGCTAAACACACTAACGATTTCCTTCTAGTTTTCATTTTAATAGTTTCCGAGTTAACGGGCGTTTAATTATCGAATTAATGATTGTCGAGAAACTGTATCATCGCGTAAAATGAATGCAAATTTATCAAATGGAAAAATGTATTATTAGAGTATAAGCGAAATTTCTCTAATTATAAAAAAATAGTATTAATTACGTTTATTCCAGTAAACATGGGCGTCGACGGTGTTTTATACAAAGGGGTGAAAATAGATCTTTGGAGGGCTACATTTGTAGTTTAATTTAAGTAATGGAATAAACTCGGTATAATTTATGAATCAAAAAAAATTAAAAATCTGTAAAATTATGAGAAATCGCTGTAAAATGTTTAAATTGCAATTTAAAACCCCTCCGGCTACGCCACTGCTCGTAAGAGGAGCGAACGATAGAGCTGGATAAGTGAATTAGTTTCATTGTTTCGTACTTTCTCTAATGGCCAATTAATTACTATTTTTATCCATACGTGAAAGTAATTTATCACACAAACTTGTAAATAACATAATGAAAATACTGGAGTATCAGAAAAAATCTTCGATAAACACAAACCGTTTAAAATAACATAAAAAAATACCCCATCTACAGGGTGATTCGAGTATGAAATTACGAAATTCGATCGAAACAATGCGATTACAAAAAAATTCACATAACCCGGGTTACGTGCGTTTCCTCAAATAAAACTATTCAATTTGCATACAAACGATACAAAGTTGGCATATAGGTGTATATACCGGAAGAAATCCGAGATTAATCGTTTGTTTGTTCGATCTCTAACCGCGTTTAAAGTTATCTAACCTCCCATTGTTCCATCGCAAACGTGCAGATAACAATCAAAATCTGGGGAATTGTTAGATCATTTCTTATTTCGACGATTTAATTAATTTATTTTTATGTAATTATCGTGGGACAGTCGGCTATTTATTTACTTTTTTAATGTAATTGGGATTTTTTTCATGGAGTTTATTCACGATTTTTTTTGTTAAACTTCGCTAATTAGAATTTGGAGAATAGGAGCGCTCGTGTGAATTTCCCATATATCATTTGATGAGAACTTTTTTTTAGATTCAGGGGGGTGCTGCCCCTCTGGATACCCCCCATGTGTTTTTAACAGTTTATACTGAAAGAAATTTGCAATTACTGCAATTAATTAAATATGAAATATCTATATACCTAGGATGTCTCTTTGCAGCTATATAAATTGCAAGTTGGGACACTCTATATGTATATTAGAGGAAAAGTGATATCTCTTTTGTTGAAAAAAAAAAAACGACTAAACACCATTAAATTTGTTCGTTTCACAAACAGCTTATTTATTATGCACACATTAAAAAATCCTCCATGCATAATGTAAATAGTGTAAAATGATTCTATTTTCGAATGCGAAACGCAATCGAACGCGTTTCTACGCTCCGCTGAATCCATCGCATATACGCAAAAACCCGAGAGGAATAAATTAATCAACGAACAACGAAAGTTTGTTCCGACGATCGTCCAGATTTACAATATACAGAGCGGCCCAAACGCAACCTTATCACCCGATCGCTTGTGATTTTCGACGCTATTATTAACTCGCTCGTTAACCGCACACGCGAATTACCTGTCCCCATCTAATGGCTAATAGAATTCAATAGAAAGCCCCCTACCTTTCTCTTCATTTCGCCGATCGCTCGAAGAAAGTTTCCACGAGATACGCCGCCCACTCGGGCTCGCTCAGTCCGTTCGATCGTCTCGTCGAAATCGGTTTTTCTTCTTCGAACATGACGCGCGGAAATCCGGCGGCGGTGCGGTGATCGGTCGATGGGCCCGCAGGGCGAGGTGCGCTCGTGGTTCAGAGAGATGGTGTTGCGCGCCAGAAGGAGCAAGTGCTCCGGCGATCTGGACGTCTTCGCCGCCGAGAGGTTCAAAGCCAAGACTTACATTTTCGCGACGCTGAAGAGCCAGCGGAGGAGCAAAGGTAACGAAATCCGCGTGGAGGAATGTTTTGGGTACTCGAGGCGCTCAGTATTGATACCTACGTAGTTCTCTATAACGATGAAAGAAAAATTCAACAAATAATTTCCGATGTTTATCTAAATCGTTATTTAAACAAAATCCGCGAGGGTTTTCTTTTTACATTGCAATTATTGCGGAATTGGAGCGAACGCAGTTAATTGTATAATCCGATTTGATACAGTTAGTTACTAAATAATCGATCTTAGAACGGATCTTGGAACTGTATTGGCCGTGAAAAATGAATTCTATTTAGCCAGCGTTATTTGTTATTATTGCCATTGAATCGGCCGCAGGTAATTGCGATTTAATCGTCTTGTTAACGGTATTAATTGGCTCCGTTTTGAATTTTTTGTGTATACAAACTCTCCCATTAACTATTTAATTAACCGTTCCATTAGGATAATCATTTTTATTCAAAGTTTAATGTGGGACACACGGTAATATCGCCCTTTGATGAAGAAGATAGAAGGTTTCAGGCAATGTTCAAATTGCAAATTTCCCATGTAACCTTCTATTAAATTGCAGTTATATGCACTCGAGATGCAAATGTATGAGAAATTGTTCTCTCAATTTCGAAAAACCAATCTCACGTTTTTCATTAATAGGTATGTGGAGACTTTAATTTCATATTGCACGCCATGGGAAAATGCGATTCTCGGCGAATCCTAAATATTCCACGAGCGTAGCAATCGGTTTAAATAAGGGTGTTTTTTGGGAGTTTTTAATAGCGACTGCGCACGTCTCTAGCTACAGCTATCGCACTGTACTTGTTTGTAGAGTGCAACAATCCGGTGTACATTTCTACTAGCCGGAAATTCACGTATCGTCTTCGATTTAACTATTACAAGGAGGATGTTAAACGAAGTGTATCACCCTATGGTTACATCCTTGGATGGTCGGGGCATCCTGTATTACATTACCGTACGGCCAGTGTATATAAGGTGTATTTTATTGTTTATTACACAAGCGTAACACAATCGGCGTTGCCAAATCGTCAAATATTGGTCATTAGAAATTACAAATTTTAACATTTTTAGGTGGTAAAAGGTGTTAAAAGATGTTTTGAGCTCTTTAAAGTTTAACTAGTTTATCATGCGATTTTTAAGCGGGGTTATTTTTTCCGTGGATCTAATGATACGATCGATTTGGCAACAACGCAATCGGTTCATCTGTTGTGTTGTTTTTGTACGCATAGGAAGAGAAAAAGTTTTAAATGTTTTAGTTGCACGCCGAAACGCGTATGGTATATATCGCGAATTTTCCTGCTGAAAATTGTAGCAGGAAAATCGCCCGGCGCGTTTTTCCTTATCAACACCGTAAACGATAATTACATGGTGATGGGGCGCTAATTACACCAATTTAGTGTTTTGTGATAAGTGAAATATTTAGGGATTTTTGCGCTGTTAAATTGGTAGATTTTGTTAGCAAAAATCGAATGCTGGAAATATTCGATATATCTAATTTCAAGTGTATTAGGTATAAAAATATGTTAAATAATAATTGCTCGAGTTTTAAATAGCCCTCGAGCACGTTCAAATAGCTATATTTTTTTCTCTCGATATTAATGATGAGAACGGCGAGCGTGGCCAAAAAATATTTTTAACTTCGATCGAAACCATTTGGCAAGGACGAAATGTCGTCCTAATGGAAATCGGAAAAGTAAATAAATATTTGGAAATTTTAATTACACCTTTTCCTAGTACACGTAATCGATAAAAATGTAATATACCAGTTGTGGAATGTAATCGATAGATTTCGGGTAATGTACGTCGATAAAACGGGTGAGTTAAAACACTATGAATTGTTTATCTAGTAATGTATGGTATTTTTTGGCTCCCTCTGTATTAAATTAAATCGATTCATTACTCTCGAGTGATTGCCGGTTTTTTTTTTTGAAAAACCAAAACCCCAATGACCCAACTGGCCCTCGGCCAAAACAAACTCGTTCGGTTTTCCATCCATATCGTAATCGAGCGATTTTAAAATAAAAACACCGAGATCGACGGATCTCGAACGATAATTTTCGTTTGAGCTTGAGCCACTTTGTATTTAGTAGCGGATATCCTCGTACAGTACAAGACACTTTTACGACGCGCAATTGACAAAAACGCTGTTTTCACAGATGCGTTGCGATTCCGACGACGAAAAATTAATTTTTTCCTTCGATAATAACTCGCAAAAGGGCCGCTTTCGCTGCCGCCGACGAGCGAAATATTATTCATTCGGCGCATTGTTTGAAGTACCGGTATCGTTTTTGTTGCAGAGAGCCCCAGAAGTACAATAAAAGCGGAGAGATCGCAGATTGTCCGATCCCAATCGCAAGCGAATCCTCACCATCAGCAGCCCCTGATTACCGAGGCTCTTGCGGTTTTAGTGCAACATCTCGTCTTCAATGTAAGTTTTCCTACAGCGTAAATTAATATCTTAATTCGCGACATTCTCGTTTTTCACGAGCGTTCGTTTGGCTTGCAGGTGGGGGCTTACGAAGTCCCTTCGTTGAGGCGCCAGTTGGAGAAGCTAGCCAAGGAGAATGGGAAAATTAAGGAAGCCTTGGAGGAGGAAAAAAATCGTAGCGTCCGAGAAGTTTCCGAGCGTGAGTATTTTTGAAACGCCCTGTATGTAAGAGTTATCTCGATTAATTATCCGCGTGATTAATGCCTTCAAAATTTATATCTTTACGAAAATAGAAAAAAAAAGTAACAATAAAAACGTTAGTTATCGAAAATTAGCTGTAAACGTCTGTAAATATTTTTTCTGTGATGCCGTTTTCTCGAATATTTCCGCACTATTTCACCTGAAAATTTCGTCGATTTTATTTTATTGATTCATCGGATGCAACGGGCATTTTTATTCGGTGTCGTAAGTAGTTTGTGTGCGTGTGTGATGGGAAAAGTCCCGAGAGCGACGCGAAAATGAAACGATTTTTCCTCGATTTCGCCTTCAATAAAATAGGTATTATTACAATTACGCGGTAGCGCGAATATCGCGCCAAAGTAAACCGAAAAATAAAATACTTTTTCCCCATCATTTTGAGATAAAATTTAGCAAACCGATGGATTAATTAGAATATTTTCTAGTAAACCGACATTACGCTGACGTAGAGCAACGGCTCGTCTCCGAAAGGGAAAACGACCGCAGGAACTTATCGAAACAGCACGAGGAAGAGGTCGAAGAACGCAAGAAGGAATTCAGGCAATCCCTGGAGATAGTCCGAGAGGAAAACGACTCCATATTGGAGCAAATCCAAGAGAAATCCGCGCTAATAGAAAAGCTAAAGTGAGTACACCAAAACCACCGCACTATTCCCCATAAACCAGACTATTCCTCGTCCCCAGATACGAAAGCAAGAAACTAAAAGAAGACTACGAATCGAAGGAAACCCTCCTGCTCGGCAACGTCCACAAACTGAAGCAGCACAACGCCCAGCTGGAGGAGAAACTGAAGCGCCTCGCCCAGGAGAACGACGAACTGAAGAAGCGCAACAGCTTCATCGAAGTCAGCAACGAGGAGAGCTGCTTCGCCTCGCAGGACGTCCACTCCTTGACCGTCGTGCTCAGAATGAAGCAGGACGAGATGACCGAGCTGCGGAAGGAGCTGAACAGGGCCCTGCAAAAGGTCGACGAGCTGGTCGGCATCGAGGAGAAGGCCAGGTACCTCAACGACAAGTGCGAGGGGCTCGAGTTCCAATTGGACGTGAAAAATTCAACGGAAAAGTAATTATTAATCGATGATAGTTAATTAATGGTTGATGATTTTGCGTCGTTGCAGCGGCTTGCAACAGGAGATATTCAAATTGAAGGAGAACCTGAAGGAGGAGCAGGCGCAGAGGAAGAGGATCCTGTTGCACAACGAGGAGCTGTTGTGGAAGCTGAGGCAGAACAAGGAGGTGATGACCAAGGTGGTGGAACAAGCCGACGGAATCGGTTTGAACCGGTCGAAATTGTCGGCCAGCTGCAGGGAGTCCAATTCGAGGAAAATGCTGCTCGAACGGTCGCTGTCGTTGCGCGAAAAAATGCCCAGCCGGTAAGAGGTGTTTCGTTATATGCAAATTTGTTTGGAATATAATCAATTCATAGACTTATTCTTGTCTTTTCTGGCATATTTTAGATTATTGAACGGCAAAGAGGAGGAGAGCCGCAAGTTCTTCGACGACAGCGTCGACGAAACGACGCCCAAAGTGAAAATAATCGTGGAGAAATCGGACTCGGTGAGTTACATGTTGGAAATGAACGAGGACCCGGACGCGATGGCGAGCAGGTTCATCAACCGGATGACGTCGACGCCGAAGTTCAAGCGGCCGCGCATCAAAAACCAGCCGAGGCAGAGCCCCATCTCCTCGTCGGTGCCGAACGACTTCCAGTAGGTAACCGAACGAGCGCGCCTCGAACGCATCGAGTAAATTCTGATTTGTCGTTTAGACGCGAGCCGGTCATCGAGCTGTCGCCGATGTGGCGCGACGGGCACGATCTCGACGACGCCGACGACGACGACCTGACGGAGTTGCCGGCGCTGCCGGACGTGCTCGGCGGCGGCGGCGGCGCGGCGGAGGCGCTGCCCGCCCCCAGGCACCTCGCCGGCGAGGCCATGGCGTCGGAGAACAATTCGGAGGACGAGAGCACCAGCTCGTCGCAGTTGTGAGATGAACTCGATTTTTAAGTTTTCTCGACTCGTTGACTAAGAGTATTGTAATGTTCGATCGAGGAATTTCCAAGCCCGGGCACTTTTCGAACGAGCTTAGTGAATTTAACGAATACTCTCATCGCAAACGCGTCGGTTTTTAACGTGCATGTAAACGTGTTCTGAAGTTACTTTGTTTTTATACGTATGTAGTTTTAATCGATTGTGATTTGTTTTATAAGATCAGAGTGTTTCAATTGGACTAACGAGTTCGATTTTATTGTTATATTTAATAGAAATTTATGATAAAAAATGTATATGTTGAAACACACTGTAAATACTTATACATAATTCTCTATTTCCAGTATTAAGGTAAATGTAAAATAGTTTGGTTTTTTTATATAATATTAGAGAGCTAATCTGTCGCGATTCTCGAGGTGTATATGTTTTTTTATTCTTATTAATAACGCGTGAATCCTATTTGTATAAATTTAATAATTTATAAACTGGTGAAGTATTTTAATTGTTAGGACCAACTTTAAATTATAAAGCTGTTATTAAAATAAAGAATTTACTTACCATACGCATTGTTTTGACTCCAATTGAATAAAAGTTTATTAAAATATACACAATAAACATCTTAAATCTTACTTATCTCCCAAGTGCTCGTTTAAATAATTAGTATAAGATGAAATTAAATCGTCCATTTTATAACCTTGGGACGTTTCGCACAGTATTTTTGTGGTTCTCATGATATTTCCTACGGTCATATGGAAATAAGCGTTACCCGAGGACCAATTGCTCAGTTCCGAATACTCGTGCGTTGCTATTATATCCTGCAAAAGAGATAATTTAATGCATAATTAATCCTCTTGTTTTATATTATTATAATATCGTCCGCCATTTTGAAAGGGAGCAAAGCCCCTTTTCCGATCGTTTAGCGAATACAAGTACTATTACCTTAGTCTGCGGGTGAATTATGTTGACTCCTCTCTTATTTATAGCTATAACCACGACTTCCGGGTAGGTAGCCTCGGTGGTTTGCTTGACCTCGAAGAAAGCCGAACCGAACGTCGGCCATTTGTAAGTAATTTTCAAAAACTCCGTCTTGGCCTGCTCGGCCGTCATCTTCAGCATCTTGTACTCGCCGGTGATGCTCTTCTTCCAATCGGACGAATTCGCCGCCTTGAAGATATCCGCCGGTATGAGGTCCTTGACGCCCTGGTGTAGCGCCGCCATCGCCTCCGAATCGTTGTCGTCGAACCGGGCCTTCAGTATCAACGCCGCCAGTCTGATGGCGTCCTGCTTGCCGCACTTGTGGTAGCCCTTCAGGTACTTCGGCAGCTCCTGGTGGTAGTGGAATATCTGGTCGGCGTAGTGGTCCTTCTCCGGCACGGTGCGCACCCACAGCTTCTTCATGAAGTAGATTTGGTACTGCGCTTGGATTTGTATCGCGCCTGAAATCGATTCGTTAAGTTGCGTACAATAGGAATGTAGGAAAGGCATTACTTCCCCAGCTGGGCTTGGTGCGCCTGATCCACTGGACGAGCTCGCTCAGGAAGTCGTAGAAGAATTGCTCGGGCGGGAACGAGAACACTTTGTCCGCTATGGCGACGAACAAGCTGAAGCCGTCGGTGCATTTGAGCTCCAATCGCGAGGCGATGCTATCGCACAAATCCACGGCCCTCGTGGTCGAATTGATTTCGAACGCCTCGTCGGTGTCGTCCGGGAAGTAGATCTTGTGGAAGATTTCCATGCTCTTGTGTTGGATGGCCTCCACTTCGATAGCGTTCGGCGGGTACTTCCTTTGGCCCACCTGCGAATATACACAAAAAAAAATTGAAGAGTTTCGTACATTTCTAGTAGATCTATTTACTTTCTGGGCCTTTTGCAACCTCTTCAGGCAATGCTCGATGATCGGGTTGGTTCGCGACTTCAAAAATTTGTACACCTCCGCCAGCAGTTTATCGCCGGGCGCGTACAAACCGGTTATCAAATACATCAATTCCCATCCTTTGTCTTCGCTCACCGACAACCGGTTGAACGTCAGCTGCTTCATGATCTGGCAGTACACCTCGTCCTTCAACAGATCGTTCTTCAGCGGCCCCGCGAATATTTGATCGGTGTACTCGTTGCTGTACTTGGCCTTCGGCGCCGGCAGGTCCCCCATGTACTTCAGTATGGCCGTGAATATGTTGCAGGCCTCCTTGCTGGCGCCCTCGTCGCCCAGCAGGTGCTTCAGCAGCGGCTGGTAGATGGGCTCGTTCGAGTACTTCCACAGCTCCTCTTTGGACGCCTTCCGCGCGGCGCTGAACACCGTCGTCTTGTTCTGGCTGGCCGACTTGCCGGCCCTGAAGTGCTCCTCGGCGTAGCCCGCCAACGTGTGCATTTTCAATCGTTGGAGAGTCGTCACCACCTGGAACGTAGCAATGTAATGAATTGTTGATTGTTTCGAGTCGGTTCGGACTTTTTCCGGGCGTTTCTCCGTGACGATTCCGTCTTTTTTGAAGCACTGCAGGATGTCTGAGGGCGGCGGTGTGAGAGTGGGTAGTATGTAAACGTTTTCCGTGGCGAAATCGCCGGTTTTTCCCCGGCACTCGCCGCGTCCCCACGTGGCTGTCATCAGTTTCTCGCCGTTCAAATTGTCCTTCAGCACGATCAAATCGCCTTTGCGTAGCTCCAGGAACGTATCGGCACCTACAAACGACGTTAGTAATCAAACTATTCGTAATGAGTATAATTCGTTAGTAATTACTCGATTCGCAATCGTGCGTCGCGACGCAATAGACCGACCTCCGTTTCAAACCGTCGATAATGTACCGAAGCAGCCCGCAAATGCTCTGGGCGTCCAGCGTGTGGAAACCGTACTCCTCGTTGTCGACGGTGCAGAACCTAAACACCATTTTGTTCATGTTGTTCTCGTAGGTGACGAACGAGATATCGGCGAAGGTGAGCTCCATGTGGATCTGTTCCTCGTCGTCGATTAGAAACACCCCGGCGCTGTTCACGGCTATGATCATCTTGTTCCGAGGCAGGGCCGGCCCGTCGAGCTGGGCGGCCTCGAAGAACCGCGAAAACAGTATGGGCCAGGTGACCTGGGCGTACTTCACCAGCGTCTCCTTGGCCTGCAACGCGGGCATTTTGTTGCGCACGCAGTCCAAGTTGACGAAGGCCGATTGGATCTTGCGCTCCCAGTTCGACAGGTCGTTCTGCGCCCGCTTGACCAGGTACGTGGGCATGTACTCGCCCATGCGCGTGTGCAGCACGTTCTTGTTCAACTGGGCGCCGTTCTCGATGTAGTACTGGAGCGCTATGAGTATGGCGACGTCGTCCTCCTTCGAGCAGCGGTACTCGCCGTGTTTCACGCCCCTGACGATTTGGTGGTAGATTAGGTTCGTGGATACCGAGTCGAGCGACGGGTTGTGCCACGGCGCGAAGATCTCTTTGCGCAGTAACAGCCGCCAAGGGCAGTTGCGCTCTTGTTGGCCCTAGAAGAAGGTTTTCTTGCGGTTAATCGCGCTCGTGCGGGTTTAAAATTGCGGGAATTTGTTACTTTTTCTTTGGCGTATTGCTCGCATTGCGATATGGCGTCCATGATGTGGTCCTTTTCGCTACCCAGCGACATGACTTTGTCGTCTAGCGCTACGAATATCGAATAACCGAAGGTGTCCGTGAGGTTTAAGGTGGTGGAGATTTGGGTTAGAATTTCCTCCGCTGTACTCGCCGAATCCGCCTTAAAAAATCTCTCATTATAAACATATGCTATTAAGTGGGACTTTAAGGTGCGTTCGATGATACACAACCAAAAACTGACTGAAAAACAGAAGGACCAAAGACCGACTACCAAAAAACTTAAATTGACATTAATGACATTTCCCATGACAGAAAGTTAATAGAGGTGGGAATCGTTTTTTTGGTATAGAGGTGCAGTAACAACTGTTACAAAATAACCGTTATTTATCAATAATGTGCTCTACTTAAAATAATTCAATGAATTCACCTCGACCGTGTGGCTGGTGCCGTCCATGAGCTTGATCTCCAGATTGATGGGTTCCTTGTTCTTGGTGGCGATCAGCTCGAGCCAGCTGGGCGGCTGGGTGCGCGGCCCGTTGACGAAGGTCCTGTTGAGGCGGCCCTCGCAGTAGGGCGCGTACCGCGGCGGGCCCGATCTGATGAACGAGCGCAAATAGTTGGCGAATCGGTCCGAAGGCGGGAAGCAGCCGTTGCAAAGCGACAGCAGTATCCAGCCCCTGGCGAACGACGACTTGATGTAGTTGTTGGTCAGCTGTTTGCAGATCATCGCGAATATCTCGTCCCTGCGCACAAATCAATTCGTATGTATATACTGGCATGCCATGTAGTAAGTATACCTTAATTCCGGCCGGAGAATGCCGTGGGCGATGATGAAGTGCAATTTCTCCAAATTGTTGGTTCTCCTGCGGTGCAACCATTCGTTGTAGCGATCCACGGCGAACGTGTCTTCGACTTGACCGTCCCTTAGATCGTCTAATAATTTGTTCTTCTTCTTTAGCGTCAACGATATCAGTTTCCTCCTGTCCGATTTCTTCATTTCCTTGTACCTCCTTTCTTCCTCCATAATTTCCTGCAATTACACACGTAAATCACGCGAAACTACCAACAACGGTGGATATAATCACCTGGTATTCTTTCCTGTTGGTGAAGCTTCTGCTCAACGTCTCCGAGACGACGTTCATGATGAGTTCGTTCCCCTTTTTATCCTCGTATTTGGGCTCCGGGTAGTCGCCCATGAATCTGAGTATGGTGATCCAAATGGCCTGGGCGGCGATCACGTCGTCGGGCGTCGGCAAATAGTGCAGGGACTCCTTCAGCGGCTTCTTGGAGAACTGGTAATTCGCCGAGCTGGAGAAATACGTAGCCGCGTATTTCCTGAAGCTGTACTCGCTCAGGTCCTCGTGGTTGTCCTCGATCGGGGCGTTCTGCGATATCAACTCTACATTCACGTTTTTTGGCTTGGTTTTATCGACTTACCGGCGCTTGTATGTTCTCTACGTGGGAGTTTATGGATATGGAGTCGTCGGTGATGGCGATATCGTCGATGGCCTCTTGGAGTACCCGAATGGCGCTTTCGTATTCTTCCTTCTCTTGCTTCAATTTCGCTTCGTATTCGACGTTGAGTCGGGCCAGTTTTTCCTTCATCTTCAGCTCGGCTTCGATGGAGTAATTTTTCACGCCGCGCGCTTTCAGCTCTTTCTCGTCCAGTTTCCGTTCCTGTATAATTTTGTATATCTGCCCGTATTGGCCGTTGGTTCTGGTTAAGTACCTACGATAAATAACCGCCTAATAATTAGTGTTGATTGATCGATGATGGCGAATTATACCCTCTGCATCTCGCTTGTATCGTCCTAATGTTCTTTTTGATTCTGAAGAAGGCGTAAGTGAGCTGCCTGGAGACTATGCAGGCTTGCAATCGCTTGTAGCCGGTCCTCATGATGTTGTATCTCTTTCGATAGCCCCTGGCGCGCCAGTATTTCTGCACGACGAGAGCGGCTCTCTTGAGTTTTAGGAACCTCCTTCTGTACACCCAGCCTCTAATAACACGTTGAAGTACTGGAATTACGCGCAAATTATTAATTCGTTTGTGCGTGTCGCGTTGGAATTGGTTCACCTTTCACGGAGTTATCTAAAATCTCGCTCCTCTTGGACTCCAGTATCTCGTTTTCGTGTTGTTTGAGGAATATTTTAGTGTTGCCCAGTTGGTATTGTTTCTCGCCGTCGAAGACCCCGCGGAGGATTGTCTCCGAGGAGTTTCTGCAATCGCCCTTCGACGAGGGTTTCACGTTCTTGCCCAAGTACCGGAATCGATCGACGAATTCGATGTAGTTGTAGCGGATCGGGTAGCCCGCCTGGCGGATTTTCGCCGTTTCCATCATGCCCGAGTAGCGCAACTGGCGGGTGCACAGGTTCCTGTCGAAATCCTGCGCGGAAATGATGTTAGTAGAATGAATATTGAGGTGCAGTAGGGTACCTGAGGTCTCTTGTGGTGATTGGGCTTGATGCATCTGACGAAGAACGGATGGCAGGCGTTTAGTGTCTTCATTAACATGTCCAAGGACGATCGGAACTGGGACGAGAGGGTTTTCTTCAATTTCGAATCCGGTTCGCTCTTGAACAGATCCCTGTTGAGGTCTCTGTGAGAGGTGAGCATCAGATTGCGCAAATCTTGGCTGAAGGAATCCCGATTCTTATCCAAAAATCCTACCAATAAACGAATCTTGTAATTATTAGACTTGTTATTTGTAAACAAGGAGTACCTTCGATGTCGTAGAAGACTTCACCGGCGAAATGCTTGACGCCGAAAGCTGGCGTCATCTCGCTCTTGGGCTTCGAATAGAACTCGTTCTTCTGGTGGTGCTTGTGCAGCTTGGTCAGCAGCGAGAAGTCCGTGCCCTTCGGGAACTTCGATTCCTCGTCGATCAGACCGAACAGGTTCAACGGCTTGGCGCCGAGCATGTCCAGTATGCTCTGGTTGTCCACGAACGTGATCTCCGACCAATCGATGCCCTCCTTCTTGTAGTACTCCTGCTCCAATTTGAAGATGTGCTGCACGAAGAACTGCTGCAGGTTCTCGTTGGCGTAGTTGATGCATATCTGCTCGAAGCCGTTCACGTTGAAGTTCTCGAAGCCGAATATGTCCAGCACGCCGATGCTGTGGATGTTCTTCACCTTGTGTATGGATATCACGCTGTTGATTTTGTCCACCTGTTTCACCGAAATGTATACAGATGGAAATCTTGCGATCGTCAGGTTTCTTACCATGAAGGTGAAGAGCTGGCCGTAGAGGCCCTTGACGAAGGCGTGCCGCGATTGGGAGGCCTGCTCCTTGGAGAAGGGCGCCGATATCTGGTCGCCTTGGGCGTAGATGGTGCGCTTGGTGAGCGCCTCGCCCAAATCGAACTTCTCGACGCCCAACAATCGGGCCACCCTCTCGGCTTGGTTGGCGTCGGCGATCTGGCAGCTGTCCGAGTGGGCGGCCGTGCCGGACTTGAACTTCAGGTTGCCCAAGTGCAAGATGGCCGCCAACAGGTGCAGGATCTGCTCCAATTCCTTGTCGGTGAAGTTCAGAACCTTCGAAGGAGTGGTTGATGAATCGATGGTGTGTGTATATAGCGATTTATCGTTAATACCTTGAAAGCCGCCATTATGTTGGACCATTCCTTTTCCTCGTTTCTACCGTCCAAAGTGAAAATCTTGCCTTTGTTCAGATAATCGTACATCTCGGCGTTGCCTAGCTCCAAGCGTTTCTTCTGCTCCTTGCTCATGCCGGCCAGCATGCTGTAGAATATGTGGTAGTTTCGCTCGCCTTCGTTCTGGTATATGATCCGGCTCTTCTCCAGCAGGTACTGCTCGATTTCGGCGCCTTCGATGCCGCCGGTTTTGTTGAATTTGATGTCAATGTACTTCCCGAAGCGGGAGGAATTGTCGTTTCGGATCGTGCGAGCGTTGCCGAACGCCTCCAGTATGGGATTGGCCTCGAGGATCTGCTGTTCTATCCAGGTGTGCTGGGCGCTCATCGACGCCAGATAGGTGAGGATTAGTTTGGTGCTTTCGGTTTTTCCGGCGCCGCTTTCACCGCTTAAGAATCGTGAGGTGATTGAGGAGATTTGTACTAGCGTGATTGATTTTTACCTGATTACTATGCACTGGTCTTTTCTGGTGGTTTTCATGTTGTTGTAGCTGTTGTCGCCTACTGCGAATACGTGCGGGGGCACTTCTTCCATGCGTTTGTTTCTGTAATTGTTTACCACTGCGGTGGTGTATATTGGAAGGATTTCGTATGGGTTTATAGCTATCAACATAGCGCCGATGTATGTCTGGAAAATTGTTTGTACAATGGAAGTGAGCTTTGGAAAATTCGATACACATTTAAAAGAAGCGTTCAAATTTAATGCAAAAATAGACAAACTATTAATTTAGTTACGATGTGTTCTAAAGAGGGCGCCACAAATAACGACTTTGCGTTTTTTACGGAAATAGTAGTAGGCGTATTTTTTATGCAAACGACTCTGTCAAAAAATTGAATTGACAGTTCCACTTTAAACTGGCCTTTAATAAATTAAGTTTAATGGCCAATCGCTCGAGTAAATTATCAATAAATTGTTATTAGATAACGTATATTGATATGTTTTTTGCGAATCGAACGAAAATATTGAAGTGATTAAAGCTTACGTAGATTAATTTTTCCTTGTACCGCTTGTGGAGGTTTCTGAGTATGGCGTACTCCTGTAAATCGCCTAAATTGATCATGTCTTCTACGCCGTTTATGGAGGATACGTGCATCGTTTGGACCACCTGTTGGTTGGAGATGTACGTCTCCTTGCCGTCGTCGTCCAGGAGGCGCACCCTGCTGCTCTCCACATTCACGATTTTCCCCCCGAAGAGGAGGTCGAATTCGGTGGAGGTGGGGCTCGAGGCCCATATGTACTCCCCCTGGAATTAGATGAATGGGATTATGAGACAATTTTTTAGTTTAAACACCCCGTATTGGCTTATGCGAAGAAAACAAGCACTTACTATAACTAATCGAGGTTTGCTAGCCATTTTTTTCTGTAGTTTTTCACTTAGCCCAGAAATCTAATCCATTTTGGCTAGCTACAGCAGTCGACTATGGTTTTTTAATAACATCTATTAATAATAACGGATTAACAATAAAGATAACGTTACATTACACTAAAATATCTATTATCTATACACGTATCTTATCTATATAGATTGGAATAATTGTACTTTTGAGTAGGTTTTTAGATTAGTCGAAAAATGATATCATCAATCTTTGCGTTTAATGCGAAAGATTTCATTATCTTTGAATTAAAAATTGCATTAAGATCAAGTGATTTCTGATATACTAGTCACCAGTCAGAATAGATTAATTGTATAAGAATGGAGTATTTGCAAAGGTTAAATAAAAGAATGCGTTTGGTTTCCTTTCTCGAATTTATTTCCAGTAATACTGAAATAATAAAAGGTACATCATCGATATATCGATCTTTTCATTATAACTGATTTCATAAAAAACCGCTTCACATCAACAATATACACATCTCGTTTTAATCGATAAAATAAAAGAGTTACACAATAAAAGGAAACATCAATGAGCCTAAATATGAAATTCCTTCATATTAAAAGAGAAACGACTTAAATCTAATTATTCTTGGCAACAATTTAATGGTTCATTCAAGTGATTAACAAATAGCTTAAAAATTTCTCTGTTCAACAATTGAAGTTCGAGAATGTTCAATAGTTTTTTTTTCGTTCTAAAAGATATGATTTATTAAAATAAATATTTAAAAAAATAAGTCAATTAACAACGTATCATCTAAATAAAATTGACATAAAATTTTGCCGCGATTAAAAATAAATTCAGAAAATATAAATATAACACTTAAGATTCTTAAATTGATTATTTTTCATGTTCTACATCGTACGAACTTCGATCGTATTCAGTGTAAATCTCTAACTAGTACATTGTAAATGATTATATACTGTTAGATAATTAATGTTTATTGCACTTTTCGATTCGCAAATAAATACAAATCGCTCCGTTACACAGTTACATTGTTCATCCTATTCAAACTAATTTACAAAATGCTTATAAAAGTCGAATATCATCGTTTTTCAATCGACAATCGAAGTTCGCACGAGCGCTATTCTTACAATTAGCTATAAATGAGCGGCGGTAGCTCGACGTATCACATAAATATAATTTTGATAAGTTACAACATCAAAAGGAAACGAATCTTACGTTTGTTGCCACTAAAATTAATAAAAATTTATCAAAAAATTTACAACTTTAAAATCCGCATTTCATCAATTGTGCCTCCGTTACGCCAGGCATTAATAGACATACAATGTTTTGATATTAATATTCAGCGTAGTGCAATGGCGTAAAAGTGGACACAATTTCATCGTGATGCTTCGGTATGAACTAATTTCTAATATGTATATATATAATATATATAGCACTATGTATGTACAATATAACATGTGGTTCATCAATTAAAAGAAACAATAAGAATATTAAAAAAAAAAACAAATATACAATCGCTATTTATAGAAATTAATAAATCGCAATGCAATTTAATCGAAACTCGGCGTATAATAAAAAATCACTTATGTACAAAATCAACTACACATTTTTTCCTTCGATCTAACTTTTAGTCTTTTATTCATTTGTATGTTTAATAATAAGCGAATATGGGAATTATTACTACAACTACACCCATCACAGTAATTTTCTTTTCTTCTAGTACGCCTTGCAATCGTCAAGGCCTATGGAATCTGCAAACAACAAATTCAATTACAAAACGTATTAAAACGCACAAAGAAACAAAATGAAAAAATAAACTACACAAAAGCGTAACCATCGGCTGCGATATAAAAATTTTTGAGTAAGCTAACACATGGACAGAGTAAATCGTTTCGAGAGTTAGTACCGGAACCAGACGAACCATCGGACTTACTCAAAAATCTCTACCACTCGTCTATATACGTCACGTTTACTTCCAATTTAGCCGGTATTTTTTTCTTTTGCGCTAGCACGTTGTACATTAAATAATTTTGCATATTCGGGCAAACGCCCCCTTCGATGCTTCGCTTTTTACGTTTCACGATTAATTTCGTCCGGACTTTATGTATTCTGCAAAAGAAGGTTCTCTAAACACCCGCTCAAACCGCGCGTGTAAAATCCCCGCCGGCCTCCGCCAACGCGGCCGTTCGGCCACCCAACGAACCGTACCTAGTCAAATGCCGGCTGTCCTCGTGCACCGACATCTCCGAGCTCTTGAACTCGTTCAGCTCCTTCCTGATGGCCGCCTTATCTTTGGGCGTCAGCCTCGTCCACGGCTTGTCCGCCCTGCGGTCGTAATCGTGCGCCTGCGTCACCTCGATGTAGTCATTGAACCGGATGATCTTCTTCTCTTTCAGCTCCTCCACGGTCGGCCTGAAGCTCAGCTTGCGCAACAGGAACCGCTTCTTCTCCTCCTTTTGCTTCTTCTCCTCGGCGGGACTTTGCTCTGCGAAATCACACACGTCAATCCGCTATAGATTCCGGTATGTATTCAACGGAGATTACTTTTTAATATGTTCCTTTCCTCGAGTTCCTCTTGGCTGGGCCGCATGCTCAATCGCCTGATCAACTTGGCGCCGATCGCCTCTTTGGCCTCCTGTCGCTCGTTCTCCGACTGGATTTGCAGGATGTTCCTGTTGATGAGCTCCTGCCGGTCCGGTCTGAGGGCCAACTTCAACGACAGGCTCTCCTTCCTGGCCAGCTTGATGGCCAGCCGTTTCTCCTCCGACATGGACGCGTCGTCGTCCCTGTACTGGATCGGTCCTGCGAAAATCAAAATCGATTAAAAAAATCGAGAGAAATGGGCGGATTAAACGCGCTAGTACCGTCGTTGGAGTCGCTGTCGCTCTCGTCCTCTCTGATGTTGTAGGGCCTGGTGTTTTCTTTGTTCTCGATGGTTGTGGGCAAACCGAACCTTACCGGTTTTCCGCTGCTGAAACGAAACGATAATCGTAATGAATGTAAGGTAAATATGCGCAAGAATGATAGCCCTGCTAGAGTTTTGATCAGTTTAAAACGTTTAAAATAGTACTACGCCTAATAATATTTACCAGAATTTTATCCTAGGCCTCAGATGCGACCTTCTGCGCCAGGAATAAGATAAAAAGAAAAGGGATGTTAGTTTGTATACAACAAACGGTCGTTAAACGTTGTTCCTGTACGATAATTAACCCCGTTAAAATATCATCGAGCGACTTACTTGAAACTGGAATTGTACTCCTGCTGTCTCATCGTCAGCGGCCGGTTCTCCTGCGTCGGGGTGCCCTGCGGCGTGGCCGGGCCGCTGTTCGGTTTCTTCTTCAGCGCCGATTTGAGCGGCACGGCGTGGAACTTGGGCTCCTTGGCCGGTATCTCGTCGATGCGGTTCGTGTCGATCATCGGATCCGGCTGCGGCATGCGGTAATATTGATCGTCGTCGTAGTCCACGTCGTCGTCGTCGTCGTCCTCTTCGTTATCTAATCGAATCGAAAACGAGTTGAAAACGAGATGTAAAACAGGAATTTTTCGTGTGGTTCGGTTTACCGTCGTAATCGTAGTTGTGGTGGTTGGGCGGCGGCGACAGTCGATTGGGCACGGGGCTGGGCGAGCTGAACATCGGCGGCGGCGGTATCGGGCCGATTTCCGACACGTGTATGGGCGGTTCGGGCAGCTCCGACAGCATGAACGACGGCACGCCCATCGGTATTTGCGGCGGGGGTATGTTGTGCAGGTGCTTCTCCTGCGGGGGCGGCGTGCCGCCCGGCGCCTGCTGCCCGTCGGCGACTGCGAAACGCCTCGATTAGCGATACTAGTTCAGAAATGAGATGTAGATGGACTTACAGTGTTCGCTGTGGTAGAAGAGCAGCCTCCTGGTGAGCTTGCCGTGGCCGAGGGTGCTCGGGCGCTCCGGTTTGCCCGATTCCATTCCGGGCGGTTGGGTGACGTGCGAGGGCGTATCGCCGTTCGGAGAGAGAGCGCCGTTCTGCGACGCTCCATCAGTCTTTTCTTTTTTCGGCTCTGCAACGAAGCGATAGTGAAAGTGAAAAATCCGGCGACGCGGCAACGCGGCGGTTTTTGCGATATTAACAAATTATTAATACCGACGTAAATATTTTTTTCCAACGCGCGGCTCTCGAGTTTTTAGAAGGTGGGCTATTATTGACAAATACGTTCCAGAAGTTTCGGATGAACGAAAACAGAAATATTTTCGCTAGCGGAAATATTCCGTTTCGCAGATTAATCGCTACGCGAAACAACGCGATTCATACTAAACGGAAACAAAACGGGCGAAAATTGTTCCGAGTATTTTTTAATTGCGACGGGGTTTTTTGTTTTTTTTTTTTTTTTCGAGAGAACAAATAAATTCGCGCGCTAACGCAACTCGGATTTTTTTTGTGTTTTTCGCTTCTATTAATACAACCGGATATCCTGCTATTTATTTATATATACGCGAAAAAAAATCTATTTTACATAGGAATCTGACTTTCAAAAACTATTGTCGAGTGCAATCGACGTATTGGACCATCTCCAGCGTGATTCACGCCCGATGCACGTCCACGAAAAAAAGCAAGAAAATTAACGTTAAGTGACAAATTAGCGACGGAGCATTCGTCAGTTAAATCTATTGAACTTGTTACAGTAGTTACGGGCTCTTAAACGTCCAACCTTGAATTGCACAATACGCGAATATTCGCTAAAACAAACAATACAATAGGTAGTGGATTTACTACAATAATAAAAAGTGTTATACTCGTGTATTGTGTGGTTTTTGGTATTTTTATAGTCATTTTGTTTGTCTCCGCGTTAATTTGTACTCGATAAACTTAGTTTTCAGAAAAATAATCGTCCATTTTATGGAAAATGTCACAATTTGACGTTTGGTGTAATTTGATATTGACAGTTCGACATTGACAGATTTACCGCCTACTAACAAATTCCTACAAACAATAAAGAGAAAGAAAATATTTTGAGATTGCAGCAGGAAGAAAAATAGAAATCATTTATACGAGAAATGTGTTTATCAATTTAACTGAATAGGAATCGCACCATTAATCAGTGATGGCTGAAATAATATCTCCAAAATGAGCACCATTAATCAACATACCTACGACCAATTCACAAACTAGTTGACATACGAGGGATGTTTCGAAAGTTCAGCGAATTCGTGCTCTAAAGAACTTAATTTTATAGACAATTCTGCCCAATTTCACAACATTAGAAACATCCCTCGAACAATAAAAAACCCAATACATAAAATCATCTAATTATTTTATTGAATAATCGTTCCTACCCTTAAACGAGGGTCGCTTCTTATAGCCTGGCGGCAAGAAGGCCGCCGGCGGCGTGATGGGCACGACCGTGTCCCATTGGGGCACGATGTCCGGCTGTTGTTGATGGCCGGCGCCGCCCGACACGGGCAACTCGAGCTTGTGTTGCTGCTTCTCGCAACGACGCCGACGGCGACGCCCGCCCGGCGTCAGCGATTTCACCAGGAAACCGACGCCGCTCATCCCTACGTCGCCTATTTTATTATCGACTCGACGCTTACCGATTTATTGTCTTTTTTTATCACAAACTGTGGTATTCGATTCGATTACGGCATGATTAACGAGACACGATCGAATAACCGTTTATTTGCTAATTACGATTCATATATGATATTCGTTATCTACTTCAATGGGTACGGAATACGTACAATCCTGTCGCTAATACGATTCAATTGATAAGGATTCCGATCGTAAATCATTAGAGCATTTCAACCCTTATCTAGCGACAAACGCCCTTAATAAATCGTGTATGCTTCGATTGTTTCGTATTAAGGTCGCAGTAGTTAGTAGAATTAGCACAGTAATCATATATTTATGTATTTATAATATACGAAATTAGGTAAACAAGGCCAGGTAGGTAACAACAATTTTTTTAATCAATAAATCGCGCAATAATTTAACCGAAAATGAAAAAAAAAAAATCAAAACTAAATCGCAACGATTACATAAGGCCCTGGAACATTCAAGGTCTCGGAGGTCCCTGGCCCTTTTCGACAAACTTCCACGCCAAACGAACCACCGCCCGGAATAGTACCGTCCCGACCCCGGAGGATATTATCGATTCCGACGTTCCCGAAGCGAATTCGTCGACTTTCCGCCACCGATTCGCGCCCTTTGCGATTCATTTATTTACACAAAACGCATTCCGTTTCCCAACAACAAGCAGCGGAATCCCGACCAACAGGTCGAATCGCGAGATCCCGTTCGACTGGCGAGCGTCGCGGCGCTTTTGCGAAACACACGGGCACGCGACGATGCCAAATGTAACGTGCAATATGCAACTCGATAATAATTCCCTGCTATTTAAATATTATCGAGCATAACGCATTTTGGATTACCGTTTCTTTTTAAAGAGATAATTTGATTAAAAAACTGCAAGTTTTTCCCAACGTTTTTTACTATACCGACAACGAGTTTCAACTCGAAGAAAATAGTAAAAAAAGTTGCATTTTCGAATTCCCGCATGCCCCGTTAAGTGGCAGGAAAAAGGAGCAGCGCAAATGGCAAAGGATCCGGTATGCAGCAGGATCAAAGGAACTTTCCCTTTTTTTTCCATTCGATAGCGGCAACGCGGATCGCAGCCGCCCAGGATCGTTAACGCCGAAGAGATGCTCTCTCCTGCTGCAGCACGCTCCCGTGACGTCAGCGTCGGGAAATCTCCTGCGGGCCTGATTGGCCAGACTCGATTTCGACCCGAGCGCGCGTTAAAATCGAACGTACGGACGAATAAAAAAAAATATATGCCCGAAAAGCGGAAACTTCGCTAAATCGAGGCGACGTTTAAACGCTGAGAAATCGATACAAAAATCGAGCAAAAATAATCGATTGTTAAGCACACACAATCGGTTCGAACAAAGATGACATAAAACGTATAGGAAAACAACGTCCCGTGTCGAGGCTGTTTTTTTTCCCTCGGTGCGTTCGAAAAGCTTTTCCCGTAATTAATACGGGGCAGGCCGGTGTGCACAAACACGACGCACCTATTGTTTTGCATTTTATTTTTCCCGTTTACAGCGGGGCAAAGTCACTCTATCGATCAGCAAGTTTCGCGCTTTATGCGGGGCACACACACACGCGCGAACGTCCGGAAGAGCGACGAATCAAACGAAATTAAACTATCAATCATGTTCGGCGACGATGGCATGATGGACGACCCGGCCGACGGCTAATAGAGACCCGTTCGATGGGGAAAAAATCACTCGAACCGAATAAATATGTATCGAGGAAGAACGGATACAAGAGGACGGGGAAGCGGAAACTCGCCGGCTCGATCATTGATTTTCGTGATGAACACACGCCGTGCGAATGGCTTGTTTAACTAATTTTATGTGTCGAAGTTATCTGCGAAGTTGTTTAAAGGCGATCGAATAATAGTAGCTTTTGATGGTTCTGTATGTCGTTCTAGTTTTCAATAAAGTTTATGGAAAATGTCATAATTTGACATTGACAGATTGATCGCCTACTAATCAATTTCTAAACAATAAAGAGACAAAAAATGTGTTCAGATGCGACTAATAATTAAAAAATACTTACCTCAAAATTTGCATAAAACATGATGATTCATTAGTTTTGTTTTAATCAAGTTTAATTCAATTCATTTTCACGTAAGGAGTATCATTTTATTTCAATACGATGACTAAATTTGACATTGACATTGCTCGACACCTACGGCTTACTAGACCTTAACACTTAAATAGTGATAACTTTCTGAGTTTCTAGCCTACTAACAAATTTCTATAAACACATATGTTGAGATGAGACAGGGAGAAAGATACAAATCATAAACACCCAACAAATAAAAAAATACGTAAAAAAATTGCATAAACAAGACGAGTCATTAGTACCTATCAAGCCTAATACAATTAATTTCATCCTACGTAGCATCGTTTTATAAATTCACAAGACGACTTAATTTGACATTGACATTACTTGACAGCTTCGGCCTACTACACCCTAAACAACTAAACAACAGCAATTCGTCAATTAACAGCGAATGTTCGGCTTAATCCTCGCCCGTCAAAAAAAATCAAAGTCGCTCCGCGTTAATAGATTTAGACGGGGCGTAAAACGCGCCGGGGGCGGCATTCGTACTTTACGACACGAAAATCCCCCCGACAGCCGCATTATTTTTAACGGAGCCGCTTTTCATCGAAGTTCGGACGACCGGATTCGCGATATGACCAAAGCGCGCGTAATTTCGTTTTCCGCTTCGAAAAACGCTCGGGGAAGCTCGCGCAGATGGACCAACTTTTTATCGTTCGGGGTGCGCTAATTTGAGGTGTGCTAATCGCCCCATTTGCTTACCTACAATAGTTGGTTCGCGGAATTCTATTATAAGGGGAATCCCACGCGCTCGGTAAATCGAATCCAGTAGCTGCATATTTGCGGTATACTGTTTTATTTAAATGGGATATTTTGCATAGATATGCGCATTATTAGGTCACAAGTTTACCATAGAAAAAAAAATGTCGAACGTGGCTTATGCATTCAAACACGTAGGTGTAGGCATTACCTGACCATAAATTACGTCAAAGATATCCGTTATACATAAATTGCATCTATTAAAAACCACAATGTGAAACGTTTATCAATTTTTAAACGAAACATTAAAAGAATGAGCTTTAGTAAAAAAAAACACTCTTTCGCTTTCGAGCAAATTAAAACAAATAAATAACTGGCCGTCTTCCAACTGGCAAGACATTAGCCTATCAGAAATAAGCAATAGGTTGTTATGTTAATACAAAAATGATACGCATATGAATTGGTTTTTAAATAAATTATTGGATCAAAGAATCGAATGCACCTGCATTTCCATAAATTATAGAAACTATGAGATTAATATAATAACGCATAACACACTAATTAAGATTTGTTGGTGCTGATAACAGAATGTTCAACCACCACAAAATGATGGGATTCCACCTGTTCATTAAAACTAATTTCAGCAATCACTATCTATTTTTATCTAAACGATCGGCTGCAGACGATTTGAACGTAACGAGCTATATAACAATAAATCAACGGAACATGAAGTTAGATAATGAAATACGAGAACCGGCCAAAACGGTTATGTCAGCATGCCGAGTTAAACAAATAACTTTTCTTTTATCGCAAAAAAAATAATGGGAAATCGTGCGAATGACTCCGATACAATTCAATTTTCAACCGAGATAATCCCCGACTGGCGTTATCGCTATTGTTGTTTTGACTTTCGCATCTAATGGGTTGTTATTAGGTGTATACGAATGCCACTATCGCTTAAAAATTCCTCATTATTTAAGATTTCCTTCGCATTGTTCATTGCACTACTCGAGCTCGGTTTTTTCTCTCTCTAAACGCCGTTAATCATACCTTTGAAGCACGTACACCCCATGATGTAGCCCATCATGGATCCCACTGGACGGGCCTGTCCCGTCGACCTCTAGCACGGGGCCCGCCGGCAGCGTCGCGCCCCCATCGAAGGGCGCCCGGTACGCCCCTGCAGGGCACCCCACTAACATTCACCACAACAACAAAATCACGATCGGTCGATACGGCGCCGAGCCGCCGATGCCGCCGACATCCTCGCGGAGACTCTATCGCACCGGAACACCCCCGGGGGCGGCTTCGAGAGAGAGGCGCACTGCAAGTGCACGGCGGGAGAGAGTGCTGCGAATCGACCCGGCTTCTCGCGACTCGTGCTGGCGTGAGAGTGCGTTTCTACCTGCCGTGCAGCGTCGAGTGATCGAAAAAAATAAAAGGAAGCGGCGCTACGGCGGTCGGTCGAACTGAACGGTATCGAGGATACGTCGGGAAGAGTTACGACGGTCGCGGAAAACGCGACGGTTGGCGACCTCTGGCGAACGGGCGTGGAGGGACGTGCGCCGGCGTCGCGGCGCCTAATTCGAACGACGCTCCGGGTATTTTCATACCTGTACTGAACGTCTCTTGGCGGATGACCTCTCACATGGAGTGTACTCGTACAATTACCGACCTCGTTAATGCATCGAGTTATAAAGAGGCCTAATTACTTCTAGAATTATTTCAAAAAAAATTAGGGTAGATCAAGAAACCCAAAACGCAGTGATAAACGCACGAAGAAACGTAGAACACGAAGCTATAGAAACGAAATTACGAACAAACTATTGAAGTATTATTTGTGTAACTAAATCATTCCCTAAAACAAACAATACTCTTCCAAAATCTCCACTTATCAGCTGAAATATTACAAAAATATCCACACTTACAGGTTTACGATTATGATATTAGGTCGGGCATCGAGCCTTAGTTTAGAGTTAAATAAAAAAAAAACGTTTGCGTGCGATAAGGGCGCGATTTATGGGGAAATCGATATCGGGAAAGTTCGTGCGTAAAAAACATTACAACCCGACACAAGAACGCTTCGAGTACAAACATCCATTATACAGGGTGTTGATTAATTAAGTGCCTATACTTCAGGATGTGAAAATAGAATTTAAAGAAGAAAAGTTATCAATGTGTCACCTAAACCTCTTCGTTTTCGAGCTATAGGTTAACAGTTTTAGAAAAAAAAATACGTTTCAAAAAATATCTGGAGTAATAAGAAAATTATGATAGAAAACTTATTTTTTCTTCTAAAATTTTAACAACCTGCAGCTCTAAAACTAAGAGCTTTAGGACATACATTGATATAAACTTTTCTTCTTAAAACCCTCCAAATATTCACATCCCGAAGTATCGGTACTCAATTAATCAACACCCTGTACGTCTTAAGCCGTAAAAAAGTCTCCTCGCCGTTCGCCATTGTAATTTCATCGATGAAGCTTTTAACGCCCGACTTTTATATGTAATTCGCCGGGCGCATATTTTCCTCTTCGACGCTCCATTCGAGCGGTAATTTATGGAAGCGCGTAAACGCTTTCAGGACGAACGTTAAATAGATTAATCGCCGATAAGAGAATAATAACGCGGCGACCGCGTTTATTAACTAAAACCTCACCAACAATCGTCTCAAAAATAGACGTTAAAGATAACGTATATACAAGCATCCAAACAAAAGGCATTCAATCTTCGAAGCGCATCCCTGAACAGCTAATTCAAATAGCACAAAAGGTCTCTCAAAACGTTGAAATTCAACCATCTCTCCGTTATACACGTTAATTTTTACCAATGCCTTTAATCTAGCGGTTATTCGGCCACCGATCGGGGGTACTCACCGGCGTTACTAATACTAGTTGCATTGGCGTTGGCGCTGGCTTGCGCGAAATGCGGGTTCTGCAGCAGCTGTTGCTGCAACAGCGCGTGGTTCATGGGCGGCAGGACGGGATACGGGGGCGGCTGTTGGTGCTGTTGCGTCGGCGTACCGACGGCGACGCCGCCGCCGTCTTGGTGGTTCTGCGGCGTCGGTTGATTGCCGGCGCTCGGAGGGTACTGCGTTACGGTTGGTTCTTCTAAAAGAGATGAAGAAGGAGATTAGTGATGTCGGGGAATCCCATTTTCGCAACATCAAAATGGATTGGTTTCGAGTAGTATACACACCTGGCTCGGATTTCAAAGGGCTCACTGGACTGTCTGGTAAAAGAATCCCTTTCATCACTAACTCGTCTCTATTGGCTCGGACTGATATTTTCCTTTCTAACGCTGCAAAGAAAACACGAATTAATTTCGTTCGATTAGCGTGGGACCAACGGGCCTACTTCTAGAAACGGCTTCCATCTTGTCCGACTTCTTTTTCCGTTTCCACTTCCACGGTTTCAATAATTTCCCTATCGAAAACTTGCTCTTCCTTTCAGCAGGCGGACTTCGCGTACCGCTGCCCAGGCTGTTTGTGCGGAATGCGGTACCATTTTGCTTTTTCCCTGTAAAAAAAACAACATTTCATTACTTTTGCATCCTCCAAAATCCCCATAACGACGAAATTATTTCATCGTACACGCA